CTACGTGGCTTAGCCCCGAATGTAATCAAGTATTGAAGAGCTTCAAAGGTTTTGTAAATTAAATAGGTTTGAAAACATGGTTTGAAAACATCGTTATTCATTGATTATTTTGTGCCACTATAACAACTGTAGGTTAACAATGTAACTCAAAGAAAGACTGTGTGGACGGTGAACAGACCTGTCCCTTTTTTATAATTCGGGTTTTGTTAGATAAATTTTTTTGGACAATTTGTAAACGGATTTAGAATTGTTTTCGTTTAAACGTGTAAATGTCACATCCTTAATTCAAATTGTATGGTTTTTGGATTAAATCTTACAAAAAGTATAATTGGGCATATTTAATTTGGATAAAAATGAATCCTAAGTTTTATTATGTAGAAAAATGATATACTTTCACTTGACAGAAAAACTGATACAGCCAAAAAAAATTAATTTTGCTTCTGATTACATGGCATTCGAAAATAGGGTAGGTAGGTAGGGAATTATTTTTTTTTTACCAATTTTTTTTGTGTTTGATCATATGGAGGCGTCTGAGTGTAGTCAATGGTAAAAGGTAGAAATTGATGGTTTTGGATGTTTTTCCTTAATTTTTCCCATAAAAAAATTAGGGTAGGGGCTGTCAGAATAGGGTAGGTAGGGAAACTGGAAGCAGAATTACTTTTTTTTTGGCCTAATTGGGAATGGAAGTCCTGTTTCAAAGGCCAATCTAAAAATGCATGTACCTAGGTACTTGACTGAAGATTGGCCATGACCAGAACGCCTCCTTGAAGTTGAATTTGATGACTTTACACTGGCCTTACTTAACCTTAATCCTTAATGATTCCTTCCCTATCAAACGTGTCAAAACAAATCCCAACAACCTTTTTAACAAGGTCGTTCCTCAATTTTTTCAATTTCCATAAAAACACAGCAAGTAAACCACAGGAACACCCTCGCACCCATGACTCACAGCACTTCATGCCAACACCCATAGAAAGTATGGCCGGTATGATGGCCTAAACAATCAATGCCTGACATCACAAGGACATGTGTATCTGTTCAATCAACCATTCATGATGCTGGCCAGTACAAAAATCTGTTGCACTGTTGCATGTTTTTTTTTCATTGGGACATTCAATTGTGATTTAAATTTAGAGGAATGAATCTCATTACCTTGAACTCAGCCGCAGAGCAGCACAAAAGGAAAGGAAGGTGACACATTTTTCAATTGTTTCTCTTATTGGAAATTTGAATCATACATGTAGTTTGTGTCACACAGGCCACTTTTCAAGCAAGAAATTTACTAGTTGTCTGGTTCACAATATTTTGTGCAAAATCTCTGGCAAACAAAGTTTATGTCCGGACAAAATAGCCTCTGTCAGTGTCACACACACAGCCCGGTATGCACAAATGTTTGAAAAGATTATGGAAACAGAAAATTAAAGGGAATATACAACATTTGCTTTTGTTGTAATTTTCAGAAATGGATGGATTTTTTTTGGGGGGGGGGGGTAGGGTTTTATAGCAAATATTGCTACACTGACTCGTTTGAAGTTTTGTGTTCGTAGATGCTGGAAAATCCCAGAAAAACAATCATGTTCTTGTAGTCTGGTTCCCTGACCCCACTTTAAAATGAAATGGCCTAATTTATAGAAGTCAGTGCATAGTAAGGTCAGGGAACTAGTCTAGCTGGCTTGTACCCATTCATAGGTGTGTAATTAATCTATTGCAAACAAAATGCGGACTAACTCAATTGGGGGCAGAAATACAAAAATACCACTTTTCTTGAAAAATGACAGCACACCAGGTGCCATGAATTTACAGGATTCTTTACACTGTTATTCGCTAACAGTCCAGTAAGGTATTTCATAACAATTTAGTAGTTTTGTTTTTTGATGTTTTCAAATGTTGTATACATCTCTATTATAAGCAAAATATTATTCACATAAAGGGTGCATGGCAAGTAAAGTGAGGAGCCATGTTTATGTTTAAAGGGAAAAAAAGTTGGAACTACTTCAATTTGATGGGGTATTATTAGAGTAAGGTTTCCATAAAATTAAATTGATAACTCCACTTTACTTATTTACATGGAACAAATTATCTGAGCTTGTAGGTGTGATGTACACTATACTTTGTGCAGTAAATGATCTTATCTCAAATAGACTTTGAACGGACAGCTCACAAATTCAATAAAGAGACACCTCACAAACAGTAGTAAACAAGCGTCATGGCCACTAAATAGAAAGTTACATCAAAATGTAACATATTCTATTAAGAAAGTCTGTCAGTCTGTATAGTTCTTAACTTTTAATTATAAAAGATTGGGTAGCCCTTTCTGAAAAAGATAAGCAGCAGCAGGCTTGGGGGCATCATGGCATGAAGTTAATCTTGTTAAGGGTATTGTGTACAAACTGATAATAAAAACCTAATCTGAATAACCACTAAATGCAAATTGATTTGTGATTACGTAACTCCTTTCAACACTTGTTGTTGGCATACAACTACAATCCATTTTGTGTGTGATAATTAAATCTTTTCTTCATTGTTTCAATCCAGGGTATAGAAATATGCAGTTTCACGGTAATATGCACCATCTTGTTCGTGGGGCAAAAAGAACATGCGTTGCTAGACACGGCGCATTTTGGAATGAACGCATGATGGCTTGGAAGCGCAAAAGTTTTTGACTGACGGTGTGTACACAGCAATGTGTGTAAATTTGCCCCGTCTGCAAGATGGTGCATATTACCAATGCCCATTCTTGAAAATCACGCATTCTCGAGAATGGGCATGCACATTCTCGTGAATGGGCGCGCATTCTTAAGAATGCGCGCTCATTCTTAAGAACGAGCACGCGTTCTTAAGAATGAGCGCTCATTCTTAAGATTGGGTGGGAATATCACGTGCACAATTTATGAATTTTGCCCAATCTTAACAAACATTGCACGACATAATTATGTTAAATGAATTGTATAGCGGTTAAAAGGGAAACAATTCATATGTTGTGCCCATTCTTGAAAATCACGCATTCTCGAGAATGGGCATGCACATTCTTGAGAATGTGCAACTGGATCCTTGCTCAATCTTGGCAAAAATAACTCTTCCAGATTGAGCGCACATTCTCGAGAATGCGCGACAAGATAACGGTCTTGTCGATGCCGAGCACCGGCTGCACTTGGCAAGTCTAGCTGAATCCTCGTTCACTGATTCTCAATAATTATACTGTTGCAACGCAAGGCGCTTAAAAGTAGAGTGGATATGATAAGTAAAGGCGTATTAATATGGGGGGGGGGGGGGGACGGGAAAATATAAGAGACATAATAATACTAGTGCAAAGAATTCTGATTTTTGGGATAATAAAAGCGGGGGGCCGGGGGGGGGGGGGGGGACGTAAGAATGAAGAATGTGAAGAATGAGAATGAATACTGCGACATCCCATAGTGCTAATGCTATTTCCCATTTAAATTGCCACCAATTTATTGTTCACATCCCACCATAACGTCGCAGAGCTAGATTCTATCTAGTCAAAAGAGCAATTTTGGCAGCTTCTGGACATCGTTTTTTTTTTCGTGGCACGCATATGATACATGCATGCAGGGACTTGTAACTTGTCTAGCCTAAACAAAGCACTTCCCAGACTAGTTCCCAGTCCTCCGTTATTACAAAACTTCCCATAGTGGGCAGAAAAAAGCAATAATAACAGGTTTAATTTGATTCAAATTATCGTAGTTATACGAGTACAGAAGCATAGCACATTTTCTTTCCTCTTTATATGAAATGTTTCCCTTTTAACCGCTATACAATTCATTTAACATAATTATGTCGTGCAATGTTTGTTAAGATTGGGCAAAATTCATAAATTGTGCACGTGATATTCCCACCCAATCTTAAGAATGAGCGTTCATTCTTAAGAACGCGTGCTCGTTCTTAAGAATGGGCGCTCATTCTTAAGAATGCGCGCCCATTCTCGAGAATGTGCATGCCCATTCTCGAGAATGCGTGATTTTCAAGAATGGGCACAACACATATAAAGAGGAAAGAAAATGTGCTATGCTTCTGTACTCGTATAACTACGATAATTTGAATCAAATTAAACCTGTTATTATTGTTTTTTTCTGCCCACTATGGGAAGTTTTGTAATAACGGAGGACTGGGAACTAGTCTGGGAAGTGCTTTATTTAGGCTAGACAAGTTACAAGTCCCTGCATGTATCATATGCGTGCCACGAAAAAAAAATGATGTCCAGAAGCTGCCAAAATTGCTCTTTTGACTAGATAGAATCCAGCTCTGCGACGTTATGGTGGGATGTGAACAATAAATTGGTGGCAATTTAAATGGGAAATAGCATTAGCACTATGGGATGTCGCAGTATTCATTCTCATTCTTCACATTCTTCATTCTTACGTCCCCCCCCCCCGCTTTTATTGTCCCAAAAATCAGAATTCTTTGCACTAGTATTATTATGTCTCTTATATTTTCCCGGTCCCCCCCCCCCCATATTAATACGCCTTTACTTATCATATCCACTCTACTTTTCAGCGCCTTGCGTTGCAACAGTATAATTATTGAGAATCCGTGAACGAGGATTCAGCTAGACTTGCCAAGCGCAGCCGGTGCTCGGCATCGACAAGACCGTTATCTTGTCGCGCATTCTCAAGAATGTGCGCTCAATCTGGAAGAGATATTTTTTGCCAAGATTGAGCAAGGATCCAGTTGCACATTCTCAAGAATGTGCCTGCCCATTCTCGAGAATGCGTGATTTTCAAGAATGGGCACAACACCATGAAAGTGTTTATCTGCTTTACAGATGATTTTCACTTAATTTTTTTCTGATGCCCAAATTTAAAATCATATTTCCGCAAGTTTGCAAAACAATTTATTATGAACCACTTGACCAAAATTTGTTTCCCCCTTGGAGGGAAAAAGTTATGCAGATAATTTACAATTTTCAAGAAAACTGGGGGAAAAAATGCAATAAATTAGGCCCCCTAATTAATTAATAGATATAGAAGCTTCAAACTCACCTTTTTCTCTTCAACTTTGCGTGCTTTCGAGGCAGATTTGAGCGCTGATGGTTTTCCAGTGGGGGTGTTGTACCCGATCCACTCCATTCCCTTCTTCTTGATCTTCTTGGGTGGCGCCTTCTCCTCCACTGTCCCATTGGTCAAGTTCTGAGGCACATTTTCTTCAATGGGCGACAGGATGACTTCGTCAATGTTTGTCCGTGGAATATTATCCATGACTGGCTTTTTGACACTGGAGACAAGTTTAGTCTCTGACGTCTCTTCATTGTTAGATTTAGGCTTTCGGAAATTTTCCGGGTACGGGATTGGATCGACGTACGTTGACTCTTTCTTGGGCTGACGGAAATTTTCCGGGTATGGGATAGAGTCAACGAACGGGGTATCTTCTTTTGGTTTTGTCATTGAACTTGTCTGGTTCTCGGACGTTTTAAGTTTCGATCCAAATGCATTTGATGACACCACCCCCTTAGGTATACTGTCGGTGTCTCTCGATTCACCATCTCTAGCTGACCGTAATGAATTCTTTGAGCTGCTTGTACGTGCCTCTTGCCGAGCTGCACGGACACGGGCATTGTGCTCGCTTAACTGGACTTCATTGGAGTCATTGCTTGAAAGACTGATGAGGGCACTGGCAGACATTTTGCTGACTCCCTTTTTTCGGCGTAAGGATGACTGTCCGTCGCCAAGAATTGCCGTCTTAGGCTGGTCAGGCAGTGATGCTTCATTGGTCCTAGTGAAGGTGTTGGAAGGCTTATTGCTTTTCTCCGAGTTACTGACGGATTTCACTGCATTGCTACTTGAACTTGAAGAAGATGAGGTAATAGTTTTTGTTGGTGTAACGTCTGTCTTAGTAGTAGTACTCAAACTGGATTCTGAAGTTGTTGGAGCTTTTGGAGCCTGCCGTTTGGTGGATTTGACGCTTTGTGATGTTGGTGCAACTTTAGATTCCGTGAAGCTAAGTGACTTTGTTTCAGATTGTTTGCTGGGAGTGCTGTCTTTTACAACAGTGGATTTCTGAGTTTGTGGTTGAGTGGAAGGCAATTTCTCGGATGTGACTGTGCTCGTTGTTGTGGAGACCTTTGGAGCTGATGTAGGAGACAGGCTCCGAGACGGTTCTGGTTTATATGTGATATGAACTTTGTGCGGCTCCTTATCGAAGAGTATATTCCTGTCCAGGGAGTGAGTTGGACTCTGTGGTGACAATGGAGAAGTAATGTCCGCCTCACTCCCTTTACGAGACACGACTTTCAGATCTTCAGTAGATGCAGCACGGCCATATCTGCTCCTTAAGTCACTGACGCTATTTTTTCTGGGCCTGGTTTGAGGTATATCTTCCTCGACCACTTTAAGATCCACGTTATGTTCTCTAGCAGCACGGCGAGGGCTTTCAGATCGTGACCGCTGTCGTATGCTATTATCGGGTTGCTTTTTAGCCACCTTGATGAAATCAGTGGTTTCATTTTTGGTAATAGGGCTACTTGAAGTGGCCTCTTTTCCTTTATCATCAGATCTTGATGATGGAGAAACTCGGCGTCGCCGGGCACCTCCATCAAACTTCAAGAAAGGATTATTCAAAACGGATGAAACATGTTCTTCATCTACACCCTCCCGCCCTGCAACTGGTGCCGGCTTTCCTGCATTCGTCTCGTCTTCCCCAACGTGATTGGTCAAATGATTTTCCTTTTGAGAACTGATGACATGGTTTGCATGAATTTGATGCTGCACGTTCACGATACTTGTCGGACTTTTTGTCCTACTTTCACTTTCTTTTCTGTTAGTCGTCGTCGTCTTCACAACTTGAGAATTTTGACTTATACTTGGCTCCTTTTGTGTCTTCTCACCACTGGTAGTGTCAGAGTCTGTAGACAGCTTACTGACTGTCTTAGTACCCCCTGAGATGATAATGACATTTTGGGGCACCATCCCATACCGCTTCCAGGGCGGTAGCGCTTCCAAACGGCGCTTTTCCTCCTCCACCGACTTCCGCCTTTCATCCTCTTTTTTCTTATCCAGTTTCTGCTGAAGAGCGATCTTCCACTGTGGTACGACCGCCCCACTCATGTTGCCGGGTCCTTGTGTGCACCGAATGGATGAAAAGACAACGTGTCAGTTTCTGGTTCTTGGCCAAGAATAAATGGAAAATGTTCACATTTGCGGTGTCTTCTGCCGGCACGCCGCACACACCAACGTCGCCATTCAAATGTTTTCATGTAATCCGCAGAATTCTGCTGCATCAACTGCGTGTATTCAGCCGGTTGGTTAATTGGTAACCCACATCAGTATTTAAACCATGCTACGACAGCTGGCTACCAGTTGACAGTACCGCCTCCCGGCAGTGACGTCATCACATCACCTGAAATGACCCGCAAAACACTAACAATTTCTAAAAGTTTGGAACAGACGTACTGCTATGACGCATTTTTATTCAATTGTAGCTAAATAGTTTCAATTTATATTCGTGCGTAGGCTTCGTTCATTCTTTCTTTTTTCCCTACAGTCTTTCGTTGTTTCGTTGGCTTATCGGTCTTCCCCCAACAAATGTCAGTTTTGCCGGTTGTAAAAAGCTGTGTACATAAAAAAAAATTAATTAACGTGTATTTTTTTTGGCCTGAAAATAAAGCTTTTTTTCCCTTGTGAAATTTTATATTATCACAGTATAAAATGTGGGGTTTGAAAATTAGAATAAGAGCGTTTTGGGGGTATTTTCAAATGGCTCTGTGTTTTTTGTTTCAAACTTGTTTACACCTGATATGGGCGTGTCCCCCGACGACAAGGGGAGGAGTTCAAAACTTTTTTGACGCGCCCATCCTCAATCTCAAATTATGCATGCACCATCCTTTCAAAATAAAAAATATAATCCGCAATTTTAAGCGGGAAAAAAAAATCAAATTTTGTTTTTTGCATGACAAAACTACGATAATGAAGTCCACATATCTCAAATTGGTTTAAAATTTCAATACTGTTTCTGTATTTGCTGCAGCTCTGATCTCAAAAGACTTATAAAAAGTCTATTTCGAAAAAGACTTCTTTGTGGAAATGTACCATTCATTTGTTCTTTTTTTTTTGTGCAACAAAGAGTATGGAAAGTATCATTACAATTACCTATTTATGCATGCAACAGGTCAGCTGATAGCCAATCCAAAAGGTGAATCGCGCCGACCATTCGCTACCTCATGCATTATGCATGAGACGACGTCCATGACAACAACACCTGTCCAGCTTAGCAACACAGACGCTGGGTCACACACGAAGCGCGCTAAGTATCACAAGTGTGGACGGGTGGCCCTTTAGTGAAGTTCATAATCCGGCATTTTTAACCCAATAACTATCAAAATAAAGTCATAAAATATAGGAAAGTTTATTCACAATGATGGCCACACGCACAAGGACTCAACTACCGGTGGCCACTGCCACGGTAGGCCCTGCAAATTGGCGACAATCCACCATCAAAGAAATCAAAGTTTCACAGTCCACCGTGGACCGGAGCGATAAAGGGCTGGACTTGGGCCGGTCCATAGACCCACTTCCTGCCCTCCGTGACAACTGCGCCCAGCAGAGCAACACTGTGGTCCATTCCTACGTCCGAGAAACCCGAGCAGTCCTGGTGAAACTCAGGGAGAGTTTCCTGGACACGAACGAGGAAATCAAGTGCCTCCTCCGCGGGAAAGAAGCTCTGGAGAAGAAGCTGGAGCACATTCGAAAGGACATCAGTCTGAACAAAATGAGCACAGAGATTCGCTGCACCCGGCCAGGAAGAGAGAGGGTGAGATTCGGTGGAAAAGTCTGGGCCGTACTTATTTATTTATTTTCAATTAAGATATGTAATTCAATAAAAAAAAAATCTATTTCAATTAGTGTAGCCCCCTATAATGATAGTAAATAGCTAATTTTCAGCTGATGTATCACTGTTTAACATTTTTGTTAGCCTACTTTTCAGAGACAGCTATTTTGTAATGTAACTTTTCATTCATTGGTCATTTTATATTTTATTACTGATTAGGTCTACTGAAAATTTAAGATATTTGTTTTCTTCAAATTCTATATTATTAACATACGTTTCAAGCCATATAAACAATAAAACAGCAGCATTATTTTCATCATCATCAACAACATAATTATTATCACCGGCACAAATGTTTTCAAAACTTTTATTTTCCACCAATAGATATAGGCCTAGGCCTTATATAATATAATCTTCTGAAATGATACAAATTATTGTGAGTAAACGAACGTAAGACAAGTATAAGACTAAGTAAGAGAGTAAGTTAACACAAATGTCATCAAAATTGTCATTTTTACGGGGTTTTTTTGGTCATTGATGTTGACTTATTCATACTCGCATGCTTGACCAAATCTCCTTTTTTTTTATAGCACAGCATCATAAACCAAATGAAGAAAAAATCGTTTCAAGTGATCAATTACAGTTTACAAAAGTAACACATTTTGAAGATGGTTTGAATTAAGCTTGAATTAACGTGAACACCAAATATCTTATTCTGCACTTCTCCCTGAGAGGGTGTAGACCCACAATAGATGGCCTATCACTCAGTGGATAAAATATTCATGCACATCCTTTTGAATGCACATTATTTACTCAATGAGACAATATAGCCGTGCTATTTGGATGCCTGGCCTTCAATACCTAGCAACGATTGTAATGGTATAGCTTAGCTGCGTCGTCTTTGTGGATTTTGTGCTTCAGGTAGCTCTTCTTATTTACAGTTTGAAAATTTGAATGTTTGTAGAAGTAAACATCCTCGGAAAATCAACTAACTTTGCAATTCTAGATCTTTTCATATGAGAGGTTTTTTTTTAATTTTAAGGACACAAATTTTCATTTCTTAAAAAAAAATCTTTTGATAATTAAAGTTAAACATAGTAATGACGAACAGTAGAGTGCATAATGCTCTCTATACCCGTATTTTATTTGTTTAAATGCAAATGTTTGAAGTTAATGTCTCAATGTAGTTTTATAGACCTCACCAAAGTGCCGCACCCAATTTGCAGAAAATGAACCCAATTATCTTCAAAGTTACCTGGTATCACACGGGCATTAATCACATATCACCCAAGCTGACTTCTTTTTATCAAGAACTGGAGCGATTACAATCCACCTGGATTTGAACAGCGTTTTGAGGATTACTTGAAAATCTGTGGAGAGGTCCAAAGGTCCATGAATAACCATTCATGAATGCCTATCGCTCAGTCAACTACATGTAGTGTTAAAAATTCCCTCAAGTTTCAGATACGTGCGCTTTCTGTCATTTATTTCCTTGGTATCTTTTTGTTGCATGTTTAAGTTCTAGTGTTTGTTAAGCTTGTAGTTGAGGCCGAAACAAAAAATAGCTTTTGGTTGACCTACCCTATTTTGACGGCCCCTACCCTGATTCTTTTTGGTAAAACTGAGGAAAGAAACCTGAAAATCATCAATTACTACCTTTTACCCTTGACTACCTGCAGATACCTCCATATAATCATACACACAAAAAATGCCGACAAAAAATTCCCCTACTTACCTACCCTATTTTCAAATACCATTTACTCAGAAGTAGAACTTTTTTGGGGGGCCTGATTTCTTTTTTTTCTTTTTCTTTTTTGGTAGGGAAGAGCTGATTTGAAATTTTGTAAAGTCCTGTAATCTGTGACCTTGTGGATTTGGTTATAAATCATTTTTAAATGCGTTTGGTTTATGATCATATCAGATACCGGGAGAAAATAGAACCTAAGTCAGTAAAAAAAAATTATCAAAAGCAAACCCTTCAAATATTTTAATATTTAAGATTTAAACAATTGATGTTCAAACTGGTAGGTGATAAGAAATAAAAGTGCAAAATAACTTCACATTAATCAAGGTATTAATCAATCTAAATGAAAATTTAAAAAAAAAACCTGTTCTTAATGTTGATTCAAAAATGTCTCCTGTTTTTAAGGCATCATGATTGAATATAATTTATTTCATTGTCTGCCCTTCTGTTGAATTTTCTTTCCAAGGAGCGTGATGGAGCAGACACTCTGTTAGACCGAGAGCAGCGCCACTTGCTGCAGCTCAAGAAAGCTTTGGAAGCTCAGCTGAGATCGGTTCAGAAACAGCTACAGGTAAATATGCATGCAGACAACCAATCAGATGGAGGAACAGAGAACTAAACAGTTTGAAAGATGTCATTTTGACCAATGAGAAAAGTTCATCGGCTCATCAATATTTACGAGTGCAGTAAAATGGGAATTGGCTTATTTGTGTGATTTTAGGATATTGACCAATGCAAAAAGTTCCTACTCCTAGGGTCATAAATATGCATGAGTGAAGTAATATTTGATTGCTAATTTTTTTTTGGACATTTCAAAATATTGGCCAATGGATAAAGTTTCTTGGCTCATAAATATGCATGAGTGAAGCAATATTGTATTTCGCTCATTGTGTGTGATTTAAGGATATTGACCCATTAAAAAGTTTGTTGGCGCATGTATGGGCATGAGAGTAGTTATATTGGATTTGCTTATTCTGTATCATTTAAAGCTACACAAAGTCATATTCTGAGATAGATTATGACGAACTATAGTTCGTCATAGGCAGGTGTTTCCTACTGAATGAATTACATTTATTACATGTTCAATTTTAACCCCACAGATTCTGGATCAAGTACGCAAGAGACTGAACGCCGTCATCCAAGAGCGTAACCGGGTCCTTGACCTCATCTGTCACGCCGTTTCCTCCGTCACCAACGGCCGCGCGTCGCGCAACAACGGCCGCCTCTCGCGTCAAGAAAAGAGCATGACGATGACGTTTGGTGCCAACAGCCTGGGCTACACCCGCCAGATTGACCAGAACATGAACGGCAACAATGGGCGGTACAGTAAACAGGATGGGGCTGAGGGGGAGGGGGAGGAGCTACCCATTGACCCCCTAGGGCCTTACACCCCCGAGGCCTCCGCAGCAATTGACCAGGCGAGGGAGGCACGCCACCGATCCATGGGGTTGAGACGAGAGATCCGCGACGCGATTGAGAACACCGAACGCCTTCAGGAGACGGCCCACAAAGCTGTGAACAGCGGGATGAACAAGAAAGTAGCTGAGACCATAACACTGCGGGTAAGTTTCTGACGAGGAAATATTTAGGTTCGGTTCATAATTTTTGGGGAAGACAAGGTCTTTAAGAATAGCAAGAATTCTATAAAGATAAAAAACTGGTGAGTAATTAACACCTTCAGTCTGTTGCTCGTGAAAGAGTAATATGACATAAATATCAAAAATGTGGAATTCATCTTAAAGGAAAATCTGCAACATTTCCTATGAAAAAAAACGTAAAAATGAGACTCAAAGATGCTGTGCGAGACACCACACATGAAATACATTCAAGACGCTGTACTTAAAGAAAAAAAACCAAAACTTTTCCCCCATATATTTTAAAGTAATTCTGGTTAACAATAAGTTTTTGCAGGGATTTTTTAGCAAAATGGAATAAAATCAGATAAACCCGGTCATCTCCACTTTTTCTTTGCCTGAAAGGGAAACGGAGTTTCATTTCTGACTTGTTTTTGCATTCTTCTTCATCCGTCTCCTAGCAACACCTGACAGTAGCAGCTGGTGAGAATCGTCACGGAATCCATCGCGCCCAGCGCTGGTACGACTCCACGGACCGAGCGCGCTACTACACCGTAGGCCCCGAAATGCAGTCTGATCTAGAGATGAGAGAGAGATTGGATCGGCCGCTAGTCCGCGTCTATCAACGTCATCCAGGAACCAATCTGCCCGAGGCACAAGATATCATCAGAGTATGTGGGATTATTCAGTCACGATTACGTTCATAACGGGACTTTTAAGTCATAAACAGGGTCATTTTTTTCTCATACTTCAGATTTGCTCCCGCATTAGCCTGCCACTCCTAAAAGCTCTGTATACTTCTTATATCAGAGTTCTTTTTTCTGTTTTCTAGTTTACAAATAGTGTTTGCCCTTTGTTTATGAGTGATTACAAGAAAATGCATATTGCAATAATCCAAAAGTTCACAAACACATTTCTGCTTTGAAGTAAGATTTAGGCACAACTTTGTCCTGCTTCATGGGAACAATTCCCTTTTTTTTTTTACATTTTGGTGCAAGAAGTTGTTTGAGAAGGAAACAATATTTCAAGTTATCTTTGAATCATTAGACATTTTCTTACATTTCAATTGCTTGTAAGGATATAAGGAAAGAAAGTGAATGTGAGAAAAGTACTGTTTTTCGTTTATAATGATGAAAACTTTTTGTTGTTGTTGCAAATATTAGGGTGCCGCAGGATTGGACCAGTCTCTACTGACGACCAGCCGCAACATAGCCATGCTGCAACTGACCAACAACCGTCTACAGCACGACATAAGACACAAGAACGCAGGTGCCAGCGTGGATTCCTCCGTTGTCAGGATGCGGCGTCGCCTTGCCAACCATCGCTGGGTCATGGGAAGTGTGTAGGGAGTCAGTCAGCCTAACGAATCAGATACCCGAACTTTGATCATGTGAGATATTTTTTGGGGCGCCCTCTGTTGACTCCATATGGCAGGCACAGAATGCATTGCACTTTTATGCACGTTACTGCACTGTAGATTGGGGCGAATTGTGCAACATCATTAATAATTTTGTAAGGAAGCAAAAATAGCAATATTGGAGGTATTTACATTGAAACATCTCTTCCAACTAGTAGATTTAATTCCACAAAATTTCTAATTTCACCTTGAGTAAATTTTAGGATTGTGTTACAAGGGGAAAAGTAGTTAAGGCCGTGGTATCACACAAGCCAATAAATTGCTCTCAGAAAAAAAACTGGCAAATATGAATCAACTTGATATGAAAATTATACAAAACAAAGAAAAATAAAAGGATATTTTTTAGAAAGAACTGCCCCTTTTAACCAAAGAAGGAGCGTTTAATTCTTTTCTCCCGAGAAATAAATTGACTGAATTTAAACTACGTGTATTTGACGGATCTTTCCAAGGAAAATTTGATGTTAATTATCGGGAACAAAATTAAGAACTCATTACTTAAAGATTTTTGTAAAAAAAAGAAAAAAGTGGGGCCTGATGCATAACACTGTACAATATTCAAAAGTTCACATAAGGTTGTATATAAAATTTTGACTGAAGCTTTAATATGTCTTGTTAACAGAGGGCGCCCTAAACCAATAGTGATGGTACTGAATTAATAAGTGCATTGATAAATATAAAAGAAAAATTATCCTGAACAAGTATGCAAGTAAACATACTTTTTATCCATTTATTAAAGCAATTGCATGAGGCAATTGTAACTGGTTAAAATTCATTTTATGCAAATAAACTGTACACTTAATTATGCTTTTTAATTTCACAAATTGCTTTTGTATCACCACCAACTATGCACATAATGATAAAAAAAACGTTCATTATAATTTTTTTAAGATAATGAAATTTCATTTGCCAAATACACTTGTACTATCGATTCCGTCCACTTAACATGTTTACTTTTTATTGAGGGGAAAAGTCTTAGGGTTGGGTAATGGTTAAGGGAGAAACTTCCAAAATAAAAGTTTGAAATGTTTGGTTGGTTTGGTTATATCTAGAAGCCTTTACGCATGACTTGTTATGTTACCAAAGACTGTGTGCTCGTTTTATTTTCCTCTGTGAAGTCGAGACAGATTTTTGTGCTCCAGGCTGCAGCTAGCTTCGGTTGCTGTCGCATATTTGGTGTGTTTTGAAGTCAAAAGAAGGGACAAGTGTTTGGCGAAAAGTCCAAACCAGGGTAATTATTTCACAGACTTGCAGGCAGGATGATTTGTAAATTTATTTTGAGGAATGTACATATTACTGATTTCAAGTTTTAAAAAAATTATGTCATTAAGTTAATAATTGAATTGAATCATGACCAAAATTCTGTGAATGTATGTACGCACTATCAATCTAAAAATTTCAAAATATATTTAAATTTTCTGAATCTCCTTTGTATTAAAGTCCAGTAGATGATGAATAAAATCTGTTCAATTCAGGATAAAACTAGGATATATATTACAATTGCAACAGGGTTAAACAATATACAATTTTGTTTTGTGGTGCATTATTTCTTCCAAAGTAAAAAATAAGTTGCAGTGTAAACATTTTATTTCCAGCACTTTTCTGCAGTGCTCTGGTTTTCAAATAGTTGAAATTGGTGCTGTTTTTGTTGCATTTTTTAGAGTTTCGTGGTTTTACCATTTTTCATTTGTCGGGTTTTCCAAAACAACTTCATAAATAATACTTCCTTTTTTTTTTAGATAACTCTGAAAATATGGTTGCAAGTGTTGAAAAACCTTTCATTCAACACGTTATGTACGCACAGATAATATAGTAAAATGTCAAAGCATGTGCATGCACAATTCACAGAAAGCATGAATAAAAAATAGAAAAAAAAAAGAAATTCTTTAAATTGTTGTCTCATTTTAGTTTCAAAAGATGATACTTGACTTGCAATCAATTTGTAAATGATGCACTCAAAATAATCGAAGATTTGGCCTGTAAACAGCAGAAAATAGCGCCCTCAAACTCATGCACAAAGGGGATAAAAACTCAATACTTCAATGTACAAAAATCCCAACTGAAAGATTTTTATCTTAGCTTCGTACATCCTCCATTAGCAGTTTATTATTCACTTAAATCTCTGAATCCACAATTTACATTGTACAATAATAATTGTAATGCCTTGCAAATAATTATTTTCTGCTTGGACAATCAAATGGTAAAAACAACATTTTGCCATCATTGTTTGCAATGTGCTGGCAGAGTTGGCATTGCTGATTATACAGATCCACAATTTGAAGACAGCAACACAACAAAAGCTAATGTTATAAATCAAATACTGATTGACATAGAAAAGGAGATTATATTGGAGAGGGGTAAACTCAGAGAGGGCGGAACGGGGGGGGGGGGGGGGGGGGGGGGGTGTGGCAGATTTACCCAAGTGGCCCTTTTGCGAAAATGTGCCCCTTGACCATAAATGTGCCCCCCTCGAGATGAAAACAAAACTTGCCCTCAAAACTTGCTCTCAAATTTCGGATAATTTGTTTTCAGTAACCATTTCCCAAAATGTTAAAGAGAGTTCTGATATGAACGAGGAATATGAAAACCAAGCCCCAAAACCCTTACAATGCGCCCTGCGTAGTTTGCATAATGGCCGGTTTTGATGAGGGCCCCCTATTTTGGAAGATGGTAACAATTCCTACGAATCTTTGGCCTGAGATAGTGATAGAGTTAGAAACCAAGCCGATCCTCTTTCACTATGGGTTATGGAAAATAAAACAGTAATGGAAAACAACAAAAATACATATGGGCATGGTACAACTTCCTCTAGATCACACATAATACACCAAGTTTTTAGACACAGATTTTCGCTACTCCTTACATGGGCATGTACACTTTACAAAATTATTTGTACAATTATGCAATTTAAAGGTTTTACAAGTTTTATACAAGACAACTGGTTTGGTAAACCATTTTTAATGCTAATTTGCTATGTGGATCCATCTACACGATAAATAATTTAAAAAAAAAGACATTTCACATAGTTTGGAAAGTAACTTGCGGACCTAGAACTAAATTGTTAGTTAACCTCAACCCCAGAGTTTGTGCCGGTGAGTTTTGAGGGAATGACTACTGTTCAGTAACTCATCTGACTGGGGTAGAGGTTGTAATCTTCAATTACTATTCAATTTCAGGATTTGTTTTTCAAAAAAAACTCTCTTAATTGTCATGAAAACTGTCATAAGAGCCCCTAATTCTACATAGAATTGTTCCGAAAAAATGTATTCGCACTGGAATTGAAACAGTTTTATGAATATTCAATAGTAATCCTATTGAACAGAGGAATGTTTGTGACGGTCACTTATTGGTTTGTCAAATTAAATACACCGAGGAAATATACAACAGAAAAAAGGACACTGGGTCGATATTATACTGAGATAATAAACAGATTTACTAATTTAAAGCTCTGAAGCTCTTGAGTTATGAATCAAACACAAGGTTCATCTTGTATTGCTTTTCCCATGCAAGCAGACAGACAGACAGACAGACAGACAGAGCCAGACACCAGACTTTCAGCTTGTTCACCTTTTTCCCTTGCTTTGAAACAACAACCAAAAACATTATTTCAATCAGTCTTTTCTTCTAACCCTATAATCACTGAACCACCTAACAAATGTCCAAGGCATGAACTTTTAGGTGGTGCGGTGACTAAAGAGTCGACTGTAGCAGCAGATTTGGTAGCCAGTATTGCAAAATTAAAGGTGATATACAATATTTGCAAACATCATAAAACAAAACTACCCAAGTATTATGAAATACCTTACTTGACTGTAAGTGAATAATAGTCTCAAGCATTTTGTGAAATCATGGCACCTGGTGTGCTGTCATTTTCAAGAACAGTAGAATTTTTGTATCAATTTCGGCCGACCATCGTTGGAAAAAAAAAGCTGATTTTTTTTTCTCAAATAGTGCACCCAACTTTACCAAATTTAGTTAGTCCACCCGGTAACACATCCTTGAACGGGTGCAAACCAGCTAGTCTGGTTCCCTGATTTGACAATTCCCCGACGTGTATAAATTGCTCCGTTTCGTCTGAAGTAGGGCCAGGGAACCAGAGTACGAGAACAGCATTTTTTTTTCTTGTATGTTTTTTCAGCATCTATGGACACAAAACTTTAAACAGATCAGTGTAACAATATTTGCTATGAAATACCAACTCGCAAATCATGATCCATTTCTGAAAATTACAGCAAAAGCAAATGTTGTATGTACCCTTTAATAGACCTGTGCAATGTATTTACACATAGGTTCAAAGAGTGGAAAAAAGCCACAATTATCAGCTACTTTTCTCTGAAGGGCCGGCTTTCTGTAGACAGACCTTGAAACAACTAATTTGTGTAAATAAAGAAAAAGACATACAGTGTATTCTCACTATAGTAAACATAACTTGTGATCTACAGAAACTGTTTGATATAAGTGGTAGTTCGGTTTGATGCATTATGGTATGCACATACCGAAAATTTGGGACACAAAAGTAAATTTTGTCTCTTTGAGAGTTTGGTGACATGGTATATATTACAGTAAAATTATACAACACTGTGTGTTCGTTTCGGGAAGTGGGTATGTCACATTAAAAAGCGAAACATGAGAGAGCTCTAAAACTACATGGTTAAACTGTACATTGGTGAATTTGAGAATTGGTCTTTTTAATCTTTATGACAAATGAGTGACTCTCAAATCTTTATTACCAAGAAGTTTAAATTAAAGCTTTTTAAGCGGTAACTGTCAGGAAGACTTGTGGAGAATTGGTTTTCCTTCAGCAAGTTTCAGTTTTGGCCGAAGCAACATGAAAGATTATTTGTTTTTGCTGAAAAAAAAAATCATTTACTTATGTACATCCATTGTTGATTGCACATTAAGACCTTAAACTGAAAAATTCATAAAAAAATGAAATTTTGTAAATTTTCTTGAGGCAAAATTTACCATGTAACTTAATATAAAAAAAATAATGGGTGAATAACAACTGCAACAAAATTCTGTCACAGTTTTGAATCTTAAATTTTGTTTAAACCATTCATGTTTTGCTTCTAGATTGAAGAAGCCTGATGATATTCCACAAAATGTAAATACCTCCGAGTATAGAGGTTTAATTCCTTGGTATATATGTGCAAACAAATGTAATAACTAATAAGAAATATTTGGTTTTAAACAAGTTATAATCTGTTACTGAGTAAGATTTCAAAACAAAAACATAACGATTACTGTTAGGTTGTTTATACAATTCTCAACGCAGATATGGGCTTGATGCTTATTACTGTGCCCTCCTGCATGGAAACCATTGTACGTTTTTGTTATAATAAAGAATGTCAGACAAGTCAACCGTTGAGACAACTCGACTCAGGACAAGTCGACAGTTGAGACAACTCGACCGTTGAGACAAGTCGACCGTTGAGACAACTCAACTCAGGACAACTCGACCGTTGAGACAGCTCGACTTAATGGAAATGCATACACGTGGAGTGGAAAAAGTTGCAAACATCTGTGGCAGGACCGGTCCCGGGCATACTCGATGCACAGAGGGCGCTCCGATCCGGTGGCCGTCGCGTCGGGCCGGCGCGCCCCGCCCGCGAGGACCGGGCCCCGCCCGGCACGTGGCAAGTGGGCGCACAGGCCCGGCAAAAACAATGCCACCGTGCACGGTACGGCCACGTTGACCGGGGGAAAAACGAACGATGTGCACGGACAATCACGCTGCGCTATATCGGCTCTGTAATTTAGGCATGATAGGCCTATGCAACAAAAAAAACCTCATGTGTCATCACTCCCAAACGGCGATCAGCCGCCGTCAACAATCCCCGGTACTATTCCTCAAAACTAGGCCCAAAAACATGCGAGGCGACTTGTCTCAACGGTCGACTTGTCTCAACGGTCGACTTGTCTCAACGGTCGACTTGTCTCAACGGTCGACTTGTCTGACCCCATAATAAAGATGATTGTATGGATAGGTGCAAAGTTCACTCAGCTTCAAGTAATACTCAGCTTTTCAGTCTTTTTTACAAATTTGTACCACTTCTGTGAGTTTTGTACTTCTTGTCCAAAATTGTTTGCAAGAAGAAAGACATTCATAATACAAAAAATACAAGTTGGCATTAGGGGGGAAAAAGACAAAACTAAACCAAGTGTATGAATACAAATATGTGCGGTCTGCTACGTTTCAATAGAAATTAATTTCTGCCTTTTACATTGCAATTTGCTTTGTCTGCTGAAAGAAATGGTCACACAATTTTGAATGCTCAAAGTGCTGTTAATTAGGAGCGTTTTCGAAACGACTGGCTTCAGCTTCGGCTTCGGCTTCATCTTCAGCTTAAGGAGATTTGAGGCCCCCAACTTCTGGAACTCTAGCTACATTTTGGTGCCTGTTATGCTTCAGGAACATTCAATCTGTTGATATGAAGCCAAAAGTTGGAATAAGTTCGTTTAGTTTGCCTCTCAGTGATTCAGAAGTCGGAGGCGAAGCCGAAGACGAAGACGAAGCAAAGATTTTGAAAAACCCCTATGTTCAGCAGTAAACCTAGTTATGTGCCAAGATCATCTGGGATAAGCAAGTGTGCAAGAGCAGAAGTCTAGCATCCAGACTCCGTCTATAAAACTGCAACAGTCAGCAGCTGCAGTCAGAGACTAGGATCAGCAATGCACTCGGGTCCAAGACGCAAATCCAATGTGTTTCCTGTGGAAAATCTGGGCAACTTGACAAATGTTTTCTTTTTCCTTTTATAACAATCACCACACACAAGGGATCAGGGCATTTTCAGACTATATTGTATTCAATACCAACTCGCAAATATTTTAGTGAAAGATCACAATTCAAATCTATGCGTTTGAAAACAGACTGGGTAGACAATTTCAACCATGTACAAGTGATGTATACATAACATGACATCCTAAAGCTTCATCTTAAAGCTTGATTTTTTTTCTTGTTCAAAATCGTGTTTATCAGTGCAGCCTTCTTAAAATGCTATAAATGAAATAATATATTTTGTATAATATAACAATATAAAAGGGATCACCGAACGTAATAATAAAGACATTTTTATACACAGTACCACTTATTACAAACATTTTTTTGTTCTTTCACACAGACTCTCAAGAATCCTCCACGCGAACCGTCGACAGAGTTGAAAAGAGGAAAGGCCTCAATGCTGTTGTTTTTCTCTGACGCTGCTAAGCGGGATTGAATATACTAAGCAGAAATGTACAAAACATCCTTATTACCAATTCCAACTTGTTACCAACTACACCTTCCATGCCCAACACTTATATCCTTGCCAGGGCCCAACTCATGGCACTGCTTAACTGTTAGCAGAAAAGTTGTGCTTACTTTATAGCAGAAAATTGTACTAACCTTAATCATTATTTAACTGACATACAGATCCTTGTCAATTGATTGGTGGAAGGCACATCACATGACATTCCTTATTGCTCCCATTCATGCCGGGGCTCAAAAAGTCCCATTCGCCCATGGGGAATGGGATTTACTATTCAACAGTCAGGATTATCCTTGTTCCATGACGCTGTATTTGTGTGCAAATGCATGCTGGTGTGCACGTTGAGCGTAGCGCGTATTGTTCCAAGAGCCAGTAGCTACAGAGTTGGGTTCAAACATTTCGTGTAGGGGTGGTTTGGAAGAGAGAAATACATTTCCCACCAATTTGGTATTGAAAGAAAAGTTCATTTTAACTGTAAATCAAATACCAAGGATCTATATGTCAGTTATATAAAACAAATATTGAGTGGCTCGAAATTGTGAAATGGGAAGAATATTATCGCTCGGTAAAATCTAAACTTTTCCATTTCACTCGGCTTTGCCTCATGAAACAGAAAAGTCCAGATTTTACCTAGCGATAATATTCCTCTCATTCTACTCTGAGCCACTCAATATTTGTACACTATTTCATAGCGTGGATGTGCTAACGGTTGCGTGCATGGCAATTTCTATTGTTACGTCACTAATTTAAGCAACTTTTTTCTCCGAGGAGGGCATGCCTTTTGCTGTCGCCATGAAATAGAGGCTCTGTTAGCAGAAAATCGTGTGCTTAGCAGCGCCATTTCTTGGCTCTGCTTACTATAGCAGAAAATTCCATGCTTACGGTAAGCGTATTTCACAGGTAAGCAAGGACTTTTGGCTTCTGCGCATACGTACATCCCGTAACTAAGGATTCTGTGCTTACAGGGTCAGCACAGAAATTTTCTGCTAGCACAGTTAGCACAAAATGGTGATCCTAAGCGCGGAACTCTGTGGTTAGCAGAGCCATGAAATTGGGCCCTGGTAGCTCAAGATTTTCCTGAACAATAAATTCACTTTCCTCCTCAACTGGAAATCATTGCACGTAATGTGTCATGGCCGTTAAACCTATCAGCACCTGTACTACATTGTACTACATTGTAATACATTGTACTACATTGTAATACATTGTACTACATTGTAATACATTGTATTTATTCCCTGATGGATCTGAAAAACTACAGTAGCGCTCAGATATTGCAAGGAGTAACAGGCATGGTGGTTTGGGACAGTACAGGGACCAACGGGCAAACGTGGAATTTGTCAAAATATTTCATAAAGTACAAACCATTCGAAGCATTTTTCCATCTTTTCCAATTCATCCAATTGTTCAGGAAACTACATTTATACACATTGTTTCTTTCAAGAGTTCCTTTACAGAGAAACAAGGATGTCCTTACTTAGCAGCATCAGGAAAAAAACAAACCTGGGCCGAAAGCCGTAGAGAAGAGAAGGATCTACAGGAGACGATCGTTAGCATGGACAGCCCTCTTTATTGGGTGGCTGGTCTGTGTTGAGTTGGTTCCCCCGGGGTGCGGCCGGCTTGTGTTGTACTCCCGACTCGGCCGCGTTCAGATCCAAACTGTGCGAAGAGACGATCGGAGAATGATTATTAAAATGGGAACTAAAAACCGTGCGGAAATTTTAAATTCTGCTGAGTAAAAAAGTAATATGTAATGGAAGAGTTAGCTCTTCCCTGTTTTTATTTCCCTCATGCATCCACTAAAACCATATAGTGTTTGGATGGTTTTTAATGTTGTGCCAACCCGACCCGAAACCGACCCGACCCGGTTCGACTTCGGTTCAGATCGGGTCGGTTTTTCCATCATTTCGGGTTGAGTCGGGTCGATTTCAGTTTTGCGTTTGCAATTTTTGGGTCGGGTCGGAACAGACATCTTGCGAAGCCCGAAATAAAAAAATTTAAAAAAAGGAAACTGTTCACTGTTCCTGGTACCGTGCGCGTACTACCGCCTCATCCCAGATTCTGCATGTGGTCTGCAGTCTATCGGGCACAGTCAATAACATAACGCCCACCGGTAGGTCACAATAGGAGTGTTCACCGTACCATACGGTATGATTTGTAACTAAGAGACGACGAGTTTTGAAAACAAATCACACGACACGGGTAAGTTCAGGCACAAAAAGCAGACACAGTGTTCGTGAAATATAGGACGATTTGCCCAGGTCTGATATTCAGGGTTTTTCCGGGTCGGGTTTTCCCTCAATTTTTTGAGTTTAGATCGGTTTTGGTTCAGATCGGTTTTGGTTCAGATTCGGTTTATATCTGTAATGTTTCAGGTCGGGGTTTGGCCTGGTCCAACCGACCCCATGAACAACATTAGTGGTTTCAGGCAATGTAGTGAGTAACAGGTGGGGCGATTTTGGGCAGTAATGGAAGCACTGGGTCGATGTGCCAGTTGACTGAATTATCAAACATAACTTTAGGTATGAATGATTTGCATGAGACCATCTTCGTGAAAGCAGAAAATAAAAGACCAAATCGTCAAATAAACCACAAAGGGTAACTGACTACATAAAGGCATATAATTATATGTAATTATTAAGTTGAACAAAGAAATTGAGTGGAGCAGGATTTGGGAGACCATCAACGTAGGGCTGGGTAGCTCAGTTGGTAGAGCATCCATGTGGCTTTCCGCAGGTTGCAGGTTCAAAGCCCCCTCCAGTCAATGTCTTTGCTCAACTTTATAGATGTGAATGACATTAATAACTTCTCACCTTCCATCTTGAATGTTTTGATAAATTTTCTTAGCTGTGTCCAGGAATGCCTCTTCTACATGCTCTCCTCTGCAAAAAAAATGAAATATTGAGAAAAATAGTAAGTTGTGTATTTGGTGGTTTGGGCCCGATGAATAATTGAGGAAAGCATGAAGAGGAAGTGGCAATGAGAAAATGCATGAGAAAGCATGGCATGTTTCAATTCTCTTGGGCTGGCTAGCCAACAGTACTGCTGGCCAACACTATTCAGAAGGCCTCATTTCATGTTAAAGGTACAGTCCATCATTTGTAATTTGTGCATTTTGTTTGTTTGAAACAACAAAAGTGCTCAAAATCTAAAGAAGGGTGCTGAACAACTAACCTGATGAACTTGCAGCTCAGCTTCAGCTGTATATTTCGAGAAAAACAGCATTCTAGGATCTCGCTTTCAAATCAAAAGTTGCTGAATCATGTTTTGGACCTGAATTCAGCATCCGACACATGTTTGAGTCGATTACAGCTACGCGATATCACGCACTGATCCGACGAATTATAGCAACTGCGCACCCGTGTGCGTCGTGTCAACACTTGCGCAAGATTCGCCGAAAAAAACCCCAACTACTAATGGAAATTTCCAAAGATGCGTCTTTAGACGCATCGTTGGAAAGGCCTTCTTTCGTTGATTTCTACAAAATGACAGCAAGTCAGAAAGAATAATTTCAGAGGGAGTTTAGTCTCCTTACTATCTTTCAACCAAGTATGTTTTTCAACAATTATGATGCCAGTTACTTTTTGGATAGCTGCAAATGATGGACTGTAGCTTTAACAGTAACTGTCCGACGAATGAGATTTGAGAACAGTCAACTCAAAACAATTGCAAACATTCTGCATGAGAAACTGAACTTGGAACACTTGTTCTTAGCAAACCTTGGCGGCTCAAAAGATGGCATATAACGAATGCAGACTCTTTCATTGAAATGACTCTAGGAAACCCACAAAATGGTCCCGTTCTGACTTTACAGGCTGCTTAAAAGAAGAGCGTCCTTACGTCTTTGCACTGGCTTCTAGGAATAATAGGCCGTTCTCTTCAGCAAACTGTTTGGCCTCTTCGTACGTGACGTCCCTCTGAGCTTCAAGATCGCACTTGTTGCCAATCAGGAAGATAACCTGAGTGTAACAGAAATGGGGAAATTGAAAAAAGGAAAAAGGCAAATTTACAACAGATGGGGAATTAACAACAACCTGCTGAGCGTACGTTATGTTTCTGAACAAGTCTGGGAACTAAACAATGTGCAAGATTTGAATGGTCATTTGCAAATGTGCATTTGTATTCCTTTTCAAATACTATAAGGCTCCTCAAACCTAACCTCCTTGAGTGATTTACTAGGAATCTTCCTCACTCTTGCAAACCAACACCATATGGTAAACTCAACACCCAAACTGTTGGACTCTGATTAACCCTATCTCCCAGGGCCTTTTTGCTACGATGTAGCCTCAATCCTGCAAAATCCTCCAATTGGCTTCATGGAAAAATAGCATATAGCCTCAATCCTGCAAATTCCTCCATTATTTCTTGAATATGGTCCGTGGAGGGGTGACCACTGCCTGAATCCAGCAAAATCCTGTGGCAGTGACTGTCAATATGTTGAGGCTTGGCCAGGGACATCCTGGAGCAGTACGGAGGATTTCAAGCATAATCCAGGCCTATATTTATGCATGGCTGAGCAAAAACAACACAAGGTCCTGCCCAAGACCTTGACAAAGTGCATCCTACGAAATCAGTAACGCTCTTTTGCCATGTAACCTCAATCCTCCAAATTCCTCCACTTTGGCAAAGAGGATTTTGAAGGATTCAGGGCGGTTAGGGTTAATGGTGGTATGCCTGACCCCATGAAAGGCATAATACTCGTGCAGTACTCACTCCAACAGAATCAAACAAAACTAGCATTTGGATTTTGAAGGGTTGGGTGGTTTAGGTTAATGATCAATAAGATTACAAATTATGAATCGGTGAATTATGAACTTGGTCACATCCTCTGGTATGACAAGGAAGCAACACTCTCAAAACAGACTGAATGCGATTTGGGGTCAAATAAAGAGCTAAGTGAGCAATGGTAATTAATGGCATGTAATTTTAAAACAGTTTTAATCGTTCTCTGGTCAGAAATCGCTTGTCTCCGCTGTGCCCTTGTCAAATTCTATGCACGAGAGAGAGAATAATGGTCTCACAGCTACGTCTCAGCGTGTTGGTCAATGCCAGTTTGTTTGTTTGTCTTAGGCTGCGTCCGAATTACATGGCTACAACTTGAAATTACACACATGCCTATGGAAGTAGCCAAAGCCACTTCCTACAGACATGTATGTGACTACCTGCCATAACTGAGTTATTCCAACTCGGCCCTAGTCTACGACTCACTGTATTTGGGTTTGTGAGATTCCTGGCGTCCGTGAGCCAGCTGCTGAGATGATTGTATGTACTCCGCCTCGTGATGTCGTACACCATCAGGGCACCGGCGGCTCCCCGGTAGTAGCTTCTCGTGACCGCTCTGAGTGATCACACAAGAATGGACGAGGTTCGAACGAGACAGAACAACAAAGGTGGGAGGACTATCAGTACAGATGAATCCCATCATATACTTGAGTGCACTTTTATGGGGCAACGTGATGGTGTGTATTTGAAACAATTGCTGGTACGATGCAGTGTACCTAATTGTGTTTTCCCATGAGTGTGCTGTGAACGTTATGAATGTATTCATGTTAAGCTGAATAACAGCTGTCCACTCGTTTCTAGCCAAACTCACCAGTAGCTTCTACATGGATAAAATACAAACCTTGAACGACAGCCTACTGAGATACTTCATGTACAAGAACTCAGTTACTTCCCCCATAACCGATCCATCATTGTCTGTTATTCGATCGACTTCCTTGTTGAAATATTCATGATTCAATCTGCGATGTTCGGCGGCTGGCTTACCTAAATCTCTCCTGGCCTGCCGTGTCCCATATCTGTAGCTTTATTTTCTGGCCGGAAACCTCGATTATCCGAGTGCCGAATTCTACCCCGATTGTGTGCGGGCAATCTGCCATAACTACAAAAAGAGGGGAAAAAATTATAATAATACTGATAATTAATACTGTGATCAAATTAAGAAAATCACGAAAACAGCAAGAAATTGACCAAAACAGCATAGTTGATGTTTCTTGCAGAAAGGACCCAAGGTCAAACCATGTTACCTATTAAACTTGATTATAAGAAATGCACACGTACATTTGCAAGTATCTGACACTGACAGATTCTTCAAATGCATATGCCTATATTAAAAATGCGACCACTTTGATAATGCATCTGAACCAAGCTACATTTTGATGACAGATGGTAGACTCCATTTTATCACTTTTTAATATCTTTGCAATACCATTTTTACACACAAAAAGGCTGTAAATTTTCAAAATTAGCATAATACAAAAATACATTGTTAATAGCAAATAATTTCAAACGGGTCACTGTCAAAGCAAATTTCTTTGTTAGTGCAAAATGGATTGGGATAAGAAAAATCTAAGTGAAAAAAAATCTAACACTGCAAACGGTAACATTACTCAGCAACATAATTTAACTCAATAGCACGTTCCAGGGACGAGCTTTTAGATGATGCAGTTAGTTATTTTTTTTAATCAATCTACGTTTTAAAATTAATCAACTCCTACGGCAGTAATGGAATTACTAAATTTACAGGTACAACTAAATAACTTATATACATACGTTGTACATATATACAAGGACAGAGATATGAAAGTATCCTACTTATGCTGCCACTTGTATCTTCATTATGCAGCAAACAATATTCAAAACCAAAGATGATAAAACAGAACAGGAAAATGATAATTTGACCATTGTAACCACTTGCCCTAGCTCTGCAGCCTCTGATTCAATATATATGCGAAAGGTTCCTTTGAGGAAATTCACTGTTCTAGGGCTGGATTTGTATCCAGTGCTATGGCATGTAGATCGAGTCTGTGTTCCTTGGGGATGAGTGTTTCAATAATGAAAAATCCCGGGCAAATAATTACCCTAGGGGGAAAGTAGTCAATGTAGCATGATCATCCTGCTTGGCACTACGCATAACACATGTCCACTATCATTACGGCAGCTAAACAAATGAAGCATTAAATTTAGCACTCCGCTATATATGCATATTGCAATAGGCTCAATTTCATAAGCATATCATGTGCACTGAATAATTGTACAAGTAGCGAGTATTGGGTGTTATTTTAGCTCTGTGGCTACAGATATATTTCCTTGTTGAGATGGAATCACTTAATGAACACACTACTTAGTGACTTTCATAGCTCAGGTAGCTGGCTTGACAGGAAGATGGACAAGGCAATTGTCGAATACTATTACATCCAATTTGAGCAAATAAACAAGATTACTGATCAAATATGTCGTTATGATTGTGATTAATTGCTTGCAACGCATGTTAAAGGAAATTCAATGAATACTTAGAATGGCTAAAATATGATCATACATGTACATGTACGTAGCTAATAAGGGCTTTAGCTAGAGTGCTTTCCCCCTCAGAATAAAATCTATATTGAAAAAAAAAGAAATCAATAAATGAATAATAATTGCAGGAAATGGGTCATTTGGGAGACATTCCCATAGACTTGTGCACAAATGTGTTCATATGTCACCTAACCCCAATTTTACCTTATCCTACCCCCACAAATTTCGGTATATTTATGTTTTGGACCACGAGCAATTGATCTAGCCTAGTTTGCGACTGTAAAATTTTGCCTCTAAATGGGACCTGACACATTAGTTTCCAGTGTCGCCCTAAAGTACGGTATAATTAATGACAACAAAATGTCCGCCAAGGTCAAGCATAAATTATGAAAATAATTAAACAAAATTGAAATGCATTATCTATAAAAATCACTTTAGTTGTGCTACACAGATCTTGAACTGTTGAACACAAGTAACGTTATGTAAAGGGTGGGTGTCTATGTTAACTGATGCTCTTAGTTTCTTGTGCATTAGTTCCTCCAAAAACAGGGGTAAAACAGTTTTGGAGCAGATGGGAAAGAATAGGAAAGTAAGCTTTCGTCATCCTTCATGTCAAGCGTGTTCACAATGTACAGTAAAGCCACATGGTATGCACATGCATCTTTAAAACATGTATATACATGGAAACTACACATGCACATGTTTGCAAATAAAGTTTTCATTCTATATAGAAAGTTGGGAATGGATTGGGATGAAATAATCAATAAGGATTATTTCGTTTCACAATTAGTTTGTATTACGTATTGGTAGAAAAAAGGGAGTTGAAATAGCTTTTAATTAATAGCGATGGATCAATGCTTGTTATAATTCTCTTTCCTTGACCCTCCAGGGCCAATGTAAATTACACAGAATCTCATTGCACAAGTGGTGGGTTTTGAATCCGGATTTTTCTAACATTCAGTCTGAATTCCACTGTTTGGTTTTGATTTTGAAATTGGATATTCGAAATAAACCTTAAAAAAAAATAAGCCTACTAATTTTGTGACACAAGCTAAATAAAACAACTGGTACATCCCCCAATTCGCTCCATGGTCTCTGATTGTAACTGCATTCACTTTCTGGTGGTCTTCTTGGTATATATAGCCTGCCCATTCGAATTATCAGAGATTTCTCACCCATTTGTTTACCATTACATCTCTGGAGTGTTTTTGTCAAGGTCCGGTGGTCACTGAATCCTGCAAAATATACCCAATCATTGGGAGGGCATTTCATGTGGCACCTCACTTGTCAATTTTTATTGACATGACTGTGTGCTGAATGGGAATTCCTGGTGAAATCGGATCACCGTTATTTGGTAAAGAAAATTAGGATAACCTGATTTAAAAAAATCTCTGATATCTCCTACAACTACATTGAATTCAGCATTGTTATGGCTATTATTACATTGTACTTACATTTCTTTTCTGTGAACTGGTGTAGCAAGCATGATTTGCCGACACCCATATCACCTATAATGATGTACTTGAAGATATAGGAATAGTTGTATGGCCCACTAGCCATGGTGTTATACCTGTAATAAAAGAATGAAAGTAAAATGCAATGATGGTTAAAAGCTAAGAAAGGTACTTTAAAGCTGAGGTCTGAAAAACATTGTCCAGGAATGGGTCTTCATGGTGCTTTATATATGGCAAAGTGTACACTCGAAAATGTATATTAGGCGAAGTAAAAAAAACCATGTTTCTCCTCCCCGCCCGCTTCCTTTTTGGAGGCCGCCTGGATTTTTTTATTATTTTTTATTTTTGAAAAATGCAGTAAAAAAAACACCGAAAAAGTCCACAAATTCATCGGAAAATAAATTGTAGACCAATACAAGTCTAAATGACACTGTGTAAAGTTCTCTTGTCCAACTTATCTTTCATATTTTAAAAGTTTCTTTGAACAGTGGAAATACCAACGGTTGCAGGAAATGTTTAAATGGCGGGCATCTTGAAACAAGTAAAAAATTAAAAGCCCCACTTCCTCCTTTTTTTCAAAAACCCGGACGAGAAAAATGATTTTTTTATTTGGCCTTATCAAAAAGGGTTTCTAGACACCTTTTTACACATATTTCATGTTTCACATAATATCTGTGAGTGTGTTGTAAAAATAAATGCAAACTGCTATGCCCTAGTTTAATTTTGTATAGCAAAAAAAAACCAACACATTTCTGTATGGAAATCTATGAGATTTTGTATTGTAAAAATTCAAAATTGTTTCGTGATGCAAATCAAGGAAAAAGTCCAACACATGCAGGGACTGTTAAATTCAGTGACAATAAAAGGAAAAAAATGTCTACTCTGTACTCATGCACATCAAGGAGAAACAAAGAACTGTCCACAGCGAGGGCGCTCTGTGCAAGCTCTCTACAGAATTTTTTAAAAAAGGGCACAATCTGTGCACACAGATTAGTAATTTGTAATTGCGCTTTAAGCCAGCAAAGTCAAGAGCATTTTCAAAGTATTTTCTAACAAAATTGGAAATGTTTCTCACAGATTCATGCCTTTTCAACATGTTTGCAATGCACAATGATCGCCCCATAACAATTAAAATGAAACTTACATAAAATAAATGCAGACCTTGTATCAATGGCATCCCTTTTTACTCACTCTCCAACACACCCATTCCCCCCCCCGAAAAGAAATATAAAATAAATAAAAAATAGAGATGAACCGATGTAAAAAAAAACGCAGTGGCTATCGTTACGGCAGCCGTAACGCATTTCCCATTTTCTATCGTTACGGTAGTACTGCAACTTTTAAAAAAACATGAGAAGAAAATATTAAATTAGAAGGAAAAAAAGTGAATTTGAACGTTATGAAATTCGGACTTTATTTCCCTTTTAAAAAAAATCCTCCAAAGCCTCAGGTTAGAAAAGGAAAAAAATTCGAGTGCAAAACTGAGATGCGAACCAGCAACCTCGCGGTGCAAAATCCTACCCTCTATCGACTGAGCTGTCGCACTGCTCGCTAAAACGTGGGGAAGCAAATAATTATATACCTGCGTGCGTATCAAAAAAGTATCGTAGAGGGCGCTAAACAACGGCTGCCGTAACGATAGCCACTTCGAAAAAAAAATGATGACTAAATTCAATATTTATAAATTCATGGAAAGACTCCCATATCACGCCATCACTAATTTTTCACTTCAGTGACCTATCAGCCATCAGAAAGTGATAATAATATGTCCTAAACAGTCAAATCTAGCAGGGAAAATATTTAAGTATTTACTGAGAAAACACTAGACCAGTCTCATCAGCTCATACATGACGGTTTGTGCACTGTCAAGTGATGGCCAGACTGCATGCCAGATATGGGAATCTGTCCAAATAATTTCAGTTGTTAAAATTATACTTTATAGTAATACTACACAGTCCCTCGACACGGTAAGCGAATCAAAAGATTTGCATATAGCGGTGAACTGGGCCGGGAACGGCACGGGATTGCACAATAAAGTATAAACAATAAACAGATTGCCAACCGCAGGAGACTACGGTCGACCGTTCAGCCGGCCAGCTCAGCTCGACAGCACGAATGTGAACGGTTCGTGCTTCCTTCGTACTGTCATCATGACTGTACAGAATGTGCGGAAAATAACAACCACGGACAAAAATTTACAATACTTACGCTAAGTCTACCCCTCTAAATAAGAAAAGCAACTCTTGATTGTTCTTTTGGACTCAAATCACGTTGAAAAGCGGGGTCAGAGTTGGCAAAATCCGAAATTTACTCTTGTAATCTCCGGCGCGATATATGCGGAAGATTTTGTTCTCGTGACCCTAAAAACAAGATGGCCGACTTGCTGCTTCGAACCACCCTCTGACGTCATAACCAATTTAGTTTTGCCCGATTAAGTACGCGTGGAGTATGTGATGTGGCAGTCAAAATTTTATCTCAAATACACAAAATAAATTTTGCTCCAGAACAAAGAACAGCAGGAAAAGAAAATGTGTGTCATGTTCTACCTCCATGGTCAAATATAGAATTTGTACATTGTGGGAAAAAAGGTTTTAAAATGACACAAAAACAGCACCGAGTTTCTTTTTTTCATCGATCTAAAAAAAAATCCTACCCCGTCAAAATTTGAAATTTGTTTGAGCAAGATATGTCAGTCATATGAACTATTGGTTGATGAATTAATTTAAAAAAAAAAGTAATTTATTTAGCTTTACTTTTAAAATTAAAGCAAATAATTGCCTCTGTGACTCCTCCAACTCAGCCCCTCCCCTCCCCTCCCCCTCAATCCCCCTTCTCGAAACACCCACAAACACGCCCAGATCGCCTTCATGATTGCTATTCACTACATATACATATACATGTTTATTGTTTCTCCAGTCATTTTTCATATTTTGGGATTTGAATTATTTTGACGTCTAACATTAACATCGTACTGTACGATGTTAGTTGTTACATCTTTACTTTTGGGATTTTTTTTACCGATACCATTCCTTTTATTTTTGTTTGTCTACATTCCAAGTTCGTTGACCTTTAAATGGTATCCGGCAGCAGAGCATGTATTTCAAACTGACTCAAGTGTGTGGGGGACAGTGAGGTGCTTGCAGACTAGAATCAAGATGGCGGCCTCCTTGGCCAGACAGTTTTGGTAAGATTTCCTTGCATTTTTTGTACTTAAAGTGTCGCAAATAACACTTAAATTAACCAACCCATTGTGGGATAACTACTTATAGTTCAAAGGTTTTGGTTAGTTTAGTCAATATTATTTTTAAGTGCTTAACTTGAATGATATTTAGTATTCAATCATTGCATTGCATTGCGCCTGCGGTCTGCATGAGATTGCACTTGCAGGTCAACTCGCCCCCTAGCCACGTTCACGGGTCTACTCACCCCCTGGCCAACTCACCTCTTACCGACTCGCCCCTTACCGACTCGCCCCCTGACCGACTCGCCCCCTGACCGACTCGCCCCTTACAAGCTCGCCCCCTGGCTGACTCACCCCTAGCCGACTCGCCCCCTCACCAACTCGCCTCCTAGCCGACTCGCCCCCTGACCTACTCGCCTCCTGACCGACTCGCCCCCTGGAAAATTATGTACCGTACGGGGATGCCCCGCTCGCATTAACAAGATTGTTTGACCTTCTCCAGATGGAAAAATACCCCTCCAAAAGCACATGTCTCAGACATGTGCTTCAAACATGTCTCAGCCCAAACAAATAACTTCCTAATTTGTTTCACGTTGCGACCGGGCAAGCGGTGTTCCCCTCCACTGTCTTTATTTTTTTTCACAATGTCCCCGTACGGTGCATCATTTTCCAGGGGGCGAGTCGGTCAAGGGGCGAGTCTGTCAGGGGGGTGAGTCGCCTAGGAGGCGAGTTGGCAAGGGGGCGAGTCGGCCAGGGGGCGAGCTTGTAAATATTTTGAAAAGAATGTGCAAAAGTAATTTATTTTTTAATGAGCATAAGTTTTGTAATATGATTTGTACCTTGTGAGTTACCTATCACTCAGTCATGTCAGTCGATCTATTGTGCCCATGGTCTACTGATAGCCCAACTCTAATTATCCACCCTCCACTGCCACCAACACCACTACAAGTATAAATCTAGGAAAGAACGTGGCATCCTGACGCCACTTTCGTCATCATATATTATCTCAGTGACAGTCAATCATTTCAAAATTGTTGAAAAGACATGAATCTGGGACTGGGACTGAGAAAAATTCAAATTTTGTTAGAAAATACTTTGATAAAGCACCCGAATCTCCATAGACTTGCCAAAGAAGTGGTGTCTGGATACTACATTCCTTCCAAAATCTATGTCATCATGCTCCTCATCCATGATTTTGTCTTTGTTCAAAGGATGAAAAGATTGAGATCTTCTTAACATACTGGAGACTTAAGAAAGCAACCAAATGGATATGTATGTATAGAGAGCAGGCATCTGTGGGTAGACACAGCAATCGACACCATGTCTCAACAGATTCAAGACCCCATTGAGCTGTTCCATTTGCTGCTGTCCAGTGACCTCCATGTCATCCAGGAGATCAAATTGTTAATCCAGGATAGCCTCAACTCCGGTAGGTTTACGGGACCCCCCCCCCCCCCCCTCACAAACAAAAGGAAAAATATAAAACAATTCTTTAGTGAAGTATGAGGCCACTAGTCAGAATTTCTTCACATTAATACACACTTTTTATAATTTGGTCATTGTAACTGTGGTTATTTTTTCATCTAAAACCCCAGAAAATAAGTATTTTGTCGCAATTCGCAAATTCCAATGCAATTTTCTCTTTTCTGAATAATCGTCATATCTCAAACTTTATACACAACATACAGATTATTACACCCTCCAAGTTTGTCAATATCATGCTTTAAAACACCACTTTTGAGGCAACAATCTCACAAGGCACACACAAACTGTGACGTCATTGTCCACCAGTAAACGTGACAAGAGACCCACACTTTACTCAAACATGCATTTTTATTCAAAAGATATATTTGTTTTCCAACCAGACAGACAAATTGTGATAAAAACAATACTGCCTATTTTTATTGATAGTTACAGCAAAGGATCCTGGCTTTCTGAATACCCTTTTGGACTTCTACATTCGCACCAACTCCAATAATGCACTAGAACTCCTAGCTGGCGTCCGAGAGCCCTTGGACAAGGTAAGATGCACTGGTTAGGTCTTAGTATACTTCACGATGCCAAACATCAAGGAAATGATCAGGACCAGTTATAAATGTAACTTGCTAGATCCTTGTGACGAGGGTCATAGAATGGGTGACTGGTTGAATGGTGCTCTAACCCTCCACTGCAAAACATACATTCTGTGCCAAGTTGTCTTTTCAGTCAAAATCAATCAAGCAAGGGCGGATCCAGAACACAATTTTTTTGGGGGGCCCAAAAAAATTTGGTCACCCCAAAAAGTGGGTCAAAAAAATTACGGCGTGGCGTTCGGGGCCCGCTTAAGGGCCCCGAAATTTTTTTGGATTCTAGATGCTCTGTGGTGCGATCTGAGGCAATTTCTGACCACTTTAACCAATGTTTTTTGAGGAAAAGATGGTGGTGTACTCATTGCCTGCCTTTATTGCGATGTCACATAAAAAAAAATATAAAAAACTGGTTTCGTTTTTGGGAGGGGGGCCATGGCCCCTTTGGCCCCCCCCCCCTGGATCCGCCCTTGCAATCAAGTGACTGTTTTCAACAGTTTAGAGCTCCCAGCTACATAAAGCAGGAATTGACTGGCTGTGACTGTTTACGTAACTTGATACGGCTATGCTTTGACTGTCGGTGATTGAAAAGCCAGATGTGCCTACCACTTGTCTGCTTTTGTCTGTTGACTGAATTTGACTTGTCACAGTGCTTGCTTGAAATGTGATTTGACTGTTGGTGACTAGCTTGTATAAAAGGCGGCATGGCAGGGGAAGAGGATTGATTTTTTGACTGTCTGTGACTGTTCAGACAGCAGGAGGGCTACTACATGCATTCAAAACTTCTTCCATCCAGACCAGCCAATTGTGGTCACCAAAACTATTCCAAAATCATAAAACAAGGTTAAAAAATGTGTATTCAACCCTAAGGAAGTCATTGGTAGAGAAGCAGTGGGTACCATGGATACTGCAACCCAGATTGTTGAAAATTGGAAAACTTATTCTTGAAACTACCTACAAGGAATCGAACTCGTTTTCTTGGTCCTTAGTCCCCTTCCAAGGCTTACTAGGTTCACTTTCAACAGAAATGCTCCCTTCTTTTTTGTAGCCATTGATGGACAGACTGAACGATACCATGAAGGCCGGCCACAAGCTTCAGAGTTTGACCCTCTTAAGTCATGTCGTCAGGCATCAGCCGTCATGGCTACATAAGATCGTTCAAGCGCCACTGTTTGCCTCTCTCCTCAACTGTCTCAAGGTAAAGTTCCTTGGAGTCATCATTTTTTTAGGAATGCTTAATTAAACATTTTTAAATGTGAAAGAAATATGTTGAATTTAAAAAAATATATATATATATCTTTGCTTAACCCTAACTCCCTAGTGTCTTTTATTAAGAACTGGACCAAGTCCATCAAAATCCATCAATCACTGTGCTTCCAATACAAAAATGTACAAGACATAATGGAATCCACCACTGATGCACTGGTTGACATTGATGGACTTAATACACATGGCTAATTGTATGGCAATAGCAGTACAGGAAGCTAGGCAAAATCAATCGGATAACCCTAGCACAGCTTCAGGCCTTCAGGCCCAAGTCCATCATACTCCATCAATATTGAGTCACACCAGGCCTCCTGGACCAAGTCCCCCAAAATCCACCGTTCTCTGTGGTATACCAACCCAAATAAGAACAATTTCATATAAATACTTCAAAAAAGGTAATTTTTTAACATCTTTAATTCAGTAGTTTATTCCTGCTTTTTCTGTCTCTACCCAGATGGACACGGACATCCCTGTCATCATGTGCGGGTTGCTAACGGTAACCACCTTACTTCCCATGATTCCAAGTCTGGTCGGCCCGTTCCTGCAGCACGTCTTTGTCATATACTCCCGCCTGGCTTCCTGGACCATCAAGAAACCTGGTAGGGCAAAAGTCTCTCAAACACCATTATTTAGGTTGATCATATACAGTCATGATAATTGGAATATTAGCAGTTATGTGGGATTGGTGATATAGAAGTAAAGTGTGGTCAGTGATTTTGGTCCCCAAGGCTTTTTGTTGATTGAAACCATAGTGTCTTGTACCCTTTTTCTGTTTCATTATGAGCCTGGAGAGACTTGTGACTTGACTCAAATGTCTTTTAATTTAAAGGCCTTGTAACATTTGCAAACATCATAAAACAAAAATTGCCAAATTATTATGAAATTCCTTACTGGACTGTTTGTGAATGACAGTCTAAAGCAACCTGTAAAATCATCGCACCTGGTGTGCTGACATATTCAAGAAAGGTGGAATTTTTGTATCAATTTCCAACGATGGTTGGCCGACCATCATTGGAAAAACTGGCTTTTTTCTTCTTCAAATACTCCCCCCAATTTACCAAATTTAGTTAGTCCACATTTTGTTAGCAATCGGTGAATGGGTGCTAGCCAGCTAGTCTTGTTCCCTGACCTGACAATTCCTGTTTCATCTGAAGTGGGGTCAGGTCCCTGACGTCTATAAGTTGCTCTTTTTCATCTGAAGTGGGGTCAGGGAACCAGACTCCAAGAACAGCATATTTTTTTCTTGGTTTTTCCAGCATCTATGAACACAAAACTTTAAACAGGTCAGCGCAACAATATTTGCTATAAAACACTAACCCCAAATCCATCCATTTCTGAAAATTACAGCAAAAGCAAATGTTGTATATTACCTTTAAGGCAGAGTCAGAGGGGAATGATTTTGTATTTTGTAAGTAGGCGTAAGTAAGCCTTTCATGCATTCATTGTCACTAATTAAAATTAACAAAAAACACCATCTAAAGCACCTGTCACATGTAAAGTCTATTGTCCTAGATAGTTCATGAACGTTTTACAATTGCTTTTGTTTCTGACACAGGTGGTATACCAGATGTATATCAGCTGCACATTCAGGTGGCTGTGTACGCACTGTTCCACCGTCTGTACGGCATGTACCCGTGGAACTTCCTCCAGTATCTCAGATCTCACTATCATAACAAGAGCGCTGAATTTGAAGCAGCAGTCCTGGTGAGTTATTCTCTTTATTCCTTTGGTATTGAATGTCTTGAACCCTCCTATGCAAACATACATTCTGTGCAAAAGTTGTCCTTTCAGTCAAAGTCAATCAAGTGACTGTTTTCAAAGCTCCCAGCCTACAAAAATAGCAGGACTGACTGGCTGTGACTGTTTGTGTAACTTGATACAGCTATGCTTTGACTCTAGGTGATTGATAGCCAGCTGTGCCTACCACTTGTCTGCTTTTGTCTGTTGACTGAATTTGACTAGTCATGGTGCTTGCTTGAAATATGATCTGACTGTTGGTGACTAGCCTGTGTAAAAGGCATGACAAGGGAGAGGATTGATTTTTGACTGTCTGTGACTGTTCAGATAGCAGGGGGGTTAATATTGGAAATAAGTTCCATTGTGATCGACTTCTCCCTTTCGTTCTTTTTTTTGTAAAGCCGATGTTGGAACGTGTTCGCATGCATCCGTCTTTAATCACTGGCTCTGCACAATCAGAAATGGAGAGAACAAGGTAGGAGAATGCTGATTTTTAATTTTTTTTATTCAAAAAATTCTTAATGACTTAACTCTAACTCCCTACTGTCTTTTACTAAGTACTGGACCAGGTCCGCCCAAATCCATCAATCATGCTGCTTCGAAATGTATTCTTTGCTTTAGGCCTCCAGGCCCAAGTCCATCATACATGTACATATACTCCATCAATATTTAGTCAAACCAGGCCTGCAGGACGAAGTCCCCCAAAATCCACCAAAATGGGGGGATGGATTTTGATGGAGTTGGGGTGGTTAGGGTTAAAATCTGACTAAGTTAACACCATTAGATCCTTTTAGAAATAAGGAAGGTTGGAGATTATCCTTGCATTAATTCTATGAGTTATTGTTGAAAAAAGATAGTGACAAGTTTGGGAAACTGCAAACATGGGGCTTGATAGCTCAGTTGGTAGAGCACCGGTACAATCCGGAAGTCGCAGGTCCAAATCCTGCCCAAGTCAATTTCTTTGTTCAACTTAATTATTATTTTGCATGCAGGCAGTCAATTTCCCGTCGTGGTTTTTAGGGTTCAGTAATATTCTGTTTGATTCCAAGATGGCGAAAGATGGAAGTCCACGATGTGCTGATGGAGTGTGCCCGCGTTTCCTTGGATACAACAGAATCGGCCAGAGATGACTCTTGTAGCTACACCCCGGCGGCTGTGGGCTATGACCCTGAGCGACGGGGGTCAAAGGGCACACTAATGGGCATGATAGGTCATGCCATCCGGACCTCCTCACCGATTGTTGATTCCCAAGGTACACATCACGTCCTGTCTAAAAATTATTCCCCCCACAAAAGTTGTTTAAATTGCAAATTTAGAATTGATCAGTGCAAATTGTTTTAGTCTGTAAATGTAGTTTTCTTGAAATTTATAGAGTTTTGGTTCGTCTGTTGTTAGATTCAGTACACTTATGCGAACCCTGCCCTCAGGATGTGTCAAATGGATCCACAGTTGTCAAGTTAATTTTGTTTTCAAAATGTTTTGGGCAACCACCAGTCAGAAAATCGCAATCGATTGAATTGATCTAGATAACGATTTGTGTATGGCAATGCTGTCTTTTTTGAATTCTCAGAACCAACTCACAAGCCCCTAATACAGTGGGAAAGTGATGCCAAGAAGAGAGATCCCGAGACGCAAAGCCTGGTCTCGTCTCAAGACGGCGGTATATCCATGTTCAGTCCCTCCGTTGTGTGCGGTCTGAGCACCCCTCCGCAATCCCACCCACCGTCCCCGCAGGGCAGCCAGTTGGACATCAGTCTGACCTCCTCGGTCCATCTTCACTGCACCACCCCTCACCTGGACACGCCCACCCCTCTGTCAACGCCCCGAGAATCCCCACACACGAGTGCAGCAGCTCGGCTCAGCAGTCGCATGTCCAGTATGTCTAGTATAAGCGACACTAGCATCCACAGCCGGGGGAGTAAATCCAAAACCCCACGGGGGAAGCTCCCCCCGATCGCTACCCAGTCGGCAATGGCTCTGGGCCGGACGGTCTCGGCACCGGTCACGCCGGGGTACGAGACCAAATCCCTCCCCACTACGCCTCAGAAACCTCTCATGCAAGCCAAGGCTGCTTCGCATGAGATCACCAAGCAGAGGAGATTTGTCTGGGAGGATGCCAGTCTGAGCGACTCGCTCCCCAGCAATGGAGACCTGTCGTTGTCGGGGAAACAGCTGGCTGAGCAGGAGGTAGTGGAGGCAAGATCTGAGAGAGCGGAGAGCTCGGTCTCCTTGAAGGACCTTCCTGAAGTCATCAAGGATCTGAATCATGCACAGGAGAGACCGACAGATGGTAAGTACGGCTAGGTCTGTATGGGGCTTTCCTGTTGGGACTATGGTTTCCACCAGTGATACACCATTAAAACTGTTGGTATCCATAGCCATAGCCATAACAAAAATCATTTGGGCTTACTGTCTGGTTCCCTGAAGGCAAGAGACTGACAAAGCACTGACTGTGTCAGCATGTTAACTGTCTGTGTTGGTGCTATTTTGAATTTCAGATTATTTTACATTATTGCGAGTAATATTTCATTTTTACTTTTCCAGTTGAGGCAATAAATGAAGAGGTTTCATCGTTCACTGGCAGCCCGTTAACAATCTGTGATTTTGAAAACTCCACTGGTTCCGGCAAGAACATTCCGGTCCAAAGTAAACCTACCGAGATAACTCCTGAACCGGACGCAGAAATGGACTCAACACCAGTCTCCAGCTTGTCAGAGCAACCCACAATCATCAATCAAGGTGGATTGATTCATCACGTCAACGGAAACACCCGACCGGAAACTGTCCGAACCCAGAGTGATCCCAGCGCCACGTATCGCAACGCCACCATCAAGGCGCTAGTGGAGAGCGAGTCCCGCCAACGAACCAGCAGCTTTGGCAGCAAGCCAGTCGACAACTTATCAACCGACCTGTTTGGAGTCAGGAAATCGCAAGATGTTACTGTAGAACCAAGCACCACCTATCAGGGCTTTATGCCCATCTTAGACAGCTTTGAATCGCCGATTTCAAGACAAGGCGCACAGAGTACCACGTCAGAGACCCTAAGCACCCCTGGGCCACCGTTCATTCAGCAAGCACCTCTCCAGATGCCCTACAAGCATCTCTTCAATATGATCGTACCCACCCTGCAAAATCTGACTCCTCCTGGTAGCATGTCCAGGGATCATTCTCCCTCGGTGTCTAGCGCCAACACCACAGGAAGCGGGATGTACGCCACACCTCCCCCGACCTCCAGAGTAGAATCTGCTTTATCCAGCGGCACTCCGACGGACGGTATCGGGACAGTGCCATTACATTCCTTGTATTCACCGAGTCAGCTGCTAGACCGGCACCTCCAGCTTGGGAACCAGACTCATGATGATCGGCTGACGGGGTAAGCCAAGTTTAACCCTTCTTACTCAGACCAAGCCATCAGCTGCATTTGTGAGGTTCCATGGAATCAATAGAATTTCCCTTTATTGTGTTTATACTGAAGAAAGTGTGGGTTAATCAGTAAATTGATACTCAACCCCCCCCCCCCCCCCCATCCTGCCCTAGTCTATGAAATTAGCAGATTCGCTGATTACTTAGGCAAGACAACTGCCTCTTGACCTCTACATTTTGACCAGTCAGCGGGCGCTTCCTATATCGGATCTTCGGTCATTCACCCGTTGTCGCGTCATAGACAATGGATAAAAAACCTAGACACAGCAACACAGCCTGTGGTCACTCGCTTTTATGTTACGTGATACGCTCAAGCTTGTTTAGGTTTTATCGATCTATATGGCCGGCCGTAATTGTTGTATTACAAAACACTGCATTCGATTTGACCAATCAAACAATCCTGATTTGAATGAAATGACGTCACGCTTTAGTAAAGTTGACTCCGAATAGCTGAGGTGCAGGATCGCATAAATCTGCATGCTTATATCAGACGTTGAACAGGAGACTCACACTACCCCCTCCCTTGAAGAACAACAAAATGATCCGCCTGACCCACCCATTACTGTGTATTTTTGTTGTGTTTTTAAACAACAAGGTTTTTTGGGAGGCAGCTTTGCCACCTGTCGCCCACTTGTGAACACACATGTATACACCTTCTGTGCTTTATACAGCGGTGATGGAGGACAATGTGTCTTGGTGTTATTTTTCTTTTCAGTTTGCCCTTGACGAGCCAGGAATCGGTAGACTGGACCCATTTTGGAGGTAAGTTTGTTTGCCAGGTACAGGAGTGGCTGTCCTCTAAACTTAAAAGAGGTTGTGGAATGCTCGAAGACATTTCCGTCATTTTTTGGGTATATGTAGCCTAAGGTGTGATGAAATAAAAATGACTATTGTTTCTGTCATGAAATGAGTACAAAGGGTACTTTTGAGAGCTACTTTTCAGGTCCTGTTTCGACCTGAACGTGCAATTTGTGTAAAAGTCGTCGTTGTGTGCAGCAAACAAAACACAGTAAATCGTGACGTAATAAACAGGACTCGTTTATGCTACTCTGCATCAGGAGTCCTGTTTATTACGTCACGATTTACTGTGTTTTGTTTGCTGCCCGCAACGACGACTTTTACACAAATTGCACGTTCGGGTCGAAACAGGCATGACAGGACTTAAAAAACAGCTCTCAAAAGTACCTTTTGTACTCATTTTATGACAGAAACAATAGTCATGTTTATTTCATCACACCTTAGGCTACATATACCCGAAAAATGACGGAAATGTCTTCGAGCATTCCTCAACCTCTTTAAGGTCAATATAGTTTTCTCTGAATTTTCAATTATGTTTGGGTACAACATAATATGATCCTGTTCTGTTGGTTAATCACATAATTATTCTAGGTAAACAGTATATCTATAAATGCAAATATGATAATAAAAAAAACTCCTGTTTTAAATTCCTTCAAAAATTTTGTCATGTTAACAGAGAGAATTGAATGTAATGTTGCTCAAAGGAGGGACAAACTTGACATGCATAAACTTAAGTGGCACCATTTTAGTGGAATTAACATAATTTGCCTGTGTCCTTACTGTATTTAAATTGATGTGACCATTTAATGTCCATTCTTTGTTTGTCCTTGTACTACTCTGTAATAAATTTTACTTTGATTCTTTTTTACTGATTGACTGAATAAAAAAAAATTTAAAAAAAGGTTCGTTGGACCGTCTTTGCAAAATGATTCAACCGTGGGTCCTGCTATTAACCCTAACCCCCTAGGCCCTTGTTGCTTACAACCATCCTCAATCCTCCAAAATCCTCCAAAATTTTCCAAAATTTTGCAACTCCGCCTAAATATTTCAAAATTGTCAGACAGTCCTGCCTCAAAATGCATTCATCCTCAATCCTCCAAAATCCTCCTCATCCCAAAACTTTGCACTCGTGTTTAAATGAAGGATAACCAACGCCAAATCCTTCAAAATCCTCAGACAGTCCTGCCTCAAAATGCATTCATCCTCAATCCTCCATAATCCTCTTGTGCTTCAATCACCATTCATCCTCAATCCTCCAAAATCCTCATGTGCTTCAATCACCATTCATCCTCAATCCTCCAGAATCCTCATTTGATTCAATCACCATTCATCCTCAATCCTCTAGAATCCTCCAAAACCGCCAGGAGGATTTTGGAGGAGTGAGGTGGGTTAGGGTTAATGCGCTGAGTTGTGTTCTTGCCCAAAAGTTCCTTCATCAGGTTCTCATATATAAGACATCTGTTTTTTGGTAGGTTCTCCTCCAGTGGACGAGATCAAACTCTTGAAGGGTCAACTGCAGCTGCTACATAACCAGCTTCTGTATGAGAGACACAAGAGAGAAGTACATGCTGAGAGGAATCGACGACTGCTCGGCAAGACACACAAGGTAATCCTAGGTCAACAACTGAGTTCAGTATATTTGATTTGATTATCTTTATTTTGTAAGAAACAAGATTTTGTAAGACTGCTATTTCATAATCACCATCATTAGTGTTATTATCGTTATCATTGCCATTGACATAATGTCTTTAGCAACACTATCTTAGTTTCCATCACCAACATCAGCATCATTGTCACAAGTCTTTTTATTCACTCTCTAATAATGACAAGAAAAATGCTCAGAGCTTTGTGTATTTCTCGGTACTATTGTACATCGAAGACTTGTTTCTGTTAAAAGTGACTACCAATTATTATTTTTCCTTGAAAGTCTGTGTTAATCTTTACTCGGCTTGTGTATTCAGTTAGATCCATCAGTTATTGATCAATGATCAATACTTTCTGATTGATTGATCGTTGTTTTGATTGATCAGGCTAAGGCGCTTGAAGAGTCCAACTCGGCCATGCAGAAGCAGCATCAACTCCTGGAGACTGAAGTCAACCATCTCAAAGCGGCCTTCAAGCTACTACGAGAGGAGAACAAACAGCTCGCTGAGGCTAATGCCGGCAAAGACCAGACCAACAACGCACTCGTGAAGTCAGTGCCCACGCTTGCACCAAGTTTCAGAGTCTAAAATTGGGAAAATAGGCTTGTAGTCTAAGCGTTCATACAGGTTGCCAAAGCTTAAAATATCCACTGATTTGGGATGTAATCTGGGGCCAATTTCATGGCACTTTTAAGTACCGAAATTTGATTCTGCTAGAATGGAAATGTTAGGCTGTCTAATTTTGTTTGAAATTTGGTAGGCAAAGAAAATATCTGCTTAACAATGACAAGTTACCAATTAAAGTGGTTCATTACTTACAAGTGGTGGAATATTACTTACAGGTGGTTCTAAGCCATTTTTTCCTTTTTACATAAATTGCTTCTCTGCTTTTCATATTTATAATCCAAGAGAGGCCCTTTAAGCTTGTATTGAATTAGAATGCAGTGCTATTTCCTTTTTTTCTATTTGGCTTTATATTTGTTGTTTCTTGGTTAAATTTGTAGGAAATTACAGACAGAGAATGATCACATGCGAGATGCAAATGAGGAACTACAGAAACTACTGGTCCATCACAAGCATGAAGTGGACAAAGTCACCAAGGTATGCACTTTAATATTCCCCTCGACGAACCCCCCCCCCCCCCTCCAGCCGAGAAGCAACTAGAAACTCACAAGATTTACTACCTGATATCTTCTTGTTCCCATACTGACGGCACTCCTACCATCCAAGCAGTTTCCCTCAGTGGCATGGGCGTCGCCAGGATTTTTTACTAGAGGGGGGCAAAGCACTCTCCAGAACAAAGGGAGAAATCACTGGCTGTGGGAAAAATCAAGAGGGGGTGCTAGACATCACTCGGCACTTTGTTACAAAACGTGATACCTATTGTATAGGGCCGCATTCCGGCACGATATTAAGAACATACATTCGTTGGTTATACGTGCGATCAATGATTTTTTTTTGGTCTCTTATGTGGTTTTTTTCTTTTTGATTTTGCATTTCAGAACCTGCAGGCTGCTAATGCTCAATGCTTCACAGTTCAACAAGAGCTAGACAACACCAGGGCTGACATAGCTACAAACAGACATCTGAAGGACGAGGTATGTCAAACTTGTGAATATTGACAAATTCTGTTAAGAACTTTTGTTACTTACACAGGGATTTTGAACATTACCAAGCAATATGCATGAAAAGGTATGCCACTGTTCAGGTTGAATAGATTTTGAACATTACTTGGCAATGTGCATGAAAAGGTATGCCACTGTTCAGGTTGAATATGCAAGTATACTGAATATGCGAGGTTTTGTCACAGCATAGGAAGATGATGAGCCTTTTCATTTATCTTTGCCTATTCTTACATTACTCATGAGTGTTGTGGTTTTTTCATCCATAACTAGAAATCTTTTAATTTTGAGAAGATAAAATAATCATAGTCTTTCATCTTTACCCACTCTTTACAAACAGAGATTGTGATGCTGTTTAATCATCCACTCTTACTCCCTCCAGTGATCTCCACTCGTGAATATTCATGTCATGATGCCGTTCTGTTTTGTCTTCTCCCACCCTCAGATTGCCCGGTTGAACAAAGAGCTATTCCTTATGGGAAAGACCACTGTGAAGCTCCATTCATGAATATTCATGAATGGTGCCATTCTTTTTTGTCCTCTCCCGCCCCCAGATTGCTGGTTTGAACAAAGAGCTTTTCCTGATGGGAGAGACCACAATGAAGCTCCACTCATGAATATTAATGGTCTGCCATTCTCTTTTGTCCTCTCCCACCCCCAGATTGCCCGGTTGAACAAAGAGTTGCTCCTGATGGGAGAGACCAACGTGAAGTACCAGGAGAGAGTTGACGGGATGCGGCGGGATGAGAACAGGACAGAGGAGAGGGAGATGAGCTGGGTCACACTCAAGAAGGACCTGGCAGGTAGGAGGCGGGGAAAGAGAGTACAGACTCCACCCCTGATTAGTGTTGCCTAGAAACCATCTGCCAATTGTTGAACAGCTTTGACATGATGATTTGTGAGCTGTCAGAGGTCTGAATGTTGTGAGGGTTTTTAATGAAGGTTCTTCATCTCAATTTTGTTGGTGTAATTTAGTAAAGTAAAGTAAAATCTGTCACGAGCCAATGTGGCCCATCAGGCTGGCATTTATCTTTGGTTTCAGTAGCATGAAACAACTCAGAATAATTTCCCCCGGACGGGATGCAGCTGGATTCGAACCTCTAACCCTCTGATCATGAGTCACTATCCCTAACTAGTACCAGGCCACACTCCCCGCGTTTGGTGTAATTTGCTGCACAATGATTTGTCATTGGTTAAAGTAGCCTCGGAGTAGATATTTGGCTTGTGTCCCTATGAAGCATGCTTTACTGCAATTTCCTCCGTCTGAAAGCCAGTTGCTGGCTATGAGAGAAATTGCAGCTTGAGAACAGCCTTTAAAATATTTGCGGTTCAAGTAATGGAAGTTTCTTGGATGCTAATTTGCATCCTTGATCTTTTGGTTTTTATGTAAATCTCTTGGATTTTCGTTGTTATTTGTTTCCCCAGCATCTCAAGAGGCACTCAAGGCAAAAAGCGTTCAGCTGGAGGCGGCTCGTGCTCGGATCGCTGAGATGGAAGCTGCCTTGACGCTAAAGGTCCGAGTTTAATTTTTTTTTTCTCTGCAATCTAACCTTTTCAATAATCAGAGTGATAATTTTTTAATTGATGTTAGTTTTGTGTTATTCGTTATGAAAATTTGGTCTTTTTTTCTTGATCAGGATGTTGCAATGGCAGAGCAGAAGCGCTTTTTGGAGAACGTGAAAAGTCTCACCAAGGGAAAGATTGAGGTGTGGATTCAAGATTTTAATTTTTTTTACACTTTGAGGTATATCTTTATATAATTTCAGTCTACTGTTGACAACTCTCCCTAATTTATATCTTCCACACATTGAATTTACATTTCGAGTAACGTTTGGTCCTTTTTTCCTGTCTGTTTAGGCGATGGACGGCAAATACAATGCACTACAGAAAATCAACCAGCGACTGGAGGCACACATCCTGAAGTTGACCAAACACTTGAAGGAGCGAGAGAAGGAAAGTACTCACGGACGAAGACGTCCTCACCCCTCAGCGGGTAGCGTCATCTCTCGTAGTCAGTCATTCACGACGTCACAGACAGAGGTCGCTCATAAGGGATCAAGAAGCGAGAGTCTGGACTCTGGACAGTTGTTGAGATCCGACAGAGGGCCCCGTCCACACCAGAAGGTCCCTCGGAGAGCTCTGGACCGAAGCCTGTCACACGACGAAGCTCAGAAGGAGATAATGCCGCCTCTCTTTGCGGAGGAGAGCCACCAAGATTCAGTCATCAAAACAGAGAGTGACTTTTCTTCGGCTTCCAAAGCTGGTACGGTTTTGAAAGAGACACCTCCAACGACTGCTACCGTGTCTGGGAGTCACTCAAGCCCCCGCTCAAGCCCCATGAGTGACTGGGAGCATCTTAGCGGCGAGACGATGCCAGAGGGCGGTAAACCCCCCAAAGAGCCTGCTGAAGCTATCCGGGTCCCTGTACCAGTAGAGAGGGCAGGGACAGTAGATCAGGATTCACAGAGTCAGCTCAACATAAACAGCCCGCCGCTAGTATTCAGCCACACCTCCCCCTTCCAACGAGTCCAGCAGAGCCCTCGCTTGGGCACAAGACACAGCTCCTTGTCACCCTCCAACAAGATCTCCATCAACTCCCCCGGGCGAATCACAGTCAGCTCGGGACCCAGTAGCCGCTCCTGTCCCGTATCACCGCGCCAGTTTGCTGGTGCCTTTCCGGCGCAAGCAGAGGAGGGGGAGGGGTCATTGCAAGAAGGGGAGGAGGGGGACGGTAGTAGCTCCACTCCCCCTGCGGCTGTCGTAGATTGCGTTGAGCCGAGTATGTTTTATCATGGCCTGGCAGCTATGGTGCACATGGAGGCAAGCATTGAAGAGGCTGACCTGACAAAGTTGTAGCTGATTGTGATCAAATCCTAGATAACTTCAAACGTTCTATCTTTCGGTTAGTGGTGTGCATGTATGGGTAGTACAGGAACCGCGTACCCTATTGAAGTAAAACACGGGTAACTGGGTACCTGTAAGAGAAAATTGGAATCCCGAAAGTTGTCTGAAGGGCTTTGTAGCTCTGCGTTGTAAACTGCAACTTTTGAGAGCGTCATCTGTCGAGCATTGAAATGCACATAAATGTGAAATCTGTTTTGGTTTTTCCATGTAGCCTGGTTTTCGTTGTGAAAATTCGCCACAAATGGCATTTAAAACCTTTCTTTTTTCATTGTCGTAGAATTTACAAAGTAATTACTAAGTTGGTACTCAATTCCACAATCCCTGACATCAGTAGTCAGGTTCCGATGCACACCCTTACTTAAGGTCATAACAATGGTAAAAATTCCCATCACTTGATCAAAAGGCCCTAATTTCATATCTAAATGTGACCGGCTCCACAAAAAAAAGGGTATGAAGTCACGCTGAGCATTATTGTGTAATGGCCCGCTCAACATTGAGAGGGTGAACATTTCGTCAAAATGTGATGTTCATTTTTTGTCATGAATGTCCTCTTTAATACCTACAGTTTCAGGTTTTCATTTTACAGAAATGTGGATTTTGATGAACAAAGTGGAAAAAAACAACCATTTTGGGTGCATCGTTCTGTTGGTCTACAACAAAGCCAGCTATTTCAAAGCCTGTTGATTGATTGCATAGAACGATATTTGGCTCGAAACAAACTTGGTTTCATTGTTACACGCATGGTTGTACTGCTATGATAGTTGCACAATGTCTGAATACTTTAGATTTGTCAAACATTTGAAAGTTTATAGAGTTACGTTAATTGTATAGATCTCATTCAAATGCAAATATCACTGCCACTGTGCCACGACAAATGTCTGCACAACGTTTAGGTTGTCATGGACTGTTTTATTTATTTACATGTAATTGTTATACTCATGTCGTGTCCACATTGAGGTAAATGCTTCAAATTAATAATGATTAGTGTTGGAAGTTAATTTTTTCCCCCCATTTTGTCAGAGAGAAGGGTATTGGGCGATGAAATATTACAATGTAAAGATATTTGTACAAATGTTGCTTGTTTGCAATATTCATTAGCCCCACAAATCTGTCTTTAAAATTCATTACTTGCTTCTGCACACAACTGAAATTGTAAAATGATTTTCTTAGCTTTTTTTTTCTTGATGATATAATGCAAATTCTAGCTCATACTCAGTGCAATTTAATTTCCATTGTTAAAAAAAAAATTGTAAAACATGTAATTTTTTTTCATCTAGTTTTTGTTAAAAAAAAATAATAAGTAAGAACTCTTTTCATTTCCAAATAATTTTCGGTGGTGAAGTTTAATATCTTTTTGCATCTACTTAGATTTTTTTTGGCAGTTTACATAAAAGTAACATGGCTGAATTCTATCTTGTGTTGTGAATGTTGTTGCATATAACTTTATTTTTATGGCGTATAATCTACATTGCATTTTTATTTTGAAAAATAACAAATTTTCTGACTTGCTGTTTTGTGCTCATTGCCAAACAATGCATGCATAAATTATCTAATTAAAGCACATTTGAACAATAAACCTGTTATCTCTTCATGATTATAAAGGAAAATGTATGTTAACTTTAACAAATAAAACAAATGGTGCAAAGCATTTTATCAATTTGTCCGAAATGGATTTTTGTTGTCATTTAGACTCTTTAAAAAAAATGGCACTCACACAAATGTGTATTTTTAAATATTGCTTCATCTGTGTATTTTAGCAACAGAAATCAGATGTTTGGTTTATTGTACACTAGATACGCATCCCACTTCCCCGCCCACGAAAGGGAATTAAGTAACGACAGGTTAGGTCGATAGAGGGCGCTGCTTACAAACAACAGTCTTGTTTCGCCGACTTTGACAATCTGTGCCATAATCAGTAGAAGCAGATTTGTATTGTTGCTTTGTGGCTGTTGTGGAGTCATAAAAACCTCATCAGATGTACGTAGTGGCCCTAAAACGCATAAATTTACTAATTTCTTGATTTGAAGGAAGTTCAGATTCCATCCTGGCCGTGACGTGTAGACTTCCTTTTATTGCAGGAAAAAAGGGTGGAGGTGGGGGGGGGGGTCTAACATTACTTTACTTGACTGAAGAAGTTTCGGGGAAAATGTTGTAACCTGACGCCACTTTAGCGGTTGTATAGATGGTATGGAGAGTCAAGAAAATGTTCCAAGTATTTCCAAAAATTGGTAATGTTTCTCAGTCCCAGATTCATGTCTTATCATCATTTTTGCAATGACTGACCCGACCCTTCATTGAGATGATATACATCTGTTCCTTGCTCCATTACCGGCACACTTTCGCAAAACTTGGTTCGGCCAGCTTTCTATGCAACTCCTCACTGGCCGAGGGTTTTGTGCGTAAACCTTATCAGTCAGCCGATCACGCTCAGTTGACTTAGGCAAAACCGCAAGTCCCATCATAAAAAAATAAGTTAACCGGATCATTTTTTCCAAGAGTGTGTCTCTAATGCTATGCATGTATGAAAAAAAGTGGCGTCAGGTTGCAACATTTTTTCCGAAGTTTCTTTACGATGTATTCAATTATAAATGGGTGTATATAAAGTTCACAACATGTTAAAAAACAAGACCTTTGGCAACTTTACAAATTATCAGAAAAATGTGCAACACGTACGTCCCACAGTGTCACTTCATCGAAGTTAACGGTGATGTTAAAGAGCGCCCTCATCTTGTTGCAGTCAATTTTCAGTTCCCGCTGCTCTTGACATCATTTTTTTCACCTTGGCCAAAAACTTTAAGTCATTTCAAATATTTCGCTGGTGTAAAACTAACAAATCACAAACTTTCGACTTCTTTCTATGCATTCACTTCAGTACCGCATCACCCAACGCACCTAACTTAAAACTCAACTGAATGAAAACCAATAAACTATAAAGAAACAATAAAGAAAAATCCGGAGCACGATTATATCACTAAAAAGCTGTTACTTTTAAATAAGAAAAAATAGGAATGACCTTTATTTGTTGTTCCTCCTGTTAAGAAAACCGCAAACTCAATACTCATTGCCAAAAACCATGCAAAAACCTATGATATTGAGAAGAAAAAAAAGTTTGGTAATAACTTAATCATACCCAACGGCTGTTTCCTTGGTATCCGGCGGAATAATGTGCCGAATAATGTGAAAGTCGAGAACCAGTCAAAGCCAGATGTTTATCGCGTGGCATATGCATAGAACCGGTTCTATGCACATGCCACGTTATCATGCCGACGTGAACCAACGTGTACGTACGAGGCCGAGGGTACGACGTACGTACGTACTTACGTATTATGTGCATGCAATAATTTTCACATGATTTTAGGTAAACTGCAAAATGGCCGCATCCGCTGCGAAGTCGCGGCTGACTTTTCTCTGCCTTTCAGTCCTTATTTACTCCTTTGCTGTTGAGATCGCAGCTCATAGTTCTAGCGAGCATGTGCACGATGAAAAGGTGCAATCACACGAGGGAATCCACAGTCATGACATTCCACAGGGAGCCTCTTTGAAGTCCAGTTCCATGCAGAAATGGGGGGATGCGATCGGCGCGACGCTCCTCATCAGCGCCGCTCCGTTCTTGATCCTGTTCGTCATCCCGCTGGACAAGGATCGAGAGGGGCAGGAAGCGTTGCTGAAAGTTCTCCTCAGCTTCGCCTCGGGAGGGCTGCTTGGAGACGCCTTCCTGCATCTGATTCCTCATGCAGTGTCCCCGCATCATCACCATGGCGACGGAGGAGATCATCACCATCATCACCATGGACACGATCACCACGATCACCACGATCACTCACATGATATGATGGTGGGATTGTGGGTTCTCACTGGAATTGTCATCTTTCTTGTCGTAGAAAAAGTAGTTCGTTATCTGAAGAAGGGGCACGAACATGGACATTCCCACGGCCTCCCAAAACCAGCTGAACAGAACGAGACGGGTGTCGTCAACGGGGATGAGAAGGCATCAAAAGAAGGCGGGGCCAGAAGGAGGAAAAAGACCAACAGTGGAAGTGGGACGGAGAAGAAGGAAAAGGCAGGAAGCATCGCTAACGGTGGTTCAGTTGACGCTGGTGTGTATTTAGCATGTTTAGGGAATAATTGAAATGAATTATTTCCTCTTCCACTTCTTTTCAAATTGTGAAAGTCAGATGAGTGTATGCTTCTTGAAATTTCACGAAATTGTAAATTTTCAAATTGAGATCTGTCTTGCAGATGAATTTAACTTCAGAGTGAAATATTTGATGGATAACAGTGAAATGTGATTATATTAAATGCGCCAACTAATTGTTAATTTTATTTATTAAATGTACATACCCTAACCTTCCCAAATCCTCCAAAATCCTCTTTACAAAAATGGAGAATTTTGCAAGAGATGGCAAAAATGTGTGGCTGAGTTTGGAGGAAGCACTGCGTCAAGGTCTTGGGCCGGACCTTGTGTTTTTAAATATAGGCCTAGAAATGTACTTGAAATCCCTCGCACTGTTCCAAGATGTCACTGGCTCTGCCTCAACATATTGACAGTGATTGTCACAAGGATTTTGCAGGATTGAGGCAGTGGTCACCCCTCCAAGGACTAACTCAAGAAATAAAAGAGGATTTTGCAGGATTGAGGCTATGCTATTTTTGCAAGGATGCAGTTGGAGGATTTTGCAGGATTGAGGTTACATCCTAGCAAAAAATGCCTAGGGAGTTAATTAAAAGCAGTAACGATGCATATATTTTTATTACAGCCAGCATAAAATCCTGGGCGGGACACTTGCCACTTCATATTATAAATGTTCACAGCCAATCCAAATTGCCAATCTTTCTGTGATAGTTGAGTAAATATCTCCACAATCGAAAAATGAAAATAACTGGAAACTGAATATTAAATTAAAATATTGATTCAAATCTACCAAAATAAATTCAGCAGGTTGTGAAGCCCCTATGTAAAAGTGTGCCGGCAAATTAAACTGGCAAAATGTAGGGGTAGTAGGCTACTTCAAAAGATAATGACTTGAATAAAAATAGAGTTCTTGTAGAACCGACTTACTTCAAAATCATGCTATATTTTGCACACTGAGTAAATGGCTTGGCAGAAATTGCCTTGCAGTGTCAACATATGCCTGAAGGAAAAAAAAAACTAATCACAAATGAAAAGATGATACACCCAACCCAACATGTTTGTAACCATCTGTGCACATACGTGTTCAGTAGAAAATTAATTATGTGGGCAGACAATATTCTGAGTTCAATTGAAGCTGCTGATCCCTCGAGCTAATTAGATCTGGAAGAATCAATATTGACCACATTGCTGTGAAAATGTCAGAAACAAATGAAATATTTTGTCCAGTATGTTGTAATATTGCTTGTTCATAATATTCAAACGATACTTTTTTTAATATTGTGATGGACATGCACATGTAGTATGCATATTTGGGAAATGACAATGTTGATTGAGGCAAAATGTTACATGGTTTAGTTGGTTGGTTTTGTGTAAGAATTTGTATGCGGGAAATGCCATATGGAATGAGTACCTCACATTATCATATGCCATTAGTTACGAGCACAATCCATTACAACTAATTGTTGTCTTTTGTAGGTACATTTATAGTGTGACACACTTTGCATTTAGTTGGAAAACAGAAAACCTCATACTGAATCTTAGATTTATAACAGCAGTTGATTTAAAAGCTGTGGCATTTTGAGTGAGCCTTTAATTAATTTGTGGTACGTTAGTGTAGGCTAGACAGGTCCCACTCATTGTAACAATATGCTTGACTGCCCCTGCACAATATGGTTCAACATTATAATGACACCTATGGGAATTGTGTCTGACAAATAATATTGGCTGCTGCAATAAATATTTTGAAATTTTGGCCTGCATACAATATTCAGCAGGAATAATAGTCTACATGTACAACAAAAATTACCAAGTTATGCAAAGCCTTTATGTTTGGAAATTGTACCCTTTTTCACTGACTTCATAAAATCATTACCAAAATGATAATTATAATTTCCTGAATTTCCTGTAAAGTTCTTTTTTTTCTTCAAAATGTAGGTGTTTACTTCGTGGACTGTTCTTTTTTATTTTTGAAAACAGGAATCTGATTATTTGTCTAATTTTGTTTGGTATATATTTTTTGTTCAGATGAGGGCATCAAGGTAGCAGGCTATCTGAACCTCGCCGCAGACTGCACGCACAATTTCACCGACGGCCTTGCCATAGGGGCGTCTTTCCTCATCAGTCGCAACGTTGGCATCGTGACAACCATCACCATCCTGTTACATGAGGTACCCCATGAGATCGGCGACTTTGCAATCCTCGTACAGTCGGGCTGCAGCAAGAGAAAGGTAAGATGGATTATGGGTAATCAGGAGGATTTTTTGGAAATGAACCATAATTGACCAATCGCGATAGAATCACGTCAACGCAGTTTGCGAAATATTGTCCAATTACATGATACAAATGGACGTAGAATGCGCAAATTCTGAGACAACAAACCTAGCGTACAAAAACTCCACAGGGTTGTCTAAGGGGCGTGGCTAACTCGTAAACAGCTTTAGGTCAATTATCTGGACTTTTCTGACTCGGACCATATAAATTTCTGATTCTGACCATTGATGGACGCACCTTAAGTGAAAACTAAATCATAACAGACAGTTCGTGTTGGCATTATTTCTCAAGCTAATGGACTAGCATGTACATGTACTATGTATATTTCTGATTCTGACCACCGATGGAGACTAAAATCCTAACAGACAGTTCGTGTTGGCATTATTCCTCAAGCTAATGGACTAGCATGTACTTATGTGTATTTCTGATTCTGACCACCGATGGAGACTAAATCCTAACACACAGTTCGTGTTGGCATTATTCTCAAGCTAACGGATTAGCATGTACTATGTGTAAACTATGTAATGAGGGCTGTTAAACTCCATTTTAAAGTCAAAGTACACAAAATGTAGTCATTTGTTTTCAAATCATTTGTAAGAAAATATGGAGAGAAAAAAAAGGATTTTCTTGAATAAAATCCTTTGTGCCCATTTGATTTCAGTTTTGTCGACCAAAATTATTCTCCCTTTTGTTGCCAAGATGGCTCAAGCCCAAGCTGCATAATACTACGTGTGAATTAACAGTTGACTGTTTTCTGTTTTTTTCATCAGGCTATGTACCTGCAGCTGGTCACAGCTGTTGGTGCACTCGCTGGTTGCATCACGGCCCTATTGGCCGAGGGAGGGGATGAATCTGCCCCCAGCTGGATCCTACCGGTCACGGCCGGCGGTTTCATCTACATAGCCACCGTCTCTGTCATACCAGAATTACTTCAACACAACAACATTAAGCAGTCTATCGTGGAGATTCTAGGATTGTTAGCTGGCGTCGGTCTGATGATTGTTATTGCTTATATAGAGTGAGAAGTTTAAGTTAGGTAGGATTCTATTTTCCATGTAACATTAATTGTTCATGTTATGAAAAAGTACAAATGTGCTCTCAATATTTTCAGTAATCAGAATTATATTACATTCATAAATCTTTCCAAAGCCAAATACTTCATACAGTCAGTCAGTCAGATTGGTCTAAAGAAGACTGTAGGTGGCCCCTCTACGACCAGCAAAACTCCCAGACTTAAGATCCTAAATTAACTATTTCATTAAGCTCCAATGTTGGCATCTGTTTCTACTTTTTTTTTCTGCATGTCTGTTTGTAGTTTGGCTTACGTTGTGTTGTCTATGGCAGTGAAGTTATTTTGTTTTCTGTAGTGCATTGTAAACTAGTTAATCGTTCAGGGTACATGTGTAGCTTTTAAGATTGATCAAATAAAGGAAAATCCTTTGTTTTTAAGGATGCAACTTAAAGGATACAACTACAGTTTATTTTCTTTCTTTTTTTCACTTTGGTTTTTCTTGCCATAAATTGAAAATTACTGGCTTAGCAATGAAGAGACTTTGTGCGTTACGAAAACGTGGCTTTTAGTTTTAGCTTTAATGGTGTACTTTTATCGCCAAGAATAAGTGGCAGCATTTCAGTAATTTATGCAGTGTTACTTGTTACATTGTGAAATGTGATTGTCTTACTGTCGTGAATGTGTACAAGTTATTTTTTTTAAGTGGCAGATTCAAAGAACAACGAGTATTATACAACGAAGATTTCTAAACGAGGATTTTGGTTTATTTTTTTGAGTGATGTCATGGTGACCAACTAGATGACCTTGATAAATTATAAACTTATGTCAGCATAATGTCTCAGTGTGTTCTTACCTTTCTTGGGGGCGGGGGGGGGGGGGGGGGGCTACCACATTATAGACTAGAAACAAATCGTCATAACACATTTTTTAACACATTTTAAATCCACCATGGAAGTACCATGAAAAAGAATACTTGTGTTTTTTTCCCCCCAGATAAACTATCAACATTTTGTTCACCTTCAAATTGATGCAAACGATGTAGATATATCTCAAAAGTGATGGTTCTATTTCAGCATAACAATTTTTCTGCTTTCACTGAATGGCATGATATTTTTATTTTAAAAGTTTGGTCACCATGGCAATATATTCATCTTAAGGTTGTTTTTTTTAATTTCGATTTTGAAGGTTTTGCTTTTCATGGGCTGTGAAAAAAATGTGTACAGTACATTCTACTTTCTAGGAATCGTGTTAAAATGTTACATTTTTTGTAAATGCAAACTTACTTGCTGCAACCTTTGCAACGAGAATGGTGAAAATATTATATAATTTGAAAAATTCAATTGTATCGGTCAGTGATATATTTTCAGTTGATTTTCCTTAATTTAATTTTGGTAACTTTGATAGCTACTTAATGTATCAAGTGTTTGTATGCATTAGTGGGAAATAAATCAATGAATATATTGGCGGAAGTCATTTGTTTAATTGGTGTAGTTGACTTTTTGTGTCCAACTCTGGAAAACTAGATCCTCCGTCGGCCTTGAGCTGAGATTTGAATGTGCATCAAGATCAAGGAACTGATGACTAAAATATCTTTAAAACTAATTCGCAAAAGACCTTTTTTTTCATTTCTTATATGTATACAAGTACTTAAAAAACAACAACCTGGATGTACTTGAATCATATAGCAAGGAACACTTCCATGCTCTATGCTTGAATCGGTGATTGAAACAACTATTCCTCATTATTATAACCCCCCCCCCCCCCCCCCCCCCCCAACTTTACAAGTTGACACAACGTGCGCGCGGCCTGCAGGCATATACATGTACACGAATACAGACTATACATTTCCCCCTGGTACTTTTTACAAACAATCGTAGTGTCATCGTATCAGCAATCGTAGTGTTATCGTATCAGCAACTCGTGCACCAGTGAAGCACGTGCATGCGCTATGCAGAATGCACAGCCTAGCGGGTACTACAAATACAGTCGAGTTGTGGTGGTGTGGTGGTTATGATTGGTCCTGTGCGTGCGAGGACGGTGTTGTTGATATAATTTCACCATTTTGTTGACAATTCTGGTAAAAATACCAACATGACAGACCAGGCGAAGGTGAAAGAAACCGTCAAGAAGACCATCAGAGGACTGGTTGTGTCCGCGCCTTTGGGCCTGACGCCTCACGAAGTGGAGCTGGACTATGCGAGTTTCGTGGGTCGTCCGTTGCCGTATCGTCAGCTGGGATACAACACATGCCAAGATTTCTTGCAAGACATCCCTGACACCGTTCGGCCACAGTGGGAGAGGGGACAGCTCATCGTTAGAGTTGTAGGAGGAGGCGATTCAATTCGTCGTATCCAGAGCCTGGTGTCGAGGCAGAAAGTTGACGTGGTCAAATGCCTGAAAAAGAGACGAGGTGCCGCCCGTGCGGGAGCACGAATTCAGCATGTTCAGCGAGATGGGTACTCGTACTCGCCGTGGCGGCCCGGGATGCCCGGGGGCGTAGCGGGACAGACGCGGTCATCCCTACCGGGCATCGCGTTCAACTCTCGGCCCCAACCCAGAGGCCCGCCCGCTGTGACACCCGCGGTCCCGGCCTACGTGCGCAACCAGATCAAAACTCTCTTGATTGCACACCCGAGCGGAGTCCTGAACTCAGAGTTTGACAGGCTTTTTGAAGAGAAATTTGGTCACACGATTTGCTGCACGAAACTTGGTTTCGAGTCCCTTGGGCACATGTGCCAAATGTTGTCGGACTTTGTCAGTCTAGAAAAAGTGACGAGAGGAGAGTTCCGCATATTTGAGAAATCACATTATAAAAACCGATCTCCAGAAGTTAATAACGTAAAGCAAATCCGCCAAGAAAATAACGTCTCATCCATTCCAGGTAGTGAAACAGTTGCTATGGTTACTGACTATTCAAGAATTGATATAGATCTGTCAGACTTTTTTTATTTACCAATACCATGCAGATACAGTGGGGGGAGGGGGGGGGGTGGGGGGGGAGGACAGACTAGAGGGAGTCATAGTTTATTAAAAGATTACTCATCTTTTTCCCACTGGTTTTCTTGCTTTAAATCATCATTTGCTTGGCCAAAACATTGTCATATCTTTTATTTTACAGAAAGTAGAAAGCTACCTCTGGCCACCAACAGTGTTGAGCAGAAGCAGCCAAACAAGTTCCAACAAAATGTGGTTCCCAACGGCCCAATCCACAATCCCACCAAAACTCAAAGAAGTCCTCCGCCACAAAATGCTGGTTTTGCAAACTCAACTATGCAGTCAGAGCGGCAGACCAAACGACAAGCTCCAGACACAAGACCTAAAATTCCAAGCAACTCAAGTGTGTCGCCGCCAGGCAACTCAAACGACATGAATGCCATTGGCAGTGCCGAAGCATGCAAGCTAACATCTGACTTGTTTGAGACAAAGTTCCTTCTAGAAATTCGGCAGGTGTGTAAAGTTTGCTAATTGCAACATTCCTTCCTTGTTATATTTGAATTTCATCCATTAATTTTTTTCTAGGCTGTTTCAGCTTGCTTCAAATTTATGTGATAAGCAAGTTTGCAAAATTGGTTTCTGTGAAACTTTCTTTGACAATAAAACTAATGGCAAATATCAAACTTGGAATGTGCCTTTTCTACCCTGTAGTATCGTAACATTGTTTCGTTTTCTCTGTCTAGGTCCTGGAGCAGCACCCAGAGGGCCTGTGGGCTTCTTACCTACCGGATGAGTACAAGGTACCCGACTCTTTGACTTATTATTGCAAACAGAGAAATTTATTGAACAGCCATTTTTAGACCTTCAAAACCTTGATTTTAATTCAAGATTATGAAATCTGGAATCATTATCTCATGCAAAACACTACTCTCCCCTGGATAGGCCACACATCTTTAATTTTATCAAATTCAAAATTGTTGACCAACTTTTTTTTTGGTCTTCCATTTCTTTCCTAAGAAACTGTATAAGAAGGCCCTGCCCATGATGTCACTAGGTTACTACAGCGTTACAGAACTGATGGCCAACATGCCCGAAGTTGTCGTTATTGAAAGGGAGCAGAAACAAGGCGACTGGAAATTATACGATGTCAGGACTTACAAGCCCAAGACAGTTGGTGAGCTTTTTTTCTCAAAACCAAAGTTTGTTGATTGAACATGGCCGGATTTTTTGGGAAGTTAAAATTTCTACTTTTCAGTTGCCAACTTGTTCATCTCGTCCTTTTTTTTTTTTAACAGAATCAACGAAACCCACCCCGACTCCTCAGAGCTTGAAGACATCCCAACCTGACCCCTCTCATGGCTTTCGAGATTTGAAGGAAAAGGTCCGTCATCTTCTTGAGAAACACACCGAGGGCGTCTTGCTGAAGAACATGGCTTTCTATTACCAGGTAAGCCAACTTTTCCCAGTGGTTCCTTAATCTTGGGGGAAAAGGCAAGAAGTTATGGCACAGTTTTTCACAGAGGTGTCACATGTTGCTAGTGTCACTGTCAGTGAGCTAAAGTTTTGTTAACCTTCCCAAATCCTCTGAAATGCTCTTTGCAAAATGAAGGTTTTGAAGGATTGAGGCTATATGGCAAAAATCTGTGGCTGGTTGCAGAGGATGCACTGTGTCATGCATTGGTCTTAACCCAGACCTTGTGTTGTTTATTCTCAGCCGTGCATAAATTTAGGCCTTCATTTTAGTTAAAATCCTCCGCACTGTTCCAGCATGTCACTGGCTCTGCCTCACCATATTGACAGTGATTGCCGGAGGATTTTGCTGGATTGAGGCAGTGGTCACCCCTCCAAGGACCACTTTCAAGAAATAACAAATGATTTTGGATGATTGAGGTTGCATCCTAACAAAAATGCCAAGGGAGTTTAGGGTTAATGTTATTATTTTTTTTCAGTCCAAGGACGTTACAGCAAACCAGGATGCTTTTGAGGAATCCTTGATTTCATTACCGGAAGGAAGAAACTGATAGTAATAATTATAATATATTGTTTCTTTTTTCCAGAGGGAGTTTGGCGAAACCTTTCCTATTAAAGAACTGGGTTTCAGAGATGTGGAGAGTCTGATCATGATGATGCCTGAGATTGCCAAAGTAGTATACAAAGGATATGGTAAATGAAAAGTATTGAGAATTTAGAGGAATAGTCTTTATTTTATATAGCATGCTTACTATTGTAGAAAATTGCTTGACTGTACCAAGAGTTTGTTCTAAGTGTAAATTTCACAGCAAATTTAATTCTTTAAACATGTCGGAAATATTAAATTTGCTCTTTTATGCGAAATATGAAACAACCAAAAGGGAATAAGAAGAGGTGGTACTGTAGGATTGGTTGAAAATTACATCATTGTGGTAACGTTCATAAACCAGTCACATGTGCACTTTTTGATGTATTATTAATATATTTTTTTTCTTGAAGGTCGTCTAGTAGTTGTGCTCGTGGAAGAAACATCAATGGTGAGTTTGTATTCATGATTTTTATATCACACAAAAATGTGCAATGTAAGACAAACAAGTGTAAAGATGTTGGATTTACAAAATTTGTTTCAATAGCTGTACTTACCGAAGTAAAAGTTCAAGCGATATAAGTATTGTTCCATTGTAAAATTCCTCCCTTCCTGTCGAGTGACAATTAATCCTCCTTTTAATTGATTAGTCACACACAGTCAAACATTCAATCCTGTTGCCCTGCCATGCCTTTTCAGATCATATTTCTTGTAGGCACACTGTGACAGTCAAATTCCATCAACAGACAAAAGCAGGTGACTGGTAGGCACAGCTGGCTTATCAATCTCTGTCAGTCAAAGCATAGCTATATCAGGCTTCATAACAATCACAGCCAGTCAATCCTGCTTTTTGAAGGCAGGGAGCACTCAACTGTTGAAAACAGTCACTTGATTTATTTTGACTGCTGGGCTGGCCTTGTTGAATTTGCCAGCCAGAGAGGGATTATACGAACCTGTTGGATTCCCTCTTTTCCATCTTAGAAACAAAAAGGGTCTTTCCCTGCGGATGCTGTTGCTTGGGGCTTCAGCTATAATTACTGTGAGTATCCACCAGTTAGAGAATACATTGAGGTCTACGTGGCTACAGTCTTCACACCACACAGGATCAGCATTCAACTCAAAGAGAAACGGAGAAACGACGCTCTTGATAATCTCATGGATGATCTAGAGTAAGTGTTGAAATTTCTATATATTTTCCATTTCCCCTCCCCCCATTTAACTGATATATTTGTTTAATTCAATCGCAATTGCAAGTTTAGCATTGATGATGTTACATTTTCAGTACCTCACAAAAGAGATTTCAGAAAGAATGTTGCATCCTGACGACACTCTTTTCACCTTTATCTCTTTGAAGGTCAGTCATTGTAAAAATATTGAAAAGACATGTACCTGAGACTGAGAAGCATTTAATTTATTTGGGAAAACCACTTTTGACACACCAAACGTTTATTTCAATAAATGTTCTTTTTTTTCAAGCATAGCATTGCAGAAACTTTTGCAAATTACAAATTGTAAGTCTCTTAAAAACAAAACTGATGGCTAATTGTCAAAAATGCTTACTTCACATTGTCTTAAATTTCTGCATGTCTGTGAATTTTTTATTTTTTTGTTGTTGGTGTGTTTCAGATCTATCTATGCCTACCCCGAAGGCAACAAATACGAGTTTCCCGAGTCGATGGTAGCCGTAGGACAAGTCTGCTGCGCGTTGTATCTCAGCGACAATAACTGGCACCGCGGTCTCATCACCGGTATCCCAAATGTGGATTTTATAGAGGCAAGTCGTGGTCATCAGTGAATTGACTTCAACTTAAAATTAACTTCAAGACGTTGGTTTCTTTTGCAAAGGTCAGTTGACCTTCAATCCTACCTACCGATGACCGCTGTCACTAAAGTTGAAAGAAACGTGAGCTTTGAAAAGCATTGTGGATGGGTAACTGCTGTGGTCAACACACATACATTCCATACACATGGGTTGCAGGCATACTTAAAGCTATAGTCCATCATTTGTAATTAGTGCATTTTGTTCGTTTGAAGCAACAAAAGTGTTCAAAATCTAATGAAGGATACTGAGCAACTAACCTGATGAAGTTTCAGCTAAGCTTCAGCTGTACATTCCGAGAAAAGCAGCATTCTAAGATCTCAATTTCAAATCAAAAGTTACTGAATCATCTTTTGAATTGTTTTGAATTGCAGCTACACGCGGCGTCGCGCACTGATCCGACGAATTATAACAACCGCGCGCGCGTGTGCGTCGTTCCAATACTTGTGCGCGCTGCGCTGAATAACAAAACGAACTACTAATTTAAATTTTCCTACGGTGCTTCTTAAGAATCACCGTTGGAAATGCCTTCTTTCGTTGATTACTTCAAAATGACAGCTTCCCAGAGAGAATAATTTCACAGGGAGTTTAGTTCCCTTACTATCTTTCAACCAAGTTTGTTTTTCAACAGTAATTACGCCAGTTACTTTTCGGATAGCTGCAAATGATGGACTATAGCTTTAAGGTTTAACCCAAGAGCTCAAAGAAATAAGAAGTTCTTGGGACAAATGGGACGAGTGTACAGTCATTTTTAATTACAGCCTTACCACTTTGCTTACTCCCATGCAGGTATTGTACGTAGACTATGGAACTGTGGCAAACGTAACCAGATCTTCACTCAGACTGCTCAAGTAAGTTTGGTTTTCTCTGTTTTAAAGAGGTTGTGGAATGCTCGAAGACATTTCTGTCATTTTTCGGGTATATGTAGCCTAAGGTGTGATGAAATAAAAACGACTATTGTTTCTGTCATAAAATGAGTACAAAGGGTACTTTTGAGAGCTGTTTTTCAAGTCCTGTCATGCCTGTTTCGACCCGAACGTGCAATTTGTGTAAAAGTCGTCGTTGCGGGCAGCAAACAAAACACAGTAAATCGTGACGTAATAAACAGGACTCCCAATCCAGAGTAGCATAAACGAGTCCTGTTTATTACGTCACGATTTACTGTGTTTTGTTTGCTGCCCGCAACGACGACTTTTACACAAATGGCACGTTCGGGTCGAAACAGGACCTGAAAAAATAGCTCTCAAAGTACCCTTTGTACTCATTTCATGACAGAAACAATAGTCGTTCTTATTTCATCACACCTTAGGCTACATATACCCAAAAAATGACGGAAATGTCTTCGAGCATTCCACAACCTCTTTAATTAAATTGTAACCAGACAAGTGCATGTATTTGTCAATTGAGTGATTCGGCTGTGTGGTTTGTCATCCGCAGGTCCTGTTTTCTTAGACTACCCATCCAAGCCTACAATGGACGACTGGCATACATCGCGCCAGTGGAGGTAACAAGAACTGATTTTGCCCCTCCCCTCCTCCCTCTTTGCAACTTCGTTGTTATTTGTTTACAGTTGTATTTTATGACCCAAATCAATAAATCCCGTTCATTTTTGTCAGAAAAGTTTCGGGACGGGATGGCTGACTCAAAATTTGTCGTAAAAAGTGTTGTCGCCTAACTCACTTGATAATATTCTTAGAAGGTTGATTGGAATTATCATAATTGATTGGCAGGACAAGTGGACAAAGGAGTCTCGAGATCTGCTTCTGTCTTTGACGGCAGGGAAGCCACTGATTGCGATGATTACAGAAATACAGGTAGCTGGATCATTCACTGATTTGAAAGTTAATTGACCTATCGCCGTTTGCAAGTTAGCCACGCCCTTAGACATACCTATAGAATTTTGTATGTAAAGTTTTGTTTGTCTCAGATTTTGTGCATTCGCGTCCATTTGTATATCATGTTATTGGACAATATTTCACAAGCTGTGTTGACGCGTGTGTACACAAATTGAATTTATTAAAGTGAATTTATTCCATCATCATCAATAAATGTCTTAATTTGCCTCGTATAGAATGACCAGTTGTATCTGTTGCTAAGCGACACAAGCACGGAGGAGGATGTCCACATCAACGATGCCTTGGTGGAGGCGGGTCTGGCAAGATTTGCTCGCCCAGAGGGAGAACTTAATGAATCCCTCCCTCCCCTGGTAAAGATAAGACCCCGCCCCCATCCCTCTCCTTATCTCGCCCCACCCCTGTATTCTGCCACTCCATTGAGTTTTCTCATCAAATTTCTATTTTGTCCTTTTATTATTGAAATGTTGTTTCACAATCTTCTGCAAAACATGATTTGTTGCCTCTACTCTTTTTTTTTGATGACTTGCATTTATTTCATTTAACTGGGGGGGGGGGGGGATTCTGTGGAAACACATTATACAGTTTCGAAAATGCACCTGGACCTGCACATTGGTTTTGTCAAAATCTGGTCACAATCCAAATTGTACTGTTTTGAATCTGAATACAGAAAGAAGCAATTAAGTTTTATCTTTTTTTTCGGGTTTTTTTATTTTTATTATTTTTTTGATTTTATTTTGGCTAGTTGACGGAGGATGAGATGCCAGAACCTGATATGGATCTCTTGACATTGAACGATGTGGTCGCCACGGAAACTGATGCTGACACACAACAACAGGATGCTGATACACAACACCATGATGCTGACACACAATACCAGGATGCTAACAGACAACACCAGGATGCTGAGAGACAACTCCAGGAGGAGGTTCCTAGTGCCCCAGAAGGTATTCCAAAGTTACATTTTTTGAGAGAAGTAGGTGTGTTTTAGACTTTTTATAATCTCTACTGAGTAGAATGTTGCAACCTGACGCCACTTTTTTCTTCACATATCATCCCAATGAAGGTCAGTCACTGCAAAAATGTTGGAAAAAAAACAGGAATCTGGGACTGAGAAACATTTGCTTTTCTTGACTCTCCATAGACTTTGTACACAATTGCGGAAGTGGCATCAGGTTGCAACATTCTTTCCCTCTACAGTTATTTTCGTAGATAAATTTGAGTATTTGTCAACGACTTTCAGATTTTCAGATTTTACATGTTTCAGGACAGTTTTTACCTGTAAGTACAAATTGTGGCTTTGATTTCCTCAATTTTAAATGTTCTAGATACCATGGCTCATTTATTTTGTTAAGGTTCCTTTGTATTTTTCCTAGGTGTCTTTTTAGGTGGACTGCTTTAGTAAGCAAGCCTTTCAAAATTCATTTGCAAAGTTGATTTTTTTACTTTTTAGAAGAGGCAGAGGCAGACCTGCCAAGTGAAGAGAGTGGTTCATCAAGTATGCCTCATTTGGAGACGTCAGACGATGTACCCTGGCTCATCAAACGGTGAGTTAGCTGTCGTAGAACAGCATGGTAGTGTAAAAAGCTCATTTTGAAATTGAAAGCTCCTCTGAATTTGTGCTTATTTTGAATTTTAAAGAGGTTGTGGAATGCTCGAAGACATTTCCGTCATTTTGGGGTATATGTAGCCTAAGGTGTGATGAAATGAAAACGACTATTGTTTCTGTCATGAAATGAGTACAAAGGGTACTTTTGAGAGCTATATTTCAGGTCCTGTTTCGACCCGAACGTGCAATTTGTGTAAAAGTCGTCGTTGCGGGCAGCAAACAAAACACAGTAAATCGTGACGTAATAAACAGGACTCGTTTATGCTACTCTGCATCGGGAGTCCTGTTTATTACGTCACGATTTACTGTGTTTTGTTTGCTGCTCGTAACGACGACTTTTACACAAATTGCACGTTCGGGTCGAAACGAGCATGACAGGACTTGAAAAACAGCTCTCAAAAGTACCTTTTGTACTCATTTTATGACAGAAACAATAGTCGTTTTTATTTCATCACACCTTAGGCTACATATACCTGAAAAATGACGGAAATGTCTTCGAGCATTCCACAACCTCTTTAAGTTATTTCAGCCACTGTGGATAGTTTGCAGTCATGAAGTATATTGGTTCGGATTCCTTGTGTCTTGTACCCATCTCCTCTGTACATCCCCAGCATTGACTTTGACGACGGGAACCAGGCACATCTGATCAATCATGACAACGAGGCGTGCTTGTGTGTTGCCGAGGTGGCGTTCTTGATGTGCGGAAGGGACGAGTCTGAACCGGAGGAAATTCTTATTCAGCAAGTAAATATAAACAATCCACAAATTCTGCGCTATACAGGGTGGTCAAAAAAAAGGACCCTCATATTTTCACTACCCTGAGACTCAAACTACATTGACCAATGCAAGGAGAATATTTTTAGAATGAAACTAAGATCGCCCGATTCGGTCCAGTATTTTTTGTTCTAGAGCCTATTTTGTGAAGCAAGGAGGGGGTTATTTTTTTCCCGATGAATTACTCAACCTCGCCCGGGAATTTGACTTACATTGTAATTGATAGAGGATTGTTACCTAATAATACCCACATGAAAGCAGTATCCTTCCCATAAAAAATCTGCAGTAACAATGGAAGTATCTGTATACAAAGTGACTATAGTAGAACTTCCAACCCAGAATAGAATTGAAAGCATTTTCACCTTTTAAAGCTACAGTCCATCATTTGCAGTTATCCAAATATAACTGGCGTAATTATTGTTGAACAACATACTTGATTGAAAGATAGTAAGGAGACTAAACTCCCTGTGAAATTATTCTTTCTGGCATGCTGTCATTTTGAAGAAATCAGTGAATCAGAAGCCTTTCCAACGATGTGTCTAAAGACGCATCGTTGGAAAATTCCGTTAGTAGTTAGTTGTTTTTTTATTTGGCGAAGCACGTGCAAGCGTTGACACGACGCACACACGCACGTGGTTGCTATCATTCGTCGGATCGGTGCGCAACATCTTGCAGCTGCAATCGGCTCATTGAGAAAGTGTCTCGGACGCTGAACTTGGGCCAAATTCAAAACATGATTCAGCAACTTTTGATTTGAAATTGAGATCCAAGAATGTTGTTTTTCTCGAAATACTGAAGCTGAGCTGAAACTTTATCAGGTTAGTTGTTCAGCACCCTTCTTTAGATTATGAGCATGTTTGTTGCTGCAAATGAACAAAATGCACAAATTACAAATGATGGACTCTACCTTTAATGTTTGTGTCTACAGGTCAGTATGCTGGGTGTTGAAATACCTTTGTTGACGGCCATTGAAAAGGAAAGTCCGCGGCTCTTTGAAGAAATGCGAAGGTAAAGGCTTTTTCTTGAGCCCTCCTCTGTGTTTGCCGTTCTTTAAATATTGTTTTAATAAAGTTTCCCATTCTGCCTTTGCATTTGATTAGTGGCTGTTCTGTTGACATTTATTCATCATTTTACTGCTCTTCCTCTAACTCCCTCCCAGTACTGCAAATCAGGCTGTTCCACCCATTACTATTCCTCCCTGTGCGTTGAGTCCAAAACCTTCAAGTCCAAAACCTTCCTCATTACTTATCCTCCTGTGAATACAATGTAGCTGTTTGTGTCATTTTTTTTGGGACAGATGTGAGTTGCTGGATAGGTCGGAAGAAAGTCCAGATCTCGTTGCCATGATTCCGTTCACAGAGTAAGTCCGAAAAAAAAATAGACTTGTTTTCTCGAGAATGATTAAGAAAATTTGTCGTGGTTTCTGTGCTTTTCCGAGTGGTCCTAATTGTTTTTCTTTCATTTCTGTGTGCCAGTGCTTTGTTGCTGCTTAGTGCATGTGACAAAGTTAGCATGGAGGTTGTACAACAACTTCAAGAAAAGGCAGAGATGCTTGGAGTCTTTGGAGTAAGTCTCTTGATGCTTTGTCTTCGGCAAGCCATTACACAGTAGCTCTAAAGATCTTGAAAGGCATTTCAGCTATCATTTTTTTGCCGGTCCAAGAGGGACAGTCTGGTGTCCTTGTCGCACTGACTGACTGACTAACTGACTGTCACGTGTGACTTAGACTGGTTATTGACTTGTGAAGAAAGCTGGGCAGTGCTGTTGTATAGGAGCACTCTGTAATCCCAATGAATGGGCTAAATGTGGCCCATCGTGATAGTCCATAGAATAGAATGGAACAGAATTTAGAGTGCTCTTGGGCTAGCTTTGCCTTGTCTTGTTATAATAGTGTCTGCTGTTTGAGAGTTAAGGTTGTGCCTTTGATTTTGTTTTCAGGACATGTTTGGTTATGATATTGGCGATACTGCCGGGGATGACCTGGACTTGATGCTAGATCCAGAAGAGTTGAAGACAATTTTGGAGGCCTTGCAGTTTAGAAGGTTCGTGTATGCAGAGCAGCATTTGTGAATTTATAGAAATTCAACTGAGTTTTGTGACCGAACAGTTGTTGTGTCTATACTGTCTTGTAGGAGCGTATAATATTGGGTTGGGGCCTAGGTAATGGATTTTGGTAACGTTCCTTTAAAAACAGGAATGGTCAGCATTATTGTCCATCTTGGTTTCCATGGCAACCACTACTAACCACATGCAATGGATTTGATGCAACAACAGAAACTTCCGCTCTTAACCGATATTTTCTGGTGTACTTTGCAAGGAATTCCTAATAATTTACTGATAATAATAATAACTGTATTTACTGATGGCAGCCATGTCACCTCTAGGACAATTTTCAGTGGGCCATCGTAAAAAACATGGGACATATTAAAAACACGAGATATAAAATTATAGTTATTTGCCAAGGATTAGTAATTGCAATTAATCCTTTGGGCTTCTCCCACAGGAAACGCATCCTGGACGCCATGATGAAAAACACCGACGCAAACTACGTGGACGAGCTTTCGTACATCGAGGCAAAAATGGAAGAAATCTCCAGAAGACATCGTGAGGCATCGTGAATAAGCCATTTGCGAGTTAAATTTGCATAAAATCTGGAACGCTGACTTAATCCAATGCTTTGCACGTGTTTACTTTGCATTCTCCCGACCAAAGAGACTGTTACTATATCACGTGATTCGGGGCAAGCCTTATGCTAGCAACCCCCAGCTCCGGCATGGTCTGGTTTCTTTGTGCCATTCTCACCCATTGTGAACAATGTATTGGTACTGAGCGTCTCTTACGTCACTATGCAAGAGCTTGCCCCGAATCATGTGATTAGCAACAGTGTCTTTGGTCTGGAGAATTCACAGTTAAAATGTGCCAAGCATTCTGAGCAAGTCAGTGTACCAGACGTTTTTCAAATTTTAATCCCAAAGGGTATAGGTCACTCGCAAATGGCTTATTAAGAGGCCTCTTCACCATCACCTTGTAAAAACTAGATAAGGCAGTGCAGTAAGTTCCAGAGCCCAACTCACAGTTTTGGAGTTTTGAACGTGTCAACGAGAACATCATTTTCTTTTTAAAATGGTTTCATGCTAAATTTTGCAATATTTTAGTATAATACCTGTTTAAACTAACTTTCTGGAAAATTTGTCAGTGGTAAAAACTACCTTTAAAGACCAGTCGCATTAATGTGGGAAACATTGACTAATTTTGTCAGTGGTAAAAATTTGGAACAATTTACAACATTTAAATTAAATGAGGGGAGTTTAAGCCGTAAAAAAAAGTTGAAAAGCTGAAAAATCATTCCTCAATATCGAAAATTTTGATATTTCAATATGATAAAAAAAATGCTATCGGCGATATTGATACCAAACAAATATCAAATAATTGAGTAATATCAGTATATTAACGGTGCTTATATTGGACGCTTCTTTTGTCGTTGAATTCTCAAGCTTCACAACATTTTAGTAATTCTGCAAAAGAGAAGATCTTTGTAAAAACTCTGCCTATGTCCTGTTTTAGATCATCGAAACCAGACGCATCTTCAGACAATAAGGATAAATTCACGGGCGAATTGTTAATCAAAATATTTGAAATGCATTCACTATGCGCATGTAGAAGTATGGCATAGAACAGTTGTTTGATTGTAGAGCCATACCTTGATATCATCAAAATGGGCTTGTAGCAGATGCTCCCAACGGATTTTGTTTTCCTTCTGGTTTTTAGCAGAGCTTTTTACCTATATTTTTTTACGGCTGAAACTCCCTTTATTTAAGTTATTTAATGTTATAGATTGTTTCAAATACATGTGTATACAATCTTCAAAATTTGTCAAGGTTGCCGACGAATCATTTATAGGGCGCCCCCTTTGCCGAGCGATGTAGGCATGCATGCATATTTATGTAGTCTGAGTATCAGCCATTCACGTGTGCAGAGAGCACACGAACGAGCGTCTTATATATCCTAGCATGAAAATTTTTTATGCGACTCCACGCGCCAGCCAATCGGAGTTGACTTTTAGTCAACATTTCATTATTGATCAAAAATGTGGACTAAGCTGTTGATTGGTCTATTTGGCTACAATGTTTTTGTAATACAACAAGGGGTTATGGAAGACCCGATATAACGCACCCCCTGAATAGTCAGAATCTGGAGGTCAAGACACAGTCTTGTTTTGCATAATTAATTGCCCAATCTGCTCGCATATCATAGACCCTTGCTGTGCCAGGGGATATAGACTATTTAAAAACAATAATTTGATCATTTGAACATAACCATTTGATAGATTTTCGTTCTCACACTGCCAGCAGCTAATTTGTTGCATTTCCAGCCCTGCCAGCATATTATAATACAAAAGCCTTTACTTACGAGCATACTCATGGCAAAATCCTTCACACCTGTCACTATGAATAGATGTGATGCCATCAAGCTAAATGAGTCGTTTGTCGGGAATTTTTATTTGGATAACACCGGAGTCTTGTATAGCGCACGTATCTACCAACAATTAGGTACTCAAGGCGCTGGAAATTATGTCTATTAATAAAGACAGGTAAATGAAGTTTATGAGAAATATGAGACCCATTATGTAGCACTTTGTAATAGTTTACAAGGTGCTGCGGCGTGCATATTGCAGCCACTGCCAGAAACAATGGGCGACCCCTTCTCTTAGCCATAAGTGTTACTGGGTTCTTTAACATGCATTACACAACACACGGGACCTACGGCTTTAGGTCCCATCCGAAGGACGAAGCACTTATGGTAAAGTGCTTTGCTCAAGAGCACAAGCACCATGTTCCCACGGTCAGGATTCAAACCCATGTACCACGGCACACTAGTCGAACACCGTAACCATTGGACCACAGCACCCCTTGTATCTCCATTTGGAGATACAGGCCAAAATAGGGCCTCTTCATCACATCACTTCATCACATCTCTTGTTGTTCCGACTTGCATAATTTTGTAACTAAAGATGATATCAGCACGCAGTTTTCACAGCAGTAATGCTGAGATTGTGCTCTTTTCAAATCTGTGATCAAAACATTTTGACCAGGGTCGACAAACGACTCATGTAGCTTGATCGCATCACATATTTGTAGTCGGCAGTATTTGTAGTCCGTATATTAATGTGACTGATGTTTAATCAGAATCAGTATTAACCAAGAAAGAGTACTTTGTAAATAGTCTTAAAAAAAGTTTATTTGATAAACCCAAAGTTGCCATAAGTTGAAATATGCAAAACGCGGCCGTAAGCATATTCATTTTCTTATCATAAAGTAGATTATTTTTTTATATTAGATTCCTAAAAAAAAAAATTAACGATTCTTTGCATTTCCTTGCGATAATCAAAAAAATGGCACATCCGCCTTATGACTGTAAAGGGAATATACAACATTTGCTTTTGCTGTAAATTTCAGAAATGGATGGATTTGGGAGGTTGTTATGTTGATGCCGGAAAAACCAAGAAAAACAATCATGTTCTGGTAGTCGGGTTCCCTGACCCCACTTCAGAGGAAACGGAGCAATTTATGGACGTCAGGGAATTGTAAGGTCAGGGAACCAGTCTAGCTTGTACCTGTCCATATGATGAATTGGGATCAGTATTTGAAAAAGCCAGTTTTTTCCAACGCTGGTCGGCTGACCAGTGTTGGAAATTAATACAAAAATACCACTTTTCTTGAAAATGTCAGCACACCAGATTCCATGATTTTACAGGATGCTTAGACTGTCGTTCACTAACGGTCAAGTGAGGTATTTCGTGATAATTTGGTAGTTTTGTTTTGATGTTTACAAATGTTGTATATTCCCTTTAAAACTAAATTGCACAAAGTTTAATTTTAATTATTGATTTCTCTTTTTTAAGGTGCACACCAAGTGGAAAGTGTGTACATTGTATTGTTCTTGGGGGGAAAAATGGAAATTTGCAAAACATTTTAATTAACCTACAGTCTGATTCAGGGCAAAAATATTAATCTGTTATATGAGGAAAAGTTTTAGGATTAACGTTATCATAGTTTGGAGTAAAGCAGTCTGGATAATAGCTTTTGTAAAACCCATTAAAAATTTTGCCAGCTTTCCATTGAAGATGTATTCTACAGCACAATGTCTGCTGTGACCAGAGGAATTTTCCATTCAGCAAAACGCAAGCGAGAAAGTTGTGGATGGAAGCCTTTGAGATCACAGAATTTCGCAGAAACGAATTGAAATCTCACTTTTTTATTATCTTATTTATGGTAAATTTTGTTGTCTTTCTATTAATATTTGGATGGTTATTATTACCAGCACGATTACAAAGTGTAGTGTAAGTGGATAAAAAAAAAATCTTTATTAAGTATGCCAAATTTATGTTGTTTTAAATTTTTTAACTCGTTTGTCAGAAAAATAAAATTAAGTATCAAACCTTTGTTATTTTTTTGACAATTTCCCATTTGCCTCGAAAAGAATGCATGTCGACAAAGAATAACAACAAAAACAAATTTTCAAGTATCTGTACAGATGTCGTTTTTTTAATGGTTAATATACAGGTATGAGAGTACAATGTACAAGAGGCAGTTGAAACAAGCAGACGGTGTTTAATTTTTACAACTAGGAGACAAATATTGACCACTTTGAGAGCTCCGTGGACAGGACACACTGCGTACGCGTACTGGTTCATGTGCATATAGCGCAAAGTATGAATGATTAATTTTATTCCGACTGTGCACATAGCCATAGCGTCTTCGCGTAAACGTCAGGCGCCATCAGCGATGCATTCGAATGTCTCTCCCAGTGGTCTCCCCCAACTCTCCTTTTCTTGCCGTTGAGGGGGCACTTGTGCACGGAGCCCATTGAGTCACATTTGACTGTCCAGCTTATAGACCTTATTCACGATGAAGCCATTTTTGGTCATGTTCCCTGAAAGTATTTTATAAATTGTAAACTGTTGAATGGGATGGTACCAGACTATTTATGCGTTTTCAAGCCTCACTTTATTTTGTCTTTTTTTTAAATGTGGCTTAAAACATTAGGTATGTTTAATCACAAATTTGAAATTATTCATCAGAGCAGACTGGTATTAATTTCTAATTAACTTTATTTCATTGCTTTCATTTCTACTCGCAAGTTCCAAAAATGAAGGATTTAACTTGCTTTCAATTTAATATGGCCGACACGTGAATAAGGCCTTTTACAAAATCTTGAGAGAACTTTTATTTTAAGCACTGGCTGCATGTGTGTATTTCTCATGATTGATTCAGCACGGAAAATGTTGCTAAATTAATTAACTATCCTACATATGTCCCATCTAGAGCATACTGTACAGTACAAAATCTTATTTACAAAAGACCTTTACAATGAAGTGCTGGGAAGGAATGGGAAGAAAATGAAAAACGCTGCTTGAAAATCTAGAGTTCGAACACTACATGAACAGACTGAATCCCTTTATTATACTAGAAATTCCTGAAGGCACCCTAATGTGTGATTCGTACTTGGGTTTAATGTTTCCCCAAATGGTTGAAATTTGACATGCTTCGTTCTGGTACAAATGTATGGCGTGGTGAAACGAAAGTACTTCTGCCTTACAACTTTGACACCCCTCCAAACACACAGACTCAAACAAAAAATAGTAATAATACCCACTAAACTTTCACGCTAAGTAAGATTGCACCCAGTATGGATAATGAAACAAATTAACATCTCTGAAGCATCAACATTTTAATTTTCCCAAGACGAAATTGGAAGAGAAAAAAAGGAACATCGATATTACAAGTGCTTGGAGAATACTTGCCCAATCATTTAATAGAAATATTGGGTGCGTTTTGTTTTGAAAAAATAATAATGCTTCGTGTTTTATTCCATTGATTTACCCTTTCCAAAAGTAGCCTCTATGTGCATACCTTGCCATCTAGTGGTAAAACAATCCATCTTCTCTTCTCGAGGGTAACAGGAGCCATTTACTTTGTGCGTAAAGTCTTATTCCAGAAAACCAAATTGGCAACAATCCCGAATGATACAAGTGAAATGTGTAGTAGCTATGCACAGTCTAGCGCCCTCAACTATGCAGGAGCGAAGTGAATAGAATGTTTCCCGCTCTTCAAATAAGATACAGCTGGATGCAGTCAATCTTGCCTTGATCTCGAGTTGCGGTCTTAAGTAGCGTCTGTTCAAGAAGGAGCTGTCCTAGAATCTTAGATGGGTCTTGTGCTTGATCATGTACCTGTGAAAGACAACAAAAAGGTTACCAAAAAAAATGAGTCGCAAGTGAAGGGACAGAAACCAAAATTTGACATGTTGTGAAAAGCTCCGGTGTGGGCTATGTGTACAAAAGTTTTCCCCCAATACTGTTGTATGCATAGTCCATGGAATATCCCCATGTTTGCTTCAAGCAGAATTTGTATTAACGGAGATTGTATGAATTTGAGTTTTGAAACGTTGCACAAGACAAAATACAAAGCATTTTCTGTGTGTGTTTGGAATGGTTCGACATACTTGTCCAGAATCTCCCAGAACTTGAGCAGACTGGCTCGATCCAGGTGACGCTTAGTACGACTGACCAACAGGACATGCACGTTCCACTTCTTGATGTTGGGATCCAATTTCATCTCCTCGTATTGAATGTGGAAGCCACGGACTAATAAATGAAAACAAGTTTAGAATTGTTATGTTCAGGAATAATACAGATTGCAATAAATCAAATACTGAGAAGGCATACAAGTAAACACTTCTTTTTATTGTGCATCAGTCAACATGGCGGTACATCAAACTCGTCCATAACCCTCCAGGGTATGTTTGCCAGAACCCTGCCAAACACAGCAACCTGCAACACTTGACTAAGTGACAAGCCTGCCAAATGAAGCAAGATCCATCAGGGGAAAAGTCTCAAGACCACACTGCCTCGGAGTCTGTGGTCCCCGCACGCAGCAGGATACAACTGTGGCATTGTTCAGTGGGACTTAGCTCTCATCGTTTCAGAGCTGGCCATTCATGCACTGGTGTTGGCAGCTGAATGCATCAAAGTACACCAGTTCTTTTCCACCTGATCCACTGTGCTGCATCTGGCAGGGTTAGGGTTAAGGGCGCTTTTACAACATACCTTAAACAGAACAGGAATGTTCAAAATAGGATTGAAAGTGATACTCCTCTTTATATATAAAACAGTTTTTGTGTCTGCAAAATACTAACGGCACTTGGACATGCGCAAAGCCATGATATTGTAATAAAAACATAACTAGCCGTAATTTTATTTTCTGGTCCTGAGAGAAAATATAAAGTTTAAAAATATGGACTTACTTCTTGCAAAGATGTCAACAGGAGATCCGTCCGACAGGAGCCAAGGCCATCCCTTGAACTGCCAGGCGGGACCCTGCGCAAACACGGCAACAACACGGTCCCTGAAAAACACAAGAGAGAAACGCAAATGCGACAGTTAGTTCGCTATAGCTTGACGGTAACAAGCAACACTCAGTTAGAGGCCGGACCTTGAAGCAATACACTCTTTGCATTTTCTGCATCACTTGTTTCTTATTATAAAGAAACTTCCCTTCCCTGATCCTGCAAAATCCTCAAGAATTTTCAGGTAGGTTTTGAGGAAACTGGAAGGATTAGTGTTAAATTTCAACTTTTTATGGCAATGTCCCTTCAATGTCACGTACCAATCCTGCGGGCTCAGTTTGTTGACTGTATCAACGACCCTGTATGGTACGGAGCTACCGTCATCTTTCCGTCTTTGTATTAGGACATCGTTCTCTTTGCGAGCTCCTTGTGCCTTCTTCTCATCCGATGTGAAGAACCTGGGGAACGATGTTTGAAGTTTTGTGATTAAAATATAAAATGGTGAAATCTGACTAAAAATGTTTCCTGTAGGGTCCATTATGGTATTTTTTTATGTCTGAAGCAACAAAAATTATAGTTTCTCAAAAAGTGTTTATGGCACGCTGGCTTATAGCCGCATGAAGAAATCTTCAAATTAAGACAGAGAAAAATTCCATCATTGAAGATCTGGAAAGGAAATCGTTCTGGTTAGAGTTAAGTCTCTTGCTTATGGACAAACGATTCTCTGGGTTTGAACTAACATTCTAAAGACCTACTAGCTCAACAATGTATTAAATAGGTCTGCAAAAAAACAATTAATTAAAGTCCAACCATGTGATGTAAAGTGGGCAGGTATTATGACCAACACCAGAAAGGTCCGTTACTCTATCAATTATTTTTGGGTGATCCTTTGAGATTACTCACTTTAGATCTTGCAGGATGTCCTTAGCGTTGTACAGAGTGACGAGCGACGTAGTGGCTGCTGGAATGATGATGATAGGGGTGCGAGAGACACGCTTCTGGGGTGTCTGAGGCTTGGGTTGGGGGGTGATCTCTCGCCGAGGGGCTGGGACTGGGGTCTGGGCCTTGCGAGCACTGGCACCTTCCTGTAAACAAAGGCAAATAATTTCAAAAGTTAAGACTCGTCACTCGACTGGAGGTCGGATTCACTCCTTTGGAAGTAGGTTTATATCTGGGATTTGAGAACACAAACTAGCTCATCAATAAGCTGATTTGGGGCTCACACTCTTTTTTGTTCTTCAATATTTTCTACTCACCGTTACAGATTTGAGTGTCATTCCGTGGTACGTGCCTCCAGTATCAATCTTGAAGCCCTCAGTTTCTGCGTAGAAAACATGTAAAGATTAAAAACTGTCGCATGGAATGGTATTAAGAGAAACTTGCAGCAATTAAAAATAAAATATTACGGTCCACAATGATCTAACAAATCTGCGGCACGATTGCTAACCTTCCTTTCCTCTGAATCTTTCCTGATCGTAACGATTGTACTGTGTCTGAGCTGCTTGCTTCCTCCGTGGATCCTACAAAGACAGGAACAAAAAAGATTTTAAACACACCGAAAAGACACATATTTAAAGCGGCCTTTCTGCATGAAAATATGACTAATCAAGAGTAATTGGAAAAAGGATGTAAGCGTTAGTATTGAAACTCAATGAGTAACAACACAACATTAAAGGGTCCATGAAATTAATTTTTCTTAATAGGAACATATTTTGTGCAACATTCTACTCCTCTTACATGTGTGAAAACTATGGGACATCTCTTTTTGGTTAATTTTATTGCAAAGTGCACTTCTTTAAACATTTAACAGCTTCCTTGCTTTTCCAGACAACTGAGAATGCTGTTGCTGTGATGTCATTTCAGGAAGACACAGTTCAACTTAGGGGTTTTGTGTTCAAATTGGGAACCCAAAATTTACTCATTGAAAATATTAGTGAGAAAGGTATACTCATTGGCTTACTGCCATGTACTGACACAACAAAGAATCGCTAAAGAAAAGAACATTTAAGACAGCAAAATAGCCAAACGTCTAACAACTTTTTGTGCTGAAATAGCTGTTACATTGAGGTTTCTACCCGGATTGAAATCACAGTTTTAGTCATGAATACGAAAATTTGCATTAGCATAAAAACCGAAAAAGGCACCAAAATACCCTTGAAAATGGCACAACAAACATTGAAAATCAGGTTAAATTGGATACAAAGGTGCATTTTCCAGGGCTGCAAATTACACTGCATGGCCCTTTAAGTGAAGCTGTAAATGAGGACCTTGCACTTGCATACTCAGTATTGTCCGAGGGCTTGAGAGAAAAATTCACAAGCTGACTCGGGTTGGACTCGAACCCATGACCTGCTGTTTACTAGTGGAGACATCTTACTACTCAATCACCGAGCTTACCGGGACAGGCTGGCCGGTTCGATTCTGATGTAGCAGCAAGTACCGCAACCAGATATTCTTAAAATGGAACTTGCGTCAGGGAGATTAGAAAAAGGATGTTGCACAGAGTCGTTGGCCTGAGATGCTTGATGCATGTACATACAAACAGTAAGACAGACGGACTGACAGACATATTAGGGGAAGTACCTGTTGTGTGGCTGGAGTTTGTTCAGTTCTCTGCTGTGTGGTGGGCTTGGTCTGTTTGCCGTCCTCCTGTGCCTTGACAGACTGCAGTATTGCAAACACATTCTTGGAGAAATCCTGCAAGAAGAGACCAGCAAGACGTCAGTGAAGGACAAATGGGAAACTATTTGCGCTTTTTATTGGCAAACATGCCTGTCACAGCGCCCCCTACTGGCGAAGCTAAAGGTTGATTTCGTAGTCACTGTAAAGTGAGGGCTCTTTTTTCCTCAAATTTTGAATGACATTCAAGATTTGATATTCAAATTTATTGGTCATGTAGATTAAAGTCAAACATGAAATTAATTTTCTGGAGAAGTCAAACATGAAATTCATTTTCTGGTGTAAACAATCAGAAAATTAAAACAACTGGTTTCTCTGTCTGACTGTGATTGCCTTGTCTACGCACAGCAACCCCATGCCATAGCGCCCTCGTGTGGACATACGTAAGAGCCTAAGGTAGTGTGATTGTACCTTGCCAGTGCTCTGCAGTATAGAGCTTCTAGTCCGCCACAGTCTTTCTCGACTCATGATGTCCCTGGTCACATCCACCTCGGCATCAATGAAGCTGCGCTGTTCCAGGATCCCCGTGCCTAGGTCATCGTCGTCAACTTTGATGGTGGTTCGCTTCTTGGCTCGCAGCTTGGCCTTGATGGCTGCGATCTTCTCCACGGACATGGTGTCCGAGAGCGACCTGAATAGAAGATGAGGTCAGGTCAAAGGTCAGATGCAAAGCGAGTGCACTGCATCTCTCTGTGATCAAGGCTGGGGAAAAAACACGATCCCCAAAATACCTCAACCTCCTCGATTCTAAGCTATATCAACGTGGCTGTATCAAATCAGTATTACTCATACCTAATCTGATCGGTGGTGACGACAGCGCCCTCTTTTGACGGCTCCAGCTTAGCCGCAAGTCGCTCCTACAGAGACAATGTAGGAAAGATGATTTATCGCGTACATATACAAAGGAATTTACCAGACTTTGGACTTCTTAATCAGATGGGAAAGATGTCAAGTTTTTCATTTCATAAATACTTAACTAAGCTTAATGTTTTGAGGGATATATGATCAAGAAGGGTTCTTTAAGTGGAATTGAGCAAGTTAAATTTTGATTCAACATTTTGTACACTGCAGGACTGTCATATATGCATCTCCACATTTCAAAACCATTCAAAGTTTTGTTATAAGAGTCTGTTAGATGCCTTGCCAAAATTTACAACGATGGAGGAGTTGTGAAAGATTTGTGAAAGACTGGTGTCGGGAAAGGAATTTAGTCGGGTACCTTGGCCTTCTGCACTTGCTCCATCTCAAAGCGGATTTTCTTGGACGGGTCATTTTGGGTGTCATCAATGGTGCGCTTGGCTGAAGACAGGAAAATGGAAAACATATGTCATTACTTTTGTCTGTTTGTGATTTGTTCAGATGAAGCTGATCTGATACCAATAACAAAACAATGTGCCCAGTTTGGATTTCTGTTTAAGGAGTCAGGGAACATGTCAAAGATGGCTGCCTTGAAGTATATTTACCTTGGTGTACGGCGATCTCAAGTGGTGCACTTTTGTCGATACTCGCAGATGTGGCTGTTGGCACAATAAAAATGTAGTGTTACTTTCTGTACCTTCAAATTTATATAATTGGATAACAATATTTAAAGGGTCCTTGATTAATGTGATTGCTATAGCCAGATTTTCATACCTGTTTCTCCTTTCAGATAGGCAAGCAAACCTCTTCTGTCCGGCCGACGCACGACAGGAACATTTGTTGCCTGTAAGAAAACATTTACCAAATTATGATCTGCTCAAGCTGCCCAAAAAGTTTTGAGATCTTACTTTTATTGAACTTGGCAACAAAATAAACTTTCTAAAAATAAGTATCAGTTGATTTTTGTACGTCTATGTACATTTTTGAGATAATCTGGCAAACTTGAATATTCCAATTTAGGCTGTATTTTCCGTTGTGTGTACAACTCATTTCTAAACGGACTGATTATTACTGAACGACAACAATTCATGAAATTTGGTTGTTTTTCTCCTAAAGGGAAAGTACTTACAGCAGCTTGCCGCACATAGTTAGGATGAGTAAGCTTGACATGTTTCAGAAGAAATAAGATGGAATCCACAGAGTAATATTCCTTGGATTCCCCAGCATCCTTGCCCGTCCTGTTTGTTCAAAAACACAAAAAAAACTAAAACTGTAGGGTTGTCGTCAAAAAAGACAGTCAGACAAAAAAATTTGGTATTCATACAAATAGTTCTATTTTAGTTACGATGGTTAACAAATGGAAAGAATGTAGTATCCAGCGATTGTATACAAAGTCTATGGAGAGTCAAGGAAATTTTCAAAGTATTTTCTAACAAAATTTGAAGTGTTTCTCAGTCCCAGATTCATGTCTTTTTAACATTTTTGCAGTGACTGACCTTTATTGAGATGATAATATCATATATAATATAATATAATATAACATACTTTTTTTCTTCATATATTATATGAAGAAAAAAAGTGGTATCAGGTTGCAACATACTTTCCTAACGAACATTGTTTGAATTATTTTAATAAAATTGGACAACAATTTTTGAAAAATATTGCAACTCAAAGTAAAACTTAACATAATAACAGAAACTACTTTTTGAATATATGCAAAAGCTTGGTTGTGACGACCACCAATTTGAAGACCAAAAGCTCGCCAAACAAAAATAAAACCCTAGACACCAAATAGTCGTCGGCTCCATAGAAATGCATGTATTTTTAATTTAGGCTAGGCCTAGGCCTACATGTTGAACAATCCGTCCAATTCGTGTCATTATTGCCCCATTGGTTTCACGCATTTACGAACTACCGAGACAACAACTCACCCATAGATTCCGTAGTTGGTCTTAGCATCCTTCGGCCAGGAGAACTCACCAAATATAACCTGGCCATCGTGTTCAGTAATCTCCTTATTTGCGACTGTGTAGTCTCGAATAAATTTCAGAACGTCTGCCATGATGTCCTGTGAAGTTCTGAAATGACGACAGACTACTAGCCCCTATGGATATGCATGCATAAGAATATACACATTGTACACGGAAAGCGAATGTAAGTATACCAAGAGACGGTACCTAGACCACTCGTCCTTAAAGTTGACCCCTGACCTTTTCTGACATGAATATCTCATATCTCCGCTCTGTCGTATCATTGAGGGCGCACTTCGCATTTTACGGGATGTCTGTCTGTGGTGCAAGAAATGTCCGTCCTCTGCAAATTTGCAACGTTTCACATTCTCGAAAATCCCCGTTTATTTTAGGGAATGACGTCATCGTGCCATAAAGGATAAAACCTTCAGTTATTTCACATTGTTTGAGTAACTTCAGTCGATCGTTCTTCCGTCGGTTTTCCCGTCGTAAAGGTTGTTGTAGGCCCAATTTTTTTTGTGGCCTTCCCATCCCGGCCCACTAGTCTGCAAAGCCAAAGTGAAAAAGTGCAAGCATTGAAGCAGGTAGGAACTCTCTCCAGACTCGATCAGTCCATGCTAGTTTTTTTAACTTCTACCCGATCAACAAAGTTCTACCCGATCAACATGATCAAGAAAATTGTATGCCTATTCCCCGACTTTCAATTTCATCCTAACTTAAGTTTTATGCTTGGGACCCAACCCGTGAAACAATTTGTCATGTTTGTTAACTGTTTTCTTACCTTTTTGTCACATGATCATTCTGCCTCCCCTTCTGAAAGCTGAACTGTATACGGTTGTATTTGTCACATTTGAGAATTCTGTAGAAACATTGATTGGATTACATTTGTCAATATTATCATGAATGTCAGAGGCCTTCCATAGGCCCACCTACTGTGCGGATTATATCAACATTATTGTGGGTTTTTTTGTATTACACGTAGTTTCTTATTTTCTAAGTAAATTTGGTTCTATTTTTACCCATCCCACAGGTGAGTAAAACAACACCAAGTTGCAATGGCGGAAAACCAACCCATACCCCAAAGCCAGCCTCTGGAAGCCAGCCAGGTATGCAACAGTGCCGGTGGCTTCGTCTGGACGGTAGATGATATGGATCGTCTGCGTCGGTTCCTGTGTCTGGGCTCCGAGACTGGTACTTACTACTGCAAAGCCAAGGAACTGGGTCTGCAGAACGTGGAGTGCATCCAGAAACTCATCGAGGACGGAAAGGGGGAAGATGTGGTCAAAGAAATCCTGGAGTACAGCGTGGAAGGGCGGACGGCTAAGCAAGACCCCATTCTGGTTGCCCTGGTCCAGTGTGCCCGTTGCGAACACGTCAAAGTCAAGCAGCTGGCTTACGAGTCCATGCCAAAGATCTGTCGCATCCCAACTACCTTATTCCAGTTTGTAGAGTACGTGGAGAAGCTCCAGGGCGGGTTTGGAACAGGGTGGGGACGGGCGCAGAAGAGAGCAATCGCCCGTTGGTATAACGAGAAGAATCCAAGGCAACTTGCCTACGCCGTGACTAAGTATCGGAACCGTAACGGCTGGACCCATCGGGACATCCTGAGGCTGGGACACGTCAAACCTAAGGATGAGGGTAAGTTGATTGTAGGAATGCCACATTCCCAAACTTGAGATCAATTTAATAGAGATGCTTCACAGTTTAAGCTTCACAGTTTAAGCATATTGCTTGTGATTGCTGCTAAGCTGGTTTTCACTTAAGCTTTCTGAGCAATTAAATAATAATGTCAGTGCTGATTTTTTCACACCCTTCAATCACACAGCGACCGGCCTGGTGCTGAAGTATGTCGTCAAGGGCTGGAAGGAGCTTGCTGGGTCCATCAAGGAGGATGAAGAACACAACGATGCCTTCAAGGAAGTCTTGACCTTCTTGAAAGATGCCGAGACAGCTCGGCTTTCTACAGATGAAACAGAGCTGATTGCCTTAGTGGAGAAGCATCAGTTTGCCTGGGAACATCTGCCCACACAGTTCCTCAAGTCAATTGAGGTAGGTGAAGAAGAATTCCAATAATTGTACCACTCCTTAAAAACCCTAAATCCACAAGGATGTTTGGAAGGATTTTTGTCAGATTTAGGAAGGTAGAATACTATCACTTTTACTTTATGTAGGGCTTAATGTCCTTCAAAGTACCAAGGAATAGATTGCCCTTGGGTTTCTGGATAGTGGAGGTTTGGGTTGGACTGGAACCCATGAGCTCCTACTTACAAGTGCAGATGTCTAAACTACTTTGTTTTCCATCTGTCCAACAGGTCTGGAAGGCCCTGCTTCAGTCCATGCCCATGACGGCCATGATTCGCAACCTAGGCAAACTAACTTCCATCGGTCTACTGAAACCTCTCGGTGAGGAGACGATGATGGTCTGTGAGCGTCTTCGTGACGAGAATCGTCTGCGTAAAGCCCGTGTGCATCCAATCAACATCCTAGCTGCTCTCAACCAATACCAGAAAGGCAAAGGCTTCAAGGGAAAGTTGATTTGGAGACCAGTACAAATGATCTGTGATGCGCTGGATGATGCATTCTACAAAGCATTCAAGGTGGGGGAAAAACTGCTCCTAAGGCCAAAAAAAAAGTCTCCGGTTTCTGGTATGCGCGCGCGTTGCCATAGCCATGCACGTTGGCAAAATGAAAAAGGTTTTTTTCAATGAAAGATGATGACTCAAAACTGCCAAACTCACTGGTTTGACTGGAATCCTGCTGCTGCACAATTTTAACATGTTTTTAGATGGGGTTACGATCGAGAATAAGCTTTATGTGGCCTCTCTGGACTCCCATATATTTGCACTAAGTTTAGTCGGGCACCATTTGCCATCAACAGCCGACATTTGAAGGAAAAAAAGGGTATAAAAAAAAAAAACCAGCGCCGCACCACTTTTTGGGCAAGCTCCATACCAGAAACTGGAGACTTTTTTTGGGGGGGGCCTAAAGAAGTCTAGTCATAAAGTCTTACAGAAATAATTTGACTGATGTTAGGGCTGTAAAGCATTCACAGATATTTACATGATCTTATTTTTAAAATCATTGCTTGTGTTTTATATTTTCAGTTTGTAGAGCCGACCGGCAAGCGTTTCCTGCTAGCCCTAGACGTCAGTGGCTCCATGAGTTGCAGTGGCGTCAACGGAATCGAGAACATCATGGCCAGAGAGGCATCAGCTGCCATGGCGATGGTTACCATGAGAACAGAGCGGAACCATTACGTCATGGCCTTCTCAGATCATCTGGTAGATGCTGGGATCAATGCTAACATGAGGCTAGATAAAGTCGTTGAAACCGTCAGCTCGGTAAGTTGGGGGTTTGATGGCAGTTTTTCTTTTGTTTTAGAAAAAAAACTATTTCAAAGTCAAACAAAACAACCATCTCTGTCCTCAATTGAACCCCTGGACAGAGAGAAACAAATACTCACAAAGCGTCTTGCCCAAGGACACACATACACATATACACACAGGTTTGTTTATGGTGTTAATTGAGGATTTCCTGTTGCTCCTCATCAGCGATCTTTTGCTTATACTCTAAATTTTTGCAACAGCTCCCATTGGTTTTGTACACATTTTCTAATTGAGGACGTCCTCGATTTGACTCCTGTCCTCAATTACACAAGGATGTTCTCTTGTGTGTCTGCGATTTTAATAATAATAATAATAATAATGGCTTCTTGTACAGCGCTCATGTCCGTCAAGAAGTGATGCTCCTGGCGCTCTATTATTACCCTGGCTTTAGCACGGCCGCCATTAACACGCTCAAGCATTGAAGGAATTTCTTCCTACCAGGTACCCATTTACTACACCTGGGTGGAGTGAGGCAATTGAAGTAAAGTGCCTTGCCCAAAGGCACAAGCACCATGTTCCCCGTCAGGATTTGAACCCATGTACCACGGCACACGAGTCGAACACCGTAACCATTGGATCACAGCACCCCTCATGTTTGTTTCACCGTAAACAAACCCTCACATACATATACTGGTGCTTGTAGGGAAAACCTCTGTTTCCCTTCTTCTGTTCTCCTTTGTTTCTATTGAAATCTCAAACTTTTCTGAAGATTTCTGAAGACTGACTTGTGGGGTCTATTGACCCTATTGTGCTTACTACCCCATAAGGAACCTTGTGTATGTGTACACACACCACACTGGATTGTGTGCACACACATCTGTAGAATTACCCCAAACATCTTGACTTTCCAAAGCAAACCACAAACCCCAGAGCCAAGACACTCAAAAAACTAAAACATCCCCCTATTGTTTTCCTTCCCTTTCCACAGATTGTAATGGGTGGAACAGACTGTGCCTTGCCTATGATCCACGCCAAGGAACAGAAGATTCCTGTGGACGTCTTCATCATCTACACAGACAACGAGACGTGGTTTGGTGACATCCACCCCACTCAGGCCTTGCGGGATTACCGCCAGGCCATGGACATTGACGCTAAGCTGATCGTGGCGGGTATGTCGGCCAATAGTTTCTCCATTGCTGACCCAGCTGACAAGGGTATGCTGGACATCGCTGGGTTCGACTCTAACTGCCCCAACTTGATTCGCAATTTTGCCCTGAACTTGGTATAATAGAGGCTAGCAGGAATCCAGTACAATGGTGACCTAGAAAGAACTGGTGTGGACGAACATAAGGTACAGTTGGAGCTTATGGCTAACAGGATTGGGAAGGTACATGTAGCTCTTGTACATTACAACACAAGTCAATCGCAAGTCCTCCCAAGTCCTTACAAGTCAATCGCAAGTCCTCACAAGTCAATCACAAGTCCTTACAAGTCAATCACAAGTCCTTACAAGTCAAACGCAAGTCCTTACAAGTCAAACGCAAGTCCTTACAAGTCAATCGCAAGTCCTCACAAGTCAATCACAAGTCACTACAAGTCAATCACAAGTCCTCACAAGTCAATCGCAAGTCCTTACAAGTCAAACGCAAGTCCTTACAAGTCAGTCACAAGTCCTTACAAGTCAATCGCAAGTCCTTACAAGTCAATCGCAAGTCCTTACAAGTCAATCACAAGTCCTTACAAGTCAGTCACAAGTCCTTACAAGTCAATCACAAGTCCTTACAAGTCAATCACAAGTCCTTACAAGTCAATCACAAGTCCTTACAAGTCAATCGCAAGTCCTTACAAGTCAATCGCTAATCCTCACAAGTCAATCACAAGTCCTTACAAGTCAATCACAAGTCCTTACAAGTCAATCACAAGTCCTTACAAGTCAATCGCAAGTCCTTACAAGTCAATCGCTAATCCTCACAAGTCAATCACAAGTCCTTACAAGTCAATCACAAGTCCTTACAAGTCAATCACAAGTCCTTACAAGTCAATCGCAAGTCCTTACAAGTCAATCGCAAGTCCTCACAAGTCAATCACAAGTCCTTACAAGTCCATCAAACTCAATCACAAGTCCTCACAAGTCCATCACAAGTCAATCACAAGTCCTCACAAGTCAATCGCAAGTCACTACAAGTCAACCACAAGTCCTCACAAGTCAATCGCAAGTCTATCACAAGTTAGTCACAAGGCCTTCGAAGTTCAATCACAAGTCCTCACAAGTCCACCACAAGTCCTCACAAGTCAGTCACAGGCCATCGCAAGTCAATCAAAGTCCTCACAAGTCCATCACAAGTCCTCACAAGTCCATCACAAGTCAATTGCAAGTCCTCACAAGTCCATCACAAGTCATCCAGTCCCAATTCAAGTTATAAAACAGTGATCTGTATTATTGTCTCGTGACTGGACTTGTGAATCGACTTGTGATGTATTAGACCAAGTAAGTAAAATATGGAAAGTAAACATGTTTTTCTGAAAAATAATAAATATAATGTTTCATTTCAATCTTTCAACGAATAAAGTTGTATAGCTAAAATATCAATCGATGTGAATTTATAAAAATCTTGTTCGTTGTTAGCTGTATTAAAGATCCTTGTGCATTGATTCAATTTTTTTAAACGTGTAATTTTTATGAAAGCAATTAGTTCCTCATCTGCATGATAATAAACAAAACGTCAGCGTGACTACTGTTATGTGGTCGTGCATAAGGGCCTTTTGTTATAGCTTGAGAACTAAATCCAGCTGTAGTTTAAATCTTACTTGAAATACTTAAAGAAATCTTAAAAACAGCCCGTCTGAAAGATGTGAAACTTGAGTTTTTGTATTGCTTACAGTAGTAATTTATCTTCTAGCCTCATTCTATTTAAACTGAAACTTTTTAAAAACTTGTTTTTATTTTTTTCTTGTAAACCCTGTTTTGTATGTGTTTTTCAGCATGGAAACATGTTCTGTCACGAAGAAAGTGCCATTTTGAACATAAAATTGTGAGCGGCAGCGAAAGTTTGGTTAAAAGAACTTTTGCATATTGAAGTTCTAGGAGTTGGGAGTCTTCAGTGAAAAAATCTTTGATTCACAAAAGTGCAGTTTATAATAGAGGTTTGGAATTTTTGTGCAAATATTTTGCTGAATAGGTTGTACATTGATCTAGTCAAAAGTTTTAAAATGGAAAAGGAAATAAGGAACAATTTATTGACATTTTACAGATTTCATTGAATTGTTATAGTTAATAGAATTTGATCTAGTCTAACTCCTTCAATCATCTACAATTTACAAGATTTTTTGGGTTACTTTTTTTTAAGGATTTGTCAAATGTTTAACTCTGTTTTTTGTTCCCATTATGTTGTACGTATTAAAATTTGTGTAAGTGGTGTAAAAAACAATTGCAATAATTTATCAAAATTGTCGGACATTTAAGATATAAATGGTTAAGGGAGTGGTGTGATTTAAAATGAATTGTAATTTGGTTAAGTTTTTGACCGTAAATAGTAAACATCAAATGAACTTCTTTGTCGCATCCTAAATCCATCAATGCTCTCGCTTAATCCAATATTTTACCTAGTCATATTTTTAAAGGGTCAATTCAATGAATTTTTCTTAGGAACATATCCTGAATTATTATCATATTATCGTTTATACATGTATATGAAAATTATTTGACATCCCTTTTTGGTTAATTTTATTGAAAAGCGCACTTCTGTAAAAAAAAATTTTTAAATGTCCATGCTTTTCCAGACAACTGAGGCACTGTTGCTGTTATGTCATTTCAGGAAGACACTGTTCGGTTAAGGGGTTTTCTGTTCAAATTGTGAACCTTAAAATTTGCTTATTGAAAACATTTGTGAGAAAAGTTTGCTCATTTGCTTACTGCCATGTACTGACACAACAAATCACAAAAGAAAAGAAAATTTACAAAAGCAAAATATCCAAAATTCTGGCAACTTGTGGGGCTGAAATAGCTGTTACATTGAGGTTTCCGCCTGAAATGACATCACACTTTTGCTCATGAATATAGAAATTTGCATCAGCATAAAAACCTTAAAGGCACAAAATACCCTTAAAAATGGCGAAACATAAAAATAAGCTTAAATTTGGCACAAAGGTGCATTTTCAAGGATTGCATTTAAAAAAATTACATTGCATGGGCCCTTTAAGGAGAAAATAATAATTTTGCAATTTTAAAGTATTTTTGTCAGTGCCAACTGCCAAGTCTATGGGTTTGCATGGCTGTTGATTGAATGTTTGCTAGTGGCGTAAGTGCATGTTAGCCGACTTAACCTGTGTGCAAAAATAACAGGATTAGGGGGATGTTTCAATGTACAAGAGGAACATGGGATATGAAAACCTTTGGAAACTAAATGATAAAAGTTTTGGGTATGTGATGAATGCAAAACTACTAACTTTTCACAAATGCTAGTGTAAGATTTATATACATTGTAGATGTTACTCATATAAAATCTATGGAAGTTACGTCAGAGTGATCTAAATTCATTCACAAACTGATCGGGTAGGACTCGGACCCACGACCTCCTGCTTACTAGTGCAGACGTCTCTTCACCAGCACTCGGGACAACACCGAGTTTACATTTGTGCAGTGTTCATACAAAATACATCGGTGAAGGGCAAAATCCAATATCGAATTTATATACATATCCTGGTATGCTTATGTGGACGGATGTTACTGGGAAATACTTTAAATTGTACACATCATGCTCAAGGGCAATGAAATGAAAAATGGCGATTTGGGACTTTTGGGAAAACTGTGTTATTCTGCTGTTTAATATCACCTGTAAATTACGTCAAAAGTTGCACATTAGTGTACACTGTCAAATTTTCTCAGAAATAAAAATATGTAATATGAAATGAAGCTTTTGAAGAATTAGAAAAACAATTTTTTTAAGTGATAGCTAAAATGCTTTTGCTGCATCAGTTGATTCTACAAAATAAATAGAATGGATGATACATGTATTAACACGTTTATGTAGCAGTGGCAAGGTGGTAGATGTTTTTGAAATAAACCATGAAATATGTCAATTGTGTAGTTACTGTTTACTGTTCTGGGGCGTGCATTCAGCTTCAATATTAAACTAGAGATTCGCGTTTGTTGAGTTACAAACGCAGAGTGGTCGGGCGGACAGCCTTTTCATTATACACTGCCCAGAAAAGTTAGGAATATACGCATATATAGAACAAAGGATCACGATATTAAATCCCTTCCAGTACAATCAACTCTTCTTTTTTTTTACAAAAATGTATCTTAAACGGTGTAGTAAAATGCTTCTGCTTTTGAGTTATATTCGGATTTTATTGCACTTCCGGTAACACCGGAAGTGAAGGTCAAGCGGTTTGTGTGTCCGGCGACAAAAATGGTTCTCACGGCATAGTGTACAACCTCATGGAAAAACGAACACGAAACTCTTTTTAGTTCAAATGATATGGCGCAAACTATTTTGTCAAAATTTGCCCTTAAATCGCTTTTAATTTGATACCTGATGACGTCATGATGATGTAACAAAATTTATAACATCTTCATAACATGGTTCAAGTTCACACTATGTTTTATGATCATACCATAAACCGTTCGGAAGACATTTTGCTTTGTTTTGATTCCAAGCTAACGTCTTCATTTTGAATTCACCTAACTTTGACCTTCCGGTAGCTCCAGAAGGAAAGGTCAAACAACTTTGACTTCAAATGAAGAATGTTTATCAAGGTATTGTCCATCAGATCACGAAGTATGAATGTGATCGTGTATTTTGTTCATGAGTTATAATTTACGGAAAATTGTCATATTTTGACCAAAAATCGCTTGTAATTTGACACCCGATGACGTCATCGTGACGTCTCAGTAATATGCACCACTTGGAATGAGGGTCGATGTATACTGAAAGTTACAAGTTCATATCATAAACCGTCTAGGAGAAAACCCGCGGAGAATTATTGTCCGAAAAAAAAAAAAAAGACCCAAACAAAGAAGATTTATGAGAGCAATTCCAAAGAGTGGTCGGGTTGTGCCCGACCACTCAATGACGCAAACAAAAAATACCGATAAAAAATCACAATTGTACACAAATTCTCGTTAGATATCTGTATTATTACGCTTCCTTTTAATGGGTACAGCAATTAATTACTGTTTACAAATGGAATTTCTTTTCACAAGCCTTAGCTTGGGTAAGTTTTAAAACTAACAGCGATAGTAAGACCTTTGGTCAAAAATTAAATGGATTCTTACTTCAAAACAGAAACGGTAAAAACAACATCTGTACACATGCTACACCTAAACATTACTTAAACCGAATATTACAATGTTACACAGATATACACACAAGGGGTATCACACCACTTGCAGGGTCAGTCTTTCAGTTTTTGTTTTTGGATACCGAACTGCGCCAGGGAATTGCCAAAATTATCCTTTTGATCCTGTTTAAAGTTTGTGAAAAGTTTGGTTTTAAACCTTTTCAGGGTGGCTTGAATTTAAAACAAAAAAACATGCAAATTTTCAACTTCACCATGCAACTCCAAGCATTCTGCTCATACTAGGTTGATGGCCTAAATTAAAATACTTCTATTAATTTAAATCACAAGGTAACTTGATATTTTAATTAACGTATGGCTACCCAGGCTATGGTTGATTCCTTCAAACCCTGGTTTCCGAACCCAAAATGTGTCATCTGCATATTGTCTTGAACTTAAATGACATCGTTGCATCATTTCGAGAAAAACTATGCCTTGACATTTTCAAACATAAACTGTCAAAACATGTATGTGGCACGTTCTAGTGTTCTCGTGCATCCTATGTTGTGCTAACTCATTTAAACGCACATGAAAACAAAAAATACAGTATTGCAAAATTTCAGTAACGGGACAAATAAAGTTTGTTGCCTGATGCAATGATCTCATGTCAATGCAGATACTCAACTGAAAACACAAGTCATGCATATCCACAATTCCAGAAAAGTATACAACCAAGTCTTAGGAATGAGAAAAAAGGACCAAATATAAATAAGTGTCTCGAAATTGGAACCATTGGAAAGTGTCTCTAAGAACAGTGCTACTTTGCATCAGGAAAACACGGTTCCCATGTTCATCAGGAGAATTCCCAATGGAGCAGGAAGATTCCAAGTCTTGACACTTTTCCATCAGCAAAGACACAACCGAAAGCTGAATTTTCCTTGTCCTGTCCCTGCTCACAACTTCCATTAAAATATTGTCCAAACATTCCCATCAGAGGAAATACGGTGTGGTGGTGCGCGTGGGGATAATTCTCTCGGCGTCTGGCACGGCCCTGAAGAGTTTAGCCTCCTTGGTTGATGTGTCGCGGAAGGCGAGGATGGACGCGATGTTGCCGCATCGGTAGCAGTAGTTGGGCGCCGACCACACAGTCACCAGCTTCTCGTCAAACATGTACTTGTAGCCCTCGTGGACGAGCTGGTGGGCTCGGCAGATCAGCTTCAGGTTGTTGATGTGAACAAACTACGGAGATGAGAAAAAAATTGATTGAGTTTAATTTGTACACGAACCCATGTCTACAGAATCAGCCAATGCGTATGTTACATATGCAGGGATATTACAGAAAGCACTGGAGTATAAGGACAGGAGTCGAAAGACAAAACAGGACATTTAGGGATTGGCCATGAATCTTCCTAACCTCATTGACGACTTTAGCACCAAACAACCAGCCAGCTCCCCTTGGGCTGATGGCCCAAGTGTCTACATCTTCAGGATCGGACCAAACCAGATGTAAAAAAGAAAGTTAAGGAAACTCACAAGTAACATAAGTTATGATGAACTGAGCGGGTGAAAACACGAAGAAGTCAGACAGTACAGATAACAAGAAACCGGGCAGTTTAGGGCGGTAAAGGGACAGAATGGTTCTAAAAGGATATCACAGAAGGCTCCTTTGTGGGGGATTTCTTGAGCTCTCTCGATGGTTCTGATCTGGTCGACTGTCTTGACGTCTGGAGAGAGACCTCCATGAACGCACAGGATCTGCTCGTCAATTATCTAAGGAAAAAAGTTTTTAAAAAATCATTACTTTGTTGTGTGGACTCCACATCTGACATCAACTACAAGTGCGGTACATTCAACGTCAACTGCAAGTTTAAATACTTACAGCAGCTACTGTCAGGAGATCAAAGACCTTGGTGCAATATCGCCAGGCATTCGCATTGCCATATTTAGTCTGACACTCATCTGTAAACAAGAGAAAAATGGTTGGTTTTTTTTAAATAAGGTTTTAGATTTAGTTTCAAGACTCATTTAAGGTGTTTTTTGGGTTTTTTTTTTTACAACGGTGGACAAGATGGGGAAAAAAACAGGTTCAAGTTTCAAAGTTTTTTTCTGGTGTTTTTTTTTGTTTCAGACAATTAACCCTTCTGCTATTTAAACAGTCACAGACAGTCAAAATTTCCAACCACTTCCCCTGCTATACCTTTAACACAGGCTAGTCACCAGCACTCAGATCATATGTCAAGCAAGCACTGTGACTAGTCAAACTCAGTCAACACACCATGAACAGACAAACCAGGCAAGTTGTGGGCACAGCTGGCTTATCAATTACCCACAGCCAAAGCAAAGCTTACATCAGCAGTCACAGCCAGTCACTCCTGCTTTACATAGGCTGGGAATTCTTAACTGTTGAAAACAGTCACTTGAATTTGACTGGAAGGACTACTTGGCACAGAATGTATGTCTGCAATGCATAGGAGGGCTACTGATCTCTGACTGAGCCCGCTCCCCATACAGTAAACCCAAAAAAATGAAAGGTGTTCTCATTTTCATCAAAGTCGACCTTTCATTCTCACCATAAAATCCATAGACCTGGGTGATCTGCCTGCTCTCGTGGTTGCCACGGAGAAGTGTGATGCGATCCGGCCATTTTGCTTTGAGGGTCAGTAACCTAGTGAATGTCTCCAAGCTGTAGTAACCACGGTCGACAAAGTCACCCTGGAAAAGATAAGGGAAAGAAAGCGTGAGCATTTCAAAAGGAGTTCAGAAATCTATCACCCACTTATACACCAGTGAAAACATATTTTTGGTATCCCAAATAGGGTAATATTGGAACTGTTCAGCACAGTCTAGATTCTTGCACAAACGTTCTGTACTCCCTCTTAAATTGATTTACCTTCAATCCTTTCATAAGGTAATCAACTCAGGAGGAGGTACAATAAGTTAGTGCAAGATTCTAGATTGCGCTTTTCGGCTTAACAGAACTATAAAAAAAGCTCTGAAGGTTTGCACAAATTCTAATTTACCATGAACACGTAGTTAGTGTCGGGAATCTGGCCCCCTGTTCTGAACAACTCCTCCAAATCATAAAACTGTCAGAAAAAAAAATAGAAGAACAAATCAATAACAGCAAAACACTTTCTCTGGTCACAATAAACATTAGTCACGTTCATGTGTACAATGTACCTGTCCATGTATATCTCCGCATACTGTCACTGGAGTCGATACAGGTTGAACGTTGGATTCCTCCAGGAGAAGATCACACACGTAGTCGCACAGTTTCTGTGTGAAAATAGTTATTGAATATTTTTGATATTAAATCAACTCAACTACTGTTCTATTCAATTTCAAATTCAAAACATGCAAAATGTGACTAGAGTTAGTTTCAAAATCCAAATTCAAGATATAACCATATCCGCTTCATCAGTGTCTGAATTTCTACATAAATTTGCATAATACAGCCATTTGAAATGGGTGATCAAATGATCAATGATTGATTAGGCCTAATTATTTTAATATTGAAGAATAAAAAATATTAAACATAATGGAGTGATAAAAAAAAAGGAAATAGAAATTTTGACCTGATCAGGCCATAGTCAAAACGGCCGCCATCCTGTGACACATAGAAACAACCAAACAAAAACATCAGATTTTACCATGTTCACCCTCAAAACGACCACAGGTGCCCTAGGCTAGCCAAATCTCACTTGTCTGCTCGTTGACACATTCCCTTTTAACCGCTATGCAATTGCAATTACATGAATTACTTCGACATTCCCCAAGATCAACAGCACTACTCCAATACATTTACAGTCCAACCTGTCCAAGTCCCTTGGTAACTCTAATACCGCCCCCCCCCCTTCAGCGAATCCCCGCCCACCCCCAATGATTGAGAATGAATAATTGAACATTGAGGAAATCGGTAAGCATGGTAAGATTATATTTTCCGTGTCTACTCTCGAGATTTAACAAAATTACAAAGCCAGTCGTATCCCCCAGAATGTCAATAATCTTCGACACATCATTTCTTCACCTTTAAGTCGTTTTCTGGTAGATATTTGCACTGTTGTGCGATGTCGATCCATCTTTCAACCGACGATGGTTCCGCCATTTTTTTGGTGATTCGTGAGTCATGGAAGGGCGCCCTCTAGCTACTGCTCATAAACGGAACAAGATGGGTCTGTCAGATGTGGACCGGTGGTTGGAGATCGCCAAAAAGTGCAAATATCTGCCAGAAAACGACTACAAGGTGATGTAAAATGTGATGTAAAGTAAACAGGATATATTTGGGGTTGATTGGAATGAATTATAGCCCTTCTTGATGCTCCAAAGTGTGTGTAATTCGCCATATGATGCTTGAGAAATTTGACAAACATTGGTTGCTTGATGCCCCGCCCCTTCTCATTGATAAACAGTTGGGAAGTAAATGGGGGGGGGGGGGGGGGGCAAAGTTTGGAAGGGGGGGTGCAAGGTTGGGAAAGAAGCAAGGCATAGATGGAAGGGAATTGTAGGATTAGAATTGCCATCAGACTGAACCAAGATCATGGAGATTGGAATCATTGCTTTATGGTCAAGATGATCGTTTTTGATTATAAAATTTAAATTTTTTCACAGAAACTTTGCGAATATGTATGTGACCTACTTCTAGAGGAAAGCAACGTACAGCCTGTCTCCACACCCGTCACTGTGTGCGGAGATATCCATGGACAGGTATTGACCAATCAGCTTTCTCGTAAATGGTAACCCCACCCCTTTTTACCCTTTTCATTTCCTTCATCGTTCCCCACCCCCTTTCTTCTGATTTAAAGATGTAAAAAGGAATAATTCTCTTTCTCCTCTTTTTGTTTGTTTGTTCGAAGTTTTATGACTTGGAAGAACTGTTCAGATGTGGAGGCCAGATACCTGACACCAACTACGTGTTCATGGCAAGTATCATGATCAAGCACTTAATTTTACCAATTCTAGCATTGTCTATTATATAATTGTCCAAACTTTGATTGTTCCTTTTTTTTTTGGCCAACCTTTCCTATGTCATTCCAGGGTGACTTTGTCGACCGTGGCTACTACAGCTTAGAGACATTCACCAGGTTACTGACCCTCAAAGCAAAATGGCCGGATTGCATCACACTTCTCCGTGGCAACCATGAGACAAGACAAACCACCCAGGTCTACGGTTACTACGGTTAGATGATTGAAACAATTTTTGGAACATTTCATCTTCACGTCCAACCCAGACAAACCCATTGCATTGGGGGTGGGAACTATTTTCGCCGCATCTCTATTTGTCACGCTTCATGGGAGCATAAGCTAGCATCCACTATCTTCATCTGCTATCATCTTGAAGCACAAATCTCAAGGCTGACACATTCTGGAGTCTTCAACTTTCAAGCCGGCAGAAGGTATGGGGGAAAACATGTCATTATGCTAATGCTTGCTTTCATGCTCACCTCTAGTCCATTCTGTTCTTGGCTTTTGTCAGTGTGAAGTAAGGAGTATCATCCAAGGGTTGTCTGTTTTCGATTAATTTAGTATTCAATTACTCGAAACTGTGTTTGACTGAATATTCGGATATTTGAAACTGTTGGCTGTAAATGCGTGCCGCACTGCTCAAAAGTTGCATGCAGAGTTAAAGTTGTATGCTGTGATCAAAACAGAGTGTTTTTCAGTAATTGTTTTATTATTGTCAACGGCTTTAACCTGCTTAAAGGATAGAAACAAAAAAGTTACCATCATTTGACCAAAAAGTGGCACCTGACAATAAACGCTGCAACTTTATGATAAAGTACCATCACAGTCATGCGTGTGTATGTGCGCAGATTTCTAATGTTCTGTTGATGATTGAATATTCGGTTTATTCGGGACAGCCTTAATCCAATTTCTCATGGCAATTTATGTCCACCATATTGTAATTCTCACATTGTCCTAGCCTTTCCAAGGCCTTGTCCTTTCTTAAGTCTGTTTGGGTGTTCACTTGCTCAGTAATGTCTTCTGCCCTGTCTTGTAATTCTCACATGGTCGTCCTAGCCTTTTCAAGTCCTTGTCCTTTCTCAAGTCTGTTTGGGTGTCCACTTGCTCAGTAATGTCTTCTGCCCTTTCTTGTGCATTGCAGATGAATGTCTAATCAAGTACGGCAATGCCAATGCCTGGAGATACAGTGCAATGGTCTTTGATCTTCTTACAGTGGCTGCTGTAAGTAGTAGGTTACTTTCATCTTTTCATCTCCTTATCAAAAATGTAGTCGACTCCCGTTAATATGAACTCGGCCAGACCTAGCCAGCATGTTTGTTATATCTAGTGCTGCAGCTGAACTGCTGAACCAAACTAAAAATAGCCAAACATGGCCTTCCGAACCGAACCAAAATGGTCAGTTCGGAAGTTTGGCAAGTTGCTTTTGATAGCGCTGGGAATGCTAATGCTTGCCATGAAAGGGCAAAATTAAAGCGCATGTGTGGCAGTGACAAGTTTTACTTGTGTATTTTGATAGTGTATTAAATAGGAGTAGCTCCCCTTAGAAAAGAAAATCATTTTAGTTGAAGTTTAGATGTCCCCCCCCCCCCCTTTGTTGGTAGTGTGACCCCCTGTTTGTTTACTTAAGCCCACACGTTCCCCCTATAAAAGCTGCCACATGGTCAAGTCACACTTCAGTTCAGCCAGCAGACCAGCAGACAATAGACATACATGATATATTTTCCTCCTAACTGGAGTGCCTGTTCTGCTTGAAGTTATAGTTGCCGAATCATTTGCTTTGGTGAGTTTTCTTTAGTGTATTGTCTACTTTTCATTTATTATATATAATTATTTTTGATCTTTATTTCAGTTTTCGTTTGAAAGTTTGTTAGTTTTTATAGGAAAGGGTGATTTTTATCAGCTTTAATCTTTGAAGAATAGCCAGTTCTGAAGTGACCCTTTTCATATTATTTGGCTTAAGACTTCGGTATTTTTACTTCTTTTGATGATAGTTGTTTTTATCCTTTCTGTTTTAATGATGATGGTTAAAGTTTTGTATGAAAGTCTCATTTTGATTCCTTAAGAGAAAAGTTTCTAGTTGTTCTCGGCTGTTTGACTGCAACCTTGGTTTTACTGAAGGATAGATTTTGCCTTGTTTCATTCAGTAAGGTTAAGATTTCACTTTGACTTCAGATTTTCTCATTTTCTTTTTGCATATTTTTAAAAGTATTAATACATAAGTATACATGTAGATGATCTTCACCATGTGCTTTAGCTTTTCATTGCAATGTCTTTGTTCTCATTTAACTCACATGGCCTGTGTATAGGATGGTGCCACTGGACTTGTTTTATTACTTGCTAATCCTTCACTTTGGGGATTAGTGTCTCCCACTTCCTTTGTATCTTATTAGAACTTGTTTATTACATCATGAATATTCATTAGATCATTTCCTTATATGTTTTCTCTTTTTGTATTTTCTTGTTTACAGACTTTATTCCTGCTTGAGTGTTCTTTAAAAGATCCACTATTCACACTGTGTTGGTTTTAGATTTTAGGGTTTAAGTCTCAATTTCTTGATTTTTTTGGTTTAAGTCTTTGGATTTTAGGTTTATTCTTTGCTTTTAGTTACTGGTTTATGGTTTAAGGTTCGTGTAAATAAATTCTTTTTTGGTCTTTTTTTGTTCGAAATCTAGAATTCGTCTCTGGTCTCTATTAATTCAATTTCCTCGCGACTTTTCCCTTCAAGGATCCTGAGTTTAGTTTAGTTTTGTTAGTTAATCCCCATAGAGTCTTAGTTTGTGCGAGTTCCCCAAGTGTGTCATTTTTCACGGTTACACATGGATGATTGAATTTACTCGTTCGAGACCGAGCCTTTAATATGTTCACTATGAACAGAATAGTTCTTGTGACAGAGTGTGTATTACCGAAAGACAATTTTATAGGCTTGATTCAAACCGAGAATCTGATGGTCCATCAACAAGAATGCGACTGCACGTAATTACACCTGATACTTCGCTAACAATCACTGCCTTTATCACTTCTCTCCTCGCAGATAATTGACGAGCAGGTGCTATGTGTTCACGGCGGACTATCCCCAGACATCAAGACACTGGACCAGATGAGAATCATTGACAGAGGCCAGGAAATCCCACACAAAGGAGCCTTTTGTGATATCCTTTCTCCAAAAAAAGAAAAGATTTTAAAATCATTTGATCATTTGAATAGAAAAGTTGCAGAAGTACATTTAACTTGGTCTGGACTCGAACCAGGGACCTCTGGATCACAGCAGCAGGATTTTAGGGCCTTGGCCTTAAGGCTTGAGGGCAAACGCCTTGGCCTTGGCCAGTGCCTTGCAGTTTTCAGTCAAGGCTCTTCAAGGCCCATAGATTTTGGCATTTTCTTGATCAATTTTATATTGTATTCTTTCTGTTCTGGAAACGTACAACTCAGAGTCAGCTCTCCACAGAGTCTGTAATCTACACACACCCCGGATTTGTGTGTTGACACACTTCCAGTTTCACAGCCTAGGACGGTTTATAGGGAAGGGGCATAATCAGGCATACACATGACAGAAATGTTATTGTTATCCTTAATTTTACTCACATATTGTATGGTCTGATCCAGAAGACGTAGGTACATGGGCCATTAGTCCACGGGGTGCTGGCTGGCTGTTTGGTGCCCAGGTGGTTGACAAGGTAAATTTAGTATTGTAGTTGTCAGTACTTTTACTTTCAAGTTAAACTTTCTTACACTAGGACATGTATATCCCATTCTCATACTTCTCATATTGCTACTGCGTCAAAGTGTCCTTTTTTCTGAACTACTAGTTTCAAAGAATTTATATTTATTGAAGTTTTCAGATGCCTCACTAACCCTCCTGCTATTTAAGCAATCACGGACGGTCATAATTCACTTCCCGCCTTTTAACAAAGGCTAGTCACCAGCAGTCAGATCATATGTCAAGCAAGTACATGTACTAGTCAAACTCAGTCAACAGACCATGAACAGACAAAGCAGGCAAGTTGTAGTCACAGCTGTTTTATCACTCACCCAGAGTCGAAGCATAACTGTATCGAGTTACTTAATCAGTCCAAGGCAGTCAATCCTGCTCTATGTGGGCTGGGAATTCTTAACTGTTGAAAACAGTCACTTGATTGATTTTGACTGCAAGGACAACTTGGCACAGAATGTATGTTTGCATAGGAGGGCTAAAGTGAACAAATAAGGTCTACAAAAATTAGTCACCATCTGAACAAACATTAAGTCAAGTCCTGAACCTGTTCCATTGAGAAGATAGAACCACTGACATGCAGTTTACTGGCTAAAATTGTAGCTATTTCAATATCATTTTGAAATTTTTGCCTAAGTTTGGCAAATCTCAGCATTTATTTTATGACCTAATCTTTCAGTTTGAACACATCAACGGTCTGACCCTGATCTGCCGAGCCCATCAACTGGTTCAGGAGGGCTACAAGTACATGTTTGATGATAAGATAGTGACGGTGTGGTCGGCCCCAAACTACTGCTACCGTAGCGGCAACGTGGCTTCCATGCTGGAGTTTAGAGACGCCGACACCAAAGTCGGGAAAATCTTCAACGCTGTTCCCGACTCGGAACGGGTCATACCATCACAGGCAACAACACCATATTTCCTTTAGATGCAAAATACCGTTGCCGATTTATTTGTGTGTGATTTTTTGATTCCATTTGCACTTTTTTATTACTGTGTAATGTTCTGAAATCATTTAGCAAGAGACATTGACTTAAATGTTTGTATTAAGATCATAACCATGCAACTTTAAGTAAACCAGTTGATTTTGACACCCCCCCCCCCCCCAAAAAAAATCATCAATACCAGTACTCTGTTTCTACAACTTGTTTTCACTTCTACCCATAAGTTTTGGGCTCTTTGCACTTCAAGTTCTTTTTTCTAAAATAATGTCTGTGGCCATTTGGTTTTTTTTTAACAGTTGAACACCTTATACAAAAAATAAAGAATAAATACTGCATTTAAAATCAAGTTAACTTTACGTTTCATTATGCAAATCAAGTTTTCCCATAAGTTTAGCTACAAAACATTCCCCAATTTTAATAGCTTATTTTAGTTTATCAATTTCTGACATGTCTGCTATTTGCTTAGTCGATTTATCTAAAAACGAAACATATGAAAGAAGTTAAAACTTAACACTTGTTTTGTTCAGTTTTTTGCTATTAATACTTTGTATGACAATAATAATCTTTTTTGTCGAAACTGTCAATTTTTTTTAGTGCATATTTACATTACAACTCTTGTATGAAATTAATTGACAGATTGTGGCAGAGCTGGTTGTAATTGTTTACTAAATCGTCAGAGCATTTTGTAGCCTTGATTGAAAATAAAATAAGTTACCACAAGAGTAACTTTTAAGTCTAAAGTTCCAAAAAAAATGTGTTAAAAACCAACATTGGTGGGATGTGTCACTTGTATTTTTGTCTTTGTTTATAGAGATTTTGCAACATCTAAAACTGTAATGTGGAGAATTGTGGTTAATAATGAGAAAGCAGCTGAATAATTAGGCCAAAAAAAATAATATTCGGTCTCTGGTCAGACTAAAGTTCCGGAACTGACGCGGCCTTTTTTTTTCTCTCTCTTTTTTTTTTTTCTTTCTTCAAGCTTAGATTGTACAGACAAGGTGGGGGTACTATTTTGCTTTTTTGGTGTCCTCATGTACATTGGTGACCTCCATAATTTGCCTTGGTGCTTTCGATCATTTGCCTTGGTGCAATTTCCCATTCCTTGGTGCTCTTTGGTGAAAAAAAATGAGGAGGTGCGGAAATAGAGGGCGCTGTTGGAGCTACGGCACAACATTTTGGAAAAAAAACGATCGACGCGCATGATTAAAATCGATGCGCGCGCTGACCAGAGACCGACTTATTTTTTTTTGGGGGGGGGGCCTTATCATGGGTGGTTATTTTGGTTTACCAAAGCCTTTTTGTGGAGGGCAGTGGCGTAGCCAGGAATTTTTCAGTGGGGGGGGGGGGGGGGCGCTGAGGGGCTGGAACATTTCATGGGGGGCGTCATGTAGGGGCGTCAATCGCTTCTCAAAAGTGGGGGGGGGACATACTTTGATCAGAACTGATGCGAAGCGCGAAGCCCTTACGGCGTGGATTCTAGATGTTCTGTGGTGTGATCTGAAGCAATTTCTTACCACTTTCCTCCATGCTTTAACTAATATTTTCTTAGCAAAAGATAGTTACTATTTGAACATCGTTTTCGAGGTTGGAGTCATTGAATCAGCTATCGGTATTCTGAGCTATAGGCGTGGGGTTCGGGGCCCGCTTAAAGGGCCCCGAAAAAAATTGGATTCTCGATGCTCTGTGGTGTGATCCGAGGCAATTTCTGACCACTTTAACCAATAATTATCTTAGCACAAAAGATAATATTTAAACATAATTTTCGAGGTTTTCTCAGCTAAAGGCATAAGAAAAAATGTTGAACATTGTTTTCGAGGTTGGAGTCATTGAATCAGCTACCAGAATTCTGAGCTATAGGCGTGGAGTTCGGGGCCCGCTTAAGGGCGGAAAAATTTTGGATTCTCAATGCTCTGTGGTGCTATCTGAGGCAATTTCTGACCACTTTAACCAATATTTTCTAAGCAAAAGATACATTGTAGTACATAATAGGGCCCTGTAAATGAGACACGAGTTCAAAAATCTGGGGGGGGGGGGGACATTTGATATCGTGTCCCCCACCCTTCAAAAAGTGGGGGGGGGGGGGGGGGGGACCAGTCCCCCTGTCCCCCCAGGATTGACGCCCATGGCGTCATTTAGATCAATGATATTTTTTTTAGAAACTCAAAATCTCAGGAGGGGGGCGACTGGGGGGCGACAAGGTTTCATGGGGGAGGACGCCCCCCACGCCCCCCGGTGGCTACGCCACTGAGTGACACTAATTCGTGAAGACGCCAGAAGTGAGTCGCGCATATCACGTGACATTTGTGTTACTTCGTGGAAACGCAAAACCCGTTTTTGACGCGTAGTGTGCAGGCAGTTTACACGCGAAAGAATGGCATAGTACATGTACACTTCGTGAAAACGCATTTCCGGTTTTGGCCCAATAAGTTACAAACGTTAATTAACATTAATTAACATTTTGACAAAATTAATTAACTCTGTGTATACATGTAGTATCTTCTTCAGCAGGCGCGGATCCAGAGGTGGGGGGGGGTTACACACCCAAAAAATTATACTGGTATAATGTCCGCTTGTTCAAAATACGGTACCTCCCCCCCCCCCCCCAGTTTTTGATTTTACGGAGGCCAAGTGTACATTTTCAGATTGTTTTGCTGATGAAAACGCCCCCTGCGAAAATTCCTGGATCCGCCCCTGTTCAGGTGATAGATTATGTGTTAATCACAATTTAGAAATAGAATTGAAATCGCAAAATATCGATTGTTCGATGTTAGTGTCACTTCGTGGTGACGGTACGACTAACTGAAGTCAGTTAGATTGCATAGGTACATGTACATGTCTTTTACGGATACAATAAACAGAACAAAGTATCATGAGCATGCACGGCTCCCACCCATCTTTTTTTAAAACCTTCAAGTTCATGGCCCACAAAATTCTTTTATATAGCAAAGAATTTCAGGGTATACAAATTGTGATTTGTAGGAAATTTTCGAACTATATTTTATACCGGTCTGCACCCATAAGCTCAAGCCGGGATTGTTTTGCCAAAAAAAGTCCAAAAAACACCCCATTACATAAAAGAAAAGGAATGTTTAGGAAGTACTTTGGTTTTTTTTGCAGTGTTGAAACTTCAAGTTTGGAAACTGTCCACGCGTCATGTTGTAACATTAGGCCTAAAGAATGATCTTACTTCTAATAATGATACAAAAAGTTAAGCATTGATCGAATGTACTTGTATTTAGTATAAATAATATCACGGCAAACTTGTATCCGTGCGGGTTTTGTATCGATCTTTTGTAAATCTATCATGACCCTGTTTGAGCGTACCGTTCTACTCTTTAAGCAAAAGATTCGTAATAATTCGTAAGTATTGTAGAGTACCCCAAATTTGCGCTTACAAATATTCGCGCAACCAACTTTCTTGGCTCGTATCTTGTTTCCACGCAACACCGTCGTCAATATGTTTTTCACATATTCTGGTATATTAGTTTTAACTTTTTACTATAGGTTTTCTCGGTCAATTTCGGCAAATGAGCAGCCAATTTAATTTTCGTGCGTTCGAATTGAAGCTATTTTGTCTCTCCAGTTGTTACTGCGCTTCAAATTCAGAATTCGGCCATTCAATTTCGTTTTGAGGCATTCAAATTCCTTTAGCACTGTGTTCAATTTAGCATATCGTCATTCTTTTTCGTGACACACAATCATCATTCAATTTAGCAAAGCTGGTTCGACTGGAGATTTTACTGATTTAATTTTTTTCAATTTCGTAAAGAGGCAATCAATTTCGCTTAAAGAGAATTCAAATAAGTACGACTAAAGAAATACGAATAAACAGATAAACTGTACTAGGCAACTGTTTCGTATCTTTACTTTAATTCAGGCAAACCTTGTTTTCTTTATTTATGCTTCCAGTAGACTTTACATGGGGCCAATGAGGTTTTTTCTTCTTCTTTGTCTTCTTCTTCATTCTTTTTTTGGGGGGGGGGGATCTTTATTGGTCAACTGACCAAGACCTAATTTTGTATTGTGTTTGAATGGGGTGTTTCTTTATGTTTTTCCTGTTTTTTATTGTTTATGTTGTTTCTTCCTCAACCATCAATCTGTTGGCGTGCCAGACATCTTGGCATATATGTTTGGGTATGGTTGTACCACTGCATGCACTTCACTTGGGTGATGACATCAACGCTCTGGATGGCTGCTTGTTGAAGGAGATCGCACCTTCACTGTTGCATGTTCATTCCTGCTTGCTGGGCAGCCTGTCTGTCTCCGACACGTTGTTGCCACTCAGGTAACCCAAGGATGCGTTTAACTGCAGCCTTGAATGCAGAGTGTGCCATCTCCGTGCTGTTCAGGAATGGGGAGTAGGGAGGGAGGCGCTTCAGCTGGATCATTGGGTTGGCACCTTCAGGGAGTTGGGCTCGCACGTGAGGCCTCGCATTGTCGTATATGAGGTAAATGGGTTCGTCGTCTGGGAAAACTGCATCACACTCTTGAATTGTGTCCGCAAGAAACTCCTCGAATCTCTCTCGCGTCACAGTTTCGAATGCGATTCGGTGGTGCACCAAGCCTACTTCACTAGAAACATCGAAGGTGACATTGCAATTTCTCCCTCGTTGTCTGTCGACGACTCGGCTTGCAGCGATCCCTCGTGGAGCTCTACCCTGGGAGCGTCGAGTCCAGACGTTATAACCTGTCTCGTCAATGAAGACTAGATTCGCCAAAACACCATGCTGCAGGAACCACTCACCATACTGGACGCGTTGATCAAGAACTTCAGGGGAATTTCTTGCATCAGGGACGTCCTCCATTAGTTTCAGTGTAATCATCATCCCATCCAAGGCCCTGGCTATGGTGGCAGTAGAAACCTGGGGCTTCTCTGGCAGATGCTCACTCAAACTAGCCTTCATTTGTTGAAGTGTCAAGACGGGATTAGCGTCAAGGATGCCTTGCAGATGGTTTCGCACGTCATCATCCATCTTGCTGTGGGTTGCTCCTCCTCTTGCCAGCGTCTCTCGCCTTCCAGTCCTCAAATATGTTGCAACAATTGATCTGGCTGTGGACATGTTGATGTTCAAATTGACCGCAAGCTCAAGGTAGTCTTGCTCGTTTCCCTCGAAGGCCTCAATCAACCTTTCTCGATCTACCTGGGCCACTCTAGCGTA